AATGTAGATACCTACATGCTGATGCCGTCATATGTTGCAGTCCAATTTTACCGATATACCGAGTGAATCAATAAAATCTACATCAGATGTAAGATTAAAAAAAATACACTTGTTATATGTAGCTTAAAGCACATTGAATCAATCTAACCGTATCAACAAAAGTTTATTTATATTTGAAAGAGACATTCTCTAGTACGCAGTAATGTAGTCTATTTGTGCTGTGATCAAACGCTAATTCATACCAAATTGCCAAATGAACCCCTAGGATATAATTTCAACCTGAACCGTTTGTTTATGTTAAGGATTATATACGGAGTTTAGATTGTGCGAAGTGGAGTGCTCGCAAAAGAATTATTTTTGTCGCTCTTTTGATGTTTCGATGATTCTAAATAGGCAAATATTTGTACAAAATATTAAACGGACCACTCTATCGAAATAACATTCCATAAATTAACTCATTAGACATCTTCAGTGTCTCCACTGCATAATGTTGTTTGGACAAAGGGAGGCGATAGCTTTCAAGGCTCATTTACATAAGGCTCAGAGAAAAGCACTTACTAATGTACTATTATAAATATAAACAAGTGGATTTAAATATCGCAGGGCCTATTGTCAATTTTTTTGTTTTACTAGTATCGCTACTAATCGACCTGGAGTTGTTCAAAATCAAACAAAACTCGGTAATTAATTACTATTCAAAAACATCCAATTACTTACTAGGAATAGGTTTAATGTTCATACGTTGCAAGCTTTAACGTTAATTTAACAAAATCTTGGAATCCCATTTTGGAGTTTCATATTTTCCACTTACCTTCAATTTACTAATTGGAAACACTTTACGTCTGAAATGCGTTTTGTACTCTGCATGCATCTAATTCGATAAAATTCCCGTTCCGCATAAAATTTGCCGCTCTTAGTATGCCAGGCGGTTAATGTGATTATCAGGGACGCATCCAGGGGAGCCCGCAATTCACAAAGAAAAACGAGAAAATGTAACATTCAAATCATTTTAGCCACAACTAATTTAATTAGATATTTGTGAGTTAACATGATGTGTTAAATCAAATTGTATTTTTTTAAGTTTCCAACTTTTTTGTTGGTGTCGAACGATAAATAATTAATTTCGTACCGAATTGGGGACTTTGGGGATTTAGTGCTGGTAATTCTGCATAGCAGCCGAAATGGAAATGTGGCGGAAATTAGTCCTTAGAGCACCTCTGGAATTGAGTATGCTATCAGTGATCTCATTTAATGCAGCAAACGCACATACAATTTACCGCTTCTATCCTGAGCGTTTTCAAACGTTAATAATAAAAATTCAATTGGATCATTATGAACTGTAGAAAATTACATATTAATCGTTTAAAGCGCTTAGTCGAGAGTAACTGTAACTTTTAAGTGATTAAAACCAAAAAAAATTACCAATTAGACATCGATTTTCTGCACAACCTGAATTCTTCCACACTACTGCTTGTTATAGGATTCTATAATTGTATAAATAATAAATATATTAACCCTCGTATGAAACCCGACTCAAAATCTTTTAACAACTGGCGTATTTTTGATCTCATTACCGAATTTTGTTTATTCTCATCACACGCCCGAGGGAGGACATATTTAGTTTAATTGGAAAAAAATCCCCACATAACTTGGAAATTCTCCGGGCAATGAATCTAACGATGTTACAAACATGTATAACGCGGTGCTTTTAGTGCCTTCTCGAAATCCGTATCAAAATGGCAAACAATCGTTCGAATTATCCATTCCATCTTTGATTCGAGAATACATTAACGAGACAATCGTGAGATGCCCTCAGCTTCCATTACCTTGATGACAAAGCCATCTTAATCCGAGATACGCTCCGTGAACAGCCTCCAGCCGAGGGCTCTAATTGTTATCATTTACCGCGGAGCTGGCTTTCTTCCCTTTAGTTCGCGGCGCGTTCGACCCTTCGCTCCCTTCATTCGAAACGGCTTAGTCGGCGACGTCTTATTCTTCGACCTACTTAATATTAATACAGCCATCGGTTCGAGAGCGCTTTTGGGCAACGACCATGACTCGCGGACATTCCTCCTTTGATCTAACACCTCAGCCAAATCCAATCAAAAGGGTTGAATAAGTGATTCGCGTATACTAAAATCTTGCTATCAAAAATCAAAGAAAGAACGCTTAATATTCCTTTACATATAATAATTTCGCGAAACGTTTTAATATCTTCCTAATTGACATAATATTGACATGTTTGTCGAATACCTACTTCAAACAATCTAATTACAGTAATTGGATTCTTCTGTATGAAACCATCACTATTAATTGACAGGAAAGTTCATTTGAATCAACGATTCGAACCACTTCGTTACTACTAAATATCCCCGGAAGGACAATGAGGAAACAAAGAAGCGTTTTGTTTCATTAAGTACAACACACGTGGCTTTTTACCCCTTCGATTCGTTTATGAAAACTATGGTTTGATATACAGATGGTCTGACGTTTCGTGCACGTGCCGCGACAGCGAAAGCTACTTTACCTACGCGAATAATTAATTCTAAATGGACACTTCATTACAGCGATGCGATAAATGGTTGGCCAACAATTGGGATTCTTTATACGCTGATTGTGTTCCTTTGTGAGCCGCAACACAATAGCCTCGGAGGATGGAATATCGCTACTTGAACAATTTTTAAATACAACCAAATTGTTCCTATTTAGTACTACGGCTTGTTATCAGTTGCGAATCGTAGAAAGTGAAGAAATCTGAGAGGGAATAAATCATTTATTGACTGACAGTTAACTGGACTTCGTCGAAATAATATACCAGAATAGTGTTACATTGTATTTTTGACTAACAATGAATTTGACACTACTTTTATTTTCATAATAAAATTTAGATGTTTACAACTGCCTATTATACGAAAGCCATTTGGTCAGATTACTCCATAAGTAGCGGCAATTAAAAAGTTCATTTTCCACTTTTATTAGTTTCTACAAATTGCTTATTACCCTATAAACCGAAATACGTAAAACACATAAAATATACAAATTTGTTACTTTGTAAAAAGAAAAAAAAATCGATTATTGGTGATTTTACAATTTTTGTGTCAAATTATTTTGATTAAATTTTCTAAATACTGATGAAATAAGGCGTTTCTTTTTTCCTTATGCAAATCGGTGTGATTTAAGAGATAAGGTGCTATATATTCGGGTTATTTTTCAATTTCTATTCATATATTTCAATTTTCGAGTGACAAAGTTAGGGTTGCGAGAAATGGGGAATGCTTTAGCTTGCTTAACTCCAACGGAAAGGGGAATTACAATAACAAAGCACATATTCTCGTTGAGAAATCACCACCATAATTTGATATATCGTTCGCTTTTATCACCTTAAATTTTTCGACTTGCATATTTTTCAGCATCGACATCACAAAGCGGATTCTCCGCTGTAGGTAAATGCCGCGAGTCCCGCCCTTCTAATTAAAATGCCCCAAAGGAAGGACCTAAGCAATCACTATAAAATTACAAAACGCGAATTAGAAACACGGAACGAAAAAGGTTTAATTTCATGTTTTAAAGCACCAATTAAAGGTCCGGGTAATACAGAGAGAACATATAGTGTGATGGACCACGGTTAAAACCATTCAAAATCGTAAAGCCACTGAACCTGATGCCCTTAATTTTTTACCCGCGGGTCTTTTTCGCCCATTCAAGTCTAATGAAAATTGAGTTTTGTGTCCTGGGTAATAAAAGTTATCTTGCCTAAATGTTATAAAACAAATTGGAAAATGGCCTTCAGCCACTGAGTTATGTTAATGGAAGGAAAACAGGACGATCAAAACATATATCTAAATATACATAGGTATTTCACACTCCTGCTCCTGTTAAATCGCCTAAAACAAATTAAGACTATAAACGGATTTGTAACAAATATCAAGACTATCTAGTTAATATGTAAAACGGGCTATACATCACAGGCATGTAATAATGCATCGGTCTGTCCAAGCTTAATGTGCTATTAAATGCTAGATTTTGCTATAATTAAGTTAGGGTATTAAATGGAGTAGGTCGCGGCTAGCCGTGCCCATAAATTATTAGTACCTACTATACGACCCCGCGTATCTAACACATTTCGATTAACATATCGAATGTTACACCAATAAATTTTATAAATAAAGTCATCAAAGTAAACAGCGCGGTTACTTGCGGCTGGTTTTCATAATCTACCATTTTTATAAATGATGGAATTTTAATAAGATAATAATTTATAGTGATTGAGTCATTAATGTAACAATTTTTAGAAAGTTTGCAGGTTTAAAGCGTATATAAAAAAGATCTACCCTTATACGTTCAGATACTAATTAAAATTCTAATTAATTGTAATGTTTATTGATATTTTAAAGGAATGCTCGGTATTTGGAGAGCATCAATGGACGAGCTCCGGTCGGTTTGTTTTTAGATGGGAATCGATACATCAGGCTTTAGTTGTCGTTAAGTCTGTCCGTCCGCATTAACCAGGAACTGTCACGTCGACAAATCTGTTTGTACCATTAGGATATTTCCCTAAAATTACATTTGTCAGGTGGAATTTAATACCTATATCCTTTAACGGCATTTCAGCATACATCTCCGCATAGACGCGTAGGCTTCATTTGTTTTGACAATGATTAGTCGCTAATTCTAATTAAATTCTGTACACAAACAGACCAATTTCGGTCTCTTGATAATATTCCGGGTTCGAAGCTTGCGAATAATTAAACACGTCGATTGTTTTCTAGTTTTCCTGAAATCGTGATGACTTCTTCAAAATGCTCCTGTTTTACACTAGAGAGAATTTTTTGAAACACCTTGTAGTGTGTAAACTACAGAGAATATATCCAATTTCGAACAACTTTTACTATCCTTTTGAGATTCAATTAAAGGAAATTTGTTTACATACTAGTTTTTTGGAAGCTCCTTTTTAATATCTACCTGGTTTTAAAATATTAGTTTTGGGCAGTATTGTAAATGCCGAATACATAAAATGACCAGGTGTTTCGTGTATTATTTGTTTATTGTAAGAAAAATTGGGCGATTTATATTAAATTTTTATTACTTAAATGCTTTTCTAGTGTATATATTTTCATAATGTGCATAATTTGGATGTTAATCGATACTTGGATAGTACATTGGGAGTATTGAAGGATATTAAAGGAACTGCTATCGATCCTGAGGATATTATCAAAAATGGTAATTATATTATATTAAAATTGTATTTTTTTATCGAACTTATTATATTCAGGTAAAAATGAAATTTTATTAAAACTCTACCAAGAAAACTCCCTACATGAAATCAACAGTACTATAAAAATGATTTCGATGTTTAATCAAACGCACATTTTCACTAAAACTGGAATATTTTATTTGAATAATAACTTATCAATATTTTCGTACCAAAATGGCGACAACATGAAAAAATTTGAGGAATTCGAAAAATTAACATTATTCAAGGTTTGTTGGAATTTAACAGATTATATTCGCAAAATTGATAGGATGCAACTTTTTTCAGGGCATCGAGTTTGGTGAAATCGGTTTTGTGATAATTAATTTCGGATTTACGGGAGATTCGTACATTTATCAATTTACGAATAATCGCTATAATTTGATTCAAACTTTATGGACACCTGACGCCAGCGATGTCCATTTTTTTATGAACAATAATAATCTGTATTTACTCGTTGTAAATAACAAAGGAGACAGCTTGGTCCAAACATCGTGAGAATAGTTTCCCTTATCTAAAATATAAACCAACTGAATATATTTGTACTTTTTTTTTCCAGGATATATAAGTGGCTAGGGTTTCATTTTGATGAAATTCAAACAGTTTTTACGACTGGAGCAATAAAAGTCGAATCTTTTACTACCCGTACTGCAGAAATTATTATTATTTTACAAGATATACCTAACAAAGCAGTAAGTTTAATCCTTTTGGTATTTAATATTTTAATAGTAAGTAGATAAATTTTTCTCATTGCTTTTAGTTGCCGGCAGCGGTGTTTAAATTTAATAACGATGAAATTAAAAAGATACAATTATTAGATATCCACGAAGGAATGAACTTGGTAACTCATATAAACCGGGGGAAAATATTCGTTTTAATATTTGGTTCAAATAAAACCAACTTGGTGTATGTTTGGAATGGTAAAATATTTTTTCACATATTCTCAAAAATACATTTTATAGCCAATTTCGAAAACAAATATTTTTTGTAGGTTACCAGCTGGTTCTTGTAAACAAATTTCAAACTGAAGAAGCAGTTGCTAATTTTGGACTATACAGAGTCAATAATAGGTCTCTATTAGAAATTCCTCTCGAAGTAAGAATTCCATAATCACAAAATATTGGACTAACATTTTTTAATGCCATATAATACAAATATAAGATATTTAATATGTTTCAGAACAACCTACAAATATACGAAATTAACAATGAAATCGAATTATTACAAAACATCCAATATCAGTCCAATTTATCAAAAATTGCAGATATTCTTATTGCATACGATGGAACTACTTATATAGCAGGATTCGATGACAACAATGTTACAAAAATAATTCGTATTTCCTTGACATATAATTTTACCAACTCAGGTAAACGAATTTTTAATTTACCTGCAACGTATATAAACGAATTTATTTCAACAGAGGAAACAACACCAAGCAGGGATGTATTGAGAAACTGTTATAAAAATATGGAATTTAAGGTAGATCTCATAAATAAAAAACTCGATTCAATTAAAATACCCGATGGAAACTCTTCCTATGGAAAAACCGAACAAAACGATGCTAAAGTCAAACGCGCTGCAGTACAGGTTTGAATCTAAAATTTCGTTAGTGATTGTTTCTTTTAAAAGTTTCATTTTATTTAGGAATCTGTAGGTGACAGTCAAATTAAAAATCTGGAAAGCTGGTTTTCCAGAGTCAATTCGAGTGCAAGTAACTATAAATTTGAAAACAACAGCAACATTGTAAGTGTTACTAACGAAAATTTAATAATCTGTTAATAATCTTAATAATAATAATATTTTTAGACGATTAATGGCAATGTGATATTTAAAAAAATTGTTTCTGCTGCGAAATTAGAAGGACATAACATTTTACTAAAATCAGTAAATAAACGAAAGTGGGTACCAGAGCAATGGTTAAGATATGAAAAACCTCAAACAATATCAGGACTATCTAAACTAAAAACAGTGGTAGCAAATTATTTTGAAACATCTCCTCTGGATCCCTTATTTAAAGGTACCTATTTTATCAAATAGTAAATCACAGGCCTCATTGTGTTTTTTTTAGATTTGTTGTTGAAAAATAAAAATCAAGAATTCACCAAATTTGTATCGATAAATTCACTTACTGTGCCCAAAATATATCTAAAAACTCTTAACAATATTTCTATGGAGGTCTACTCGGCAGAAAAACTGGGTAAAATTGAAGGAATCCACAGACTTATCAATTTGAATGTTGATCATATCATCACCAGAATGAGCCAGGTAACGAAACATTTATACCCAAATTTAAATCATTTCAAAAACAATTCAAACAATATTATAGGAACCATCTGATGAAATTGTATCCTCACCCAACTTCGATTTAAATTCAAATATCACCATAGAGAATTTAACAGTCGAAACTATTAATGGAATTCGTTGGGAAGAATTTAAGAACTCGGTATTTAGAATTAACCTCACCAAAGAAATAGAAGGACCCTTGACATTTTCGGAAATCAAAACGAAACATCTGGTTACCAAAAAAATCAAAGACACCGACGCAAACGATCTATTCACAACAACAACGGATCAAATAATCGAATCAAATATGAAATTTTCTCATATTTTCACGAAGGAGCTAAATGTGGAAACTGTAAATGGCATTCGAATACCTGAAGACGTAGTTCTGCTAAACGAAACCACAACCATTGAAGGCGAGTGATCCTTAAACACCTCAAAACATGAGAATCAATACTATGTTTGTTCCAGGACCAGTAATAATGAACAAAGTCGAGGTATTGGGTAACTGGACCAAATCAGAAAACATATCCTTTTTGAGAGAAAATAGTGATATTGTCGACAAAATCAAGTCAGATCAACTACAAATTTACAGCGGAAACGTAACTATCAATGGTAATTTGTATGTTCCAAGTTTATCGTTGTTGCCTGCTGCTAAGTTAATGGTATCTGATAACGAGGTCAATTCAAATTTCGGCAACATTTATTGGACCAAAAATACTCACCAGGTATAAATCTATTTAGTTTTAGAAGAGTAGATCCAAGGTAAAAACATTACCTATTGTGTTTTACAGAAAATTCCCGTTAATGTAAACTTTCTACAAGGCATCAGCACCCCGCATCTCTTGACTAAGGTTTTGAACAACGTCAAAATAGATCAGTACATGTTAAATAACAATGCGAAGAACCTAGAAACTGATTTTGAATTCGAAAATGTTACTGTTACCGGCGATGTTTTACTTAGAGCTGCTTCGCAACACAAACCGAATTTAGATGACTTATTGAAAACTGCTGTGTTAAATAATGGAAGGTATCTTCTTAAATATAATTACAATTTCTCAAAAATTCTTTCATTCAATCGTATGTTTCAGTTACATCATTCACGGCAAAAAAACCTATTCGAATACACTGAAAGTTAAAAATTTGCAAACGAATGAATTGCAAGGAATTAAAGTGTCTGAAGCTGTAAATAAGAGATGGAATCAAAATATTACTGGTAAAAGATATTTATTATAAAACTTTAGGTTTGTTAAGTTTTTGGTTTTTAGGTACGAAAATTCTAAAACACCTAATTGTTAAAAACGGTGCATTCTTCGACATTGACGGGCTTGAAACCATCAATGATGTCTCACTGAAAGAATTCCTTGAAAAAACAATTTTTATTGATCGTCCTGAAAATATTTCCCAACTGGATTTCGATAGCGTCACCGGTAATATATCTAATTAAATAAGAACAATTACAATTAATTTTCTAAATATTCATCTCATTCATTTCAGTTAATCATCTTAAAATCACGAACTTGAACAACCACAACATTAAAGATTATATTTCATTCCAACAGAAATTACAAAATATAAGCTCGTTGAAAAATTTAATAGTAAAAGGAAACCTCCAAGTTAATGATATGAAATTAGAATTTTTAAACGACATTCCTTTCAGTGTTCTTCTTAAATTGGTAAGTGAATCATTTCATTTCTTGTACTCCCACTAATTATTTTAACATTCGAAGAGACCCACTACTGAAAATAATACAATTATAAACGATGTTGAATTTGCGGGAAATATACATGTGAAGAACCTAATAGCTCAAACCATTAATGATATCGACTGGAAAAATCTTACAGCTAGAATTCTGAATCGGCATTATCCTCAAATAATTCCAGCTCACTACACTTTCTCTAATATAAAATCGAGTAAGTATTTTCATAGGCAACTTAAACCACTCATTCTAAAGAACTTCATTTGCAGAAAATATATTCACTAATAAAATAAATGAAGTTATCGTGGAGGGTCTCATAGACACAAGCAGCACGTCCTCGCAGAAGATATACCAACCAAACGCACCTCTGTTTCTTTCATCCATAACTTCAAAATATCTAGAAGCGTCTAAAATAGCACCCTGCTCTTTAGATGCAATTAATGAGCTTTTCAATGATCCACCCACGAAAAATTGGAACGAAATTTCTATCAAAGGACATGTTACTGCTTTAGATGATGAGTCCATTTTGCACAGGTTATTTGAGAAAACAGTGAAACTGAACTCCAAAAACACCATACACGCTGAAGTAAGTTTATTGACTCGTCTTCAAAATTGATAGAAACATTTTTTTGTAATTGCAGGTGAATTTTTCGTCACATGTTTTGATTAAAAACGTTCACATGCATGGTTTACTTAATGGCGTGAATATTCCTTACTTACTAAATGATGCAATTCTAAAAAATTCTGCCAAAGAACAGGTAACATTTTAGCCTGAGTGAGTTATATATTTCACCTTTCATTAATTTTATAGGAAATCACTGGAAAAAAACATTTTAATGCGTTAGTAACGAAAAGCGCAAATGTACTGGGCAATGTGGAAACAACATTTTTGAATAATGAAGATGTCAATGCTCTTAACAATGATATCGTTGATAAGAATGGAGACAAAATTATTAAAGGGAAGAAAACATTTTACGGAGGTGTTCAAGCAAATCGATTCAATGTACCAAAATCAACTTTCCTTTAATTTAGCAAAAATTAATAAGTTTTTTTTTTCAGAGTAAAACTATTAATGGTGTTGATCCCGAAGATATAGTTAATTTGGACTATCTTAAACCCATCCCTGAAGCAACATTTGATACCGTTGAAATTACGGGAGAATTTAATTTCAATTCTTATAATGGAAGAAACTTTACTGACTTTTTAGAAAAAAGATTACTTACAAACAGTCCACACCAAGTCGCTACGGGAATGTACTTTTTCGAACATTTAGAAAGTCAAAGTAAGTTATTCACGCATTACAATTACACAAAATTGCATGGTAATTTTTTTCAGATTTCACCACTCCATCTATAAATAACATAAAAATAGACGAAATGGTTTTTGATATAGACACTCAGGAAATTTTTGGATCTAAACAATTCAAACAACCCCTAGCTATACACGGTAATGTAACTATCGATTTCGTTAACGGTGTTAATCTTTCCTACGAATTCGCAAATTCTATACCTCTGGAGGGACAAGCCGAGCTAATTGGCAATGTCGTAAGTAATATTTAAATTGTTTGATTCCTATAATCTTCGTTTATTGAATTTTGTAGTTTGCGCGGAAACCTGTTGTTATCAATGGTTCGATAAATACCAATTCAATAAACGGTATCCAAATTAGCACGATTAAAGGTATATTAACATCTAACACCACAAAAACCGAAAGCGAGAAAATCTTCCTTCTGAAGCAGCAAATAATTAAAAAAATCCAACGCAGCCTTCCTCTAATAGAAAGTAAGTTCTGGTGATAATTTATAAAATGGGGACTAGCAATAATTTTTCTTCTTAGGTTTGCCAACGGTATTTATGTATCTGGAGAAATCAGATGAGCTTCAAGTAACAGTTCCTAATGCTCTCAGTGCCTCAACAATAGAATCCAACGGCTTCGTTTTGATACAAGTCAATGGTCAGGAATCGGGAAGATACTGTGGATTGCCCAATCACTGCTCTTGTCCTGTACAATACACAATCGAAATAACCCCTCATAATTCCGTTTCGGTACTACCAAATAAGGGATTTCAAAGAATTTTCAGCTACAACGACGAATCCGTTTTTGTTAACTTCATTACTAATAGCATTAGTACGAGTTCAGAATGCAGGTAGGTAACATTAAATTCTTCTATGTAAGCATTTCAACTAAATTAATTTTATTGCCTGATAATACTAATGTTATAAATTTAAGGACTAATCGTTCGAAAGTATTCAATGAAGTATCTATGTTAACGTGGAATACGAAAACTCAAGGAAACGAAATGGGTCAATTCTTCCATTACGATAAGTTCTTATCCGGTTATATTAGCAAAGTGGTATTCTTTACAAGCGATGAAGAAACGTACGCTGTGATAGGAAGGTATTATGATCCCGTCGCTGACACGTACAACTTAAATTGTAGCGTCCTAAAGTTTAGTAAAAATAAGGTAAAAATGAACGTTTTTTATGAGTTTGATATTCTTTAAACAAACATTTTAGACTCGCATGGATGAAATTCAAGTGATACCCACCAAAGGATTACAGGAGGTTTATGTATTCCAAACAGCCCAGGGAGTTGTACTAGTGCTTGGAAGTAAAACGCCTTTCGACGTCCATCACAAAGAGGAAGAAACACAAATATACAGATTCAATAATATAAAAGGAAAGGTAAGTGATTTTATAAATATTTTTTCTGTCATTTTATATATTTTTGTTCAAGTTTGATTATTTGCGCACTGTTCCTTCGTTTGGTTGTTCAAATGCTGTTGGAATTACACAAGGATCCGATAGTTTGATAGCTTTAACTCACAGAGAAGCACCTGTACAAGTTCTCAAATACGATCCAGTATTTGATACCTACTATTATTACCAAACAATTGACTTAGGTGAACTTGTCGTTGGAATTTCTTCATTTTATGTAGGAGGTAAATTCACAGTATTTTCTCTTTAGTTGATGAAAATGAATTTAATTTCTATCAAGATTTTTGAGTGTAATACTTTTTGTAGGTTTTGGAATAAGTGATGTCTATTTATGTTTAGTAACGTCCCATGAAAATTATTATATTTACACTTACCGATTTTTGGAAGGACTCGTTTTAAAATCCAAAGGAAACCTAGAAGGATTACAGGATTTCGTTCCCTTCGAACACAACAACCAATCTTATTTGTTTGTTCCTTCTACGAATTACAGTTCCTTATTAACAGTCGTAACAAATGGTGCTCGTTGAAATTATTTATTATATTTAAACATTGTTTTATTAGATATATTCGAATTTTAAAATTGTTAATCGTTTGAGTTTTATTTAAGAACCTCTTATTTTGTATAATAGAATGAAAAGTTACTTCAAAAAATTAACGAATAAACCTTATACATAAAGTAAAATTGGTTGCCTAACTAGATCGGTAGATTCGAATTAAGTTACGTTGGCAACCGTGCGTTAGTTGGCAACACTGGTTACGATTATATTTGCAACAAGTTGAAGTTAAAGAAAGATGGTCGGTCGATAGTAGCGTCACAGTCATGTGAATAATATTTGTTTGGTTAAGTTTATTTTGTTGTTATTAAAAGCAGTTTATGTTTGTATCATGGCAAATAGGAAAAGAGGGCCGTTAGTATTGCCGGATGAATTGAAAACTGATGAGAAGCATTCTACGAAAAAGGTAAGTGAATGGGAGTCGATCAGTTCGTCTGCAACACAAAAGGATTTTGTGTATAATCGAAATAACGGTACTTTATTTCTATTTGTTATTTTAGGAATTGGCACAACGAAGAGTACGGCCGTGTCCACCCGTTCCGATTAAGGTTTTTAGAAGGACTTTGTTGAGTTCAAATGGTGTCTGTGATAAACCAAAACCAATATATTTCAATAAAACTGGTAGGTGGCTACATCGTCATTAAATTTCGCTGTTAAAGTGTTGTTATTTAATCTGTTTGTTTTAGTTGAGCTAAGTCCAAATTACAACCCGAACTTGGAAACTTCTTACTTCGAACAACTGTACCCCAAGCACGCTTTGATAGGTGAAGGTAGTTTCGGGAAAGTGTACAGGGCTCGTGGCACCTATGACAATCGACAGTACGCCATTAAGAAATTAAAATCAATCGTTAGTGTTCATGACAGATACGCCGAGATAAAAAACAATGAAAAAATCGGTTTTCACCCAAATTGTGTTCAATTTTATATGGCCTGGGAGGAAGGATGCGAGCTCTTCATGCTGCTCGAAGCATGTCAAATGAGCCTATCCGATTACGCTAACAAAAACAATAATATACCTGAAGAATTACTCTGGGACGTTTTGTATGACATGTGCCAAGCATTGAAGTATTTACATAGTAAGCATTTTTTACATTTAGATGTAAAACCTGGAAACATTATGATGAAAAATGGCCACTACAAGTTAGCTGATTTCGGTGTACTTGTTGATCTTAATCTAGTAAGTACTACTTTTCGAATTCGTTCTGTCATATGCCAAACAGCTTCAATTTATGGTAATGACGTCACTACTCAGCCAGACCTCTTACTGTCATATTATCCAGTCTCGGTGACGTCACTACCATCGATTAGTCTTTAGATGTAGTACACTTAATCGGTGCAATAAAAAAAAAAAATTTCAGTCGCCCATGAGTTGTACATCCACGTTATCGGATGGCGATGGGAAATATTTAGCTTTAGAAGTTCTAAATGGTACTTATACGCCCTACTGTGATATTTTCGGACTTGGTTTGACCCTGCTAGAACTTGCAGCTGATTTAGAACTGCCCAGTGACGGGCCCTTGTGGCAGCAGCTTCGTCACGAAATTCTACCTGATGTTTTTTACAAGAGTAAGTGCAATGAAAATTTCTAAAAAAACGACACACGGCTAAATTATATTTATTTTTAGAGGTAACCCTAGGATTTAAAGTTATTATAGAGAAAATGCTTAAACCAGAGTATGAAAAACGACCGTCAGCAGAAAAAATATTGAAATTTGAAACACTTAGGTTAATTGAAAAGAGGGATAAAAAGAAGCCGAGAATAAACTATGCAGTGAGTAGAAAAATTGAAATATTCACAGGACACAAATTTACTACATTTAATTTTTTACAGGCCGAATATTTGAATCAGGAAATCGATAATAATGACAATAATAATGTAATACAAACACCGAGGTGTCCTTATGAAAATAATACTGAAGACTTCAACACTAGGTATTCATTATTTAAATCGAATTAGTACTAAGTAATATAACAATTTTCTTTTTCTATAGGTTAACTCCTAACGAAACATACAGGATAACCTTGAGCCCGAAGATCCTTTTCCAAGACAACAAGAAAAGTCGCTGTTTAACAGCCGAGGAGTATTTTGCGTCGCCGAAAGGAAGCCACAATTTGAACAGTACATACGACAAGGATAATAGCACCCTGGCTGTAACGTTGCAGGACTCTCTTAACTCAGACTCGCAGCCCATGGAAACAGATGAGATCAAATTAAATGATGAAAGCGATGATTTCTCGTATTTGTTGGACGATGAAGAGAACATAATGACCTCCACGCCTGTCGTTAGGAATAAATTGAATAGAAGAGTTTTAACATTCGAATAACATGTTATTATCAGTCTTTATTTTTGATCTCTCGCTAAGCGGTGTAATTTCATACGCCTCTTGGTTATCTATATTATTAAGAAGACTGTTTTTACACATAAGTTTATACCGATACATTGATATTTTTGCGGAAAACAATTACCTGTTTGCAATTAACAATTACCGGAAAACCTACAACATACATTAGCACGCTTAAGCGTTTATTCTAGGGGAATATATTTGTGTTACTCTCAATAATCATATGCCTAGAATATTTGTTCAAGTCGTTTGAAGCTATTCGAAAAAAAAATGTGAATGTATCGTTATATCTTATGTGTGCATTTATTTATTTTCTTGAGGTTGCAATTTTGTTAAAGGATAATTACGGAGTTTATGAAGTTTTTTTTTCAAAAATGATTATGAAATAGAAAAATTACAGTCGCTACATTCTAACTTTTATATATTCTAATATGTAAATTCTTCGTTTGCTTAAATTAATGTAGGTCATAGATGCACGAATGGGTACTTTTTTCCAAGAAAAAAGATATATTTAGTAGATATTTTTCATTATAATTGCAATGCATCTTTTTCATTTTTATTATTCATTTAAATTCGGAGCATGTTTTAGACTGTAATTTTTTATGGTTGATTCTAACTTGTTTATTTTTGTTAAATTTTTAAGAAACGATAGTGTGTGGATAGAGTCGAATATATTAATTGTTCTTATTAAAATACATACTTATGTGTTAGCATCGAGACTTCGTCTTGAATTTAAATTTTAATTATTTTAATTTAATTTGGTCGAGTTATCACGCTTTCGATTATTTTATAAACATATAAGGTTTTTAATATGTCTGAGCGAGACATGGTATTCATTATGGAAATTAAATAATAAATTTTTGCACGGTGGCTAAAAACTGACCATAGATCTATTTTTAAATAGAAAGCACTAACATTTCAATTAAGACTAATTTGAATGTGTAACCAAGCAAATAATAATTTTAATGTCTTGCAAGGCTTTTGTACATAAAGATGGTTTAATTTTTGAATTAATTTGTTTTCTAAAATATGTTAATAATGAATTGAAATCTTAGTATCGAATTCTGTAAATATTCCATGGTATTTTTAGCCGTTCTTTATATTTAAACTTTATAAAGATGTACTTGTAAAGCACTGAGACCTCAAAAAAATATGATTTTCTTCTGTTGCCATGGGATTTGGGAGTTTTTTTGTTCTGAAAATGCAATATCGGGTGCTTATATGTTCCTTTTGTAAGATTGTGATCTTTACTCGAATTAACTGTTACAAAGTAATGTTTTGATTTTTTTAACTTCAAGGCTTAGCCTTGCTTAATCAATAGGAAAAAACGCAATATCAAAATAACCACCGTTTAGATTATTAACAAAACAGAATTAACGGTAATCAGTATTTTCAATTCGGCGGCGTTTAAACTGTAAACATCTCGAGCACAAACAGTATTTTGTACTTGTTTCGTATTTTAATAGATTTTGTTTGTAATTCTGGTGGTTTATGTGATTGTAATATAATTTAAATAGTTTTAATTTATAATGAAAGTTTATTTAAAGTTTTTATAACATTTATTTCTTTTTTTATTAGACCTTTTCAACATTTCAAAGTTTTGTGTTTTACATTCAAAAAAATGAAAAATACCTCCGATTCAATTACTTTCCTTATCCCTATATAGTCCTTTAGCTCCTGCAGAAGTTAATTCCATCAAACGATTTAAATTATTAGTGTTGGTAAAAACGAATTTAATTGAAACTTTATAGCAAGTATTGATTAGAATACAGAATATATAATTTTTATTTATCCGTAAACGTAACTTTAGTCACTGCGCGTTATGATTCCGGAGCCGGCTTCTTAACCACCTACAGTGTAGTAAAAGTCAAATTTCACAGAACTAGAACAAAAACGAGAACTTATTTAAATTTCAGTTCTACGTCAAAGTTTTCTTTTGTTTAATATTTTGAGAATATTGATGATTATAATTAAATACAGTATTACCTTGTTGTAAAAAACAAGCGAAATGATTTCTAAAAAGGCTTATAATGGTAGCCATTTCAAATTTCCCGCTATATAATAGGTCAAATGGCTAGTCTGCATCATTTTTTTTACCTATCGAGAGTGGCAGGTGTAAGGTCATGAACCTTATTCTATGCACTCGTTCTATTCTTATTTGATTTTCAATGAAAGGTCACGCTGAAATTTATTTTACGTAAAGACAAATCAGAAACCAATCATCTATGTTGTAAGGTAATGTGAAATTTTGTTAGCGAAACACGTTCACTCGGATGTTTTTGAAATTTCGACGATATTATGGATATGGAGCAGACCATCAAAACAGAAATGTTGGGTGACAAAAATAGAAATAATTCCAACAACATGTGCCTAACTGTTGAACTTTGCGTGGTTTGCGGCGACAGAGCATCAGGTAGGCATTATGGGGCCATTTCGTGCGAGGGCTGCAAGGGATTTTTCAAAAGGTCAATTCGTAAACAACTTGGATACCAATGTAGGGGTACCCAAAATTGTGAGGTTACCAAGCACCATAGGAATAGATGTCAATATTGCAGGCTGCAAAAGTGCCTCGCTTGTGGCATGCGAAGCGACTGTAAGTTATTCCAAATATTCACTATTCAATAAATATAATTGCCATTCTTTTCAGCTGTCCAACATGAAAGGAAACCAATCATTGATAAGAAAGAGTTTCCTAATAATTCAGAAATTAAGTTCAATCAGAACACTGTCAATGCCGTCAATAAAATATTTATCAGAAAAGACTTGAACTCAGAATTTGGGCTCCTTCCTCCTTTTTGCCCTAGCGACTTAGGCCTCCAATTTCTCAACAAGCGAATCGGTAAATATGATTGTTATTATTTCACACAGTTTTATTGTAAATTTGAAATTCACCTCTAATTCTTCGAGTTGCTTATCCTGTTTGATTCCTCCGACTTCCATCAGTAGAACATTCAATTTATCTACCACTTGTATTATACCTCTTTCGAAAGCCTATTCTCAACCAATCTTCCGTTCCACGAAGACTATTAATTCTTAACGAACCAACAAGCATGATTATATTAATAATTTACAAACTATCTCTTTAACCTTTTGTACTTTAAACTAATCTTATCACATTGTTTGTATTCCTTTTATTCGTTTCTTCAATCGGATCAATGGACAATTTTGTGTTATTGTTGCAGCGAACAGTACGCCTGCTTCAGACTCTTTTCACTTATCGCCGAGTCAAGCCAGTGTCGAAGATGACGTCTCTATGGATAGTACCAATACAGGTGCCGAACTCAACGACGCCCTGTCTAGTGCTCGGGACAAGCAGCTCATTTCGAAGGCCCTAGACACGATGGCCAAAGTGCAATGTTTGAACGGAACGGATTTGAATACCTTATCGAGTGACGAAAAGTGCATTAATTACAACGGGCAAATTCTACAGGAGCAGAACATGACTTTTAATTTACTAATACCCGGTCCGGTGCCGCCTTATCTCAATATACATTACATTTGCGAAAGTGGCTCTAGACTGTTGTTTTTATCGGTACATTGGGCCAAGAATATCCCTGCATTTCAGTACTTAAGGTAACATATTCACATCTATACAGAATATCTAAATAGTTTATTTTTTCCAGCCCAGAAACTCAAATCTCGCTGTTGAAAACATGCTGGTCGGAGTTGTTCACCCTCGGGCTAGCCCAGTGCTCGCAATCTTTATCTTTGTCCACCATTCGCTCGGCTCTAATTAGTCATTTACACGCCTCTATTGCTCAAGACAAAATGTCGGCGATTAAGGTGAAGCAAGTCACCGATCACATAGTTAAATTGCAAGATTTCGTGACGAGCATGAACAGGTTGCACGTAAATGAACAGGAATATGCCTACTTAAAGGCTATAACGTTGTTTTCGGCTGAACAACCGGATATTTTGATGAGAAAAGCTATAGAAAAGCTGCAGGAGAAGTCTTTCCAGGAATTGAGGAGTTATTTAGGAAATAGCGCGCCTGATGATCATGATAGGTTTCCGAGGTGATTTTATTGATGGTATTTTTTTTATTTCTAAATATTGAATCATTTTATATTTTAGGTTGTTGCTATGCTTGCCGCCTTTGAGAGCTATCGAGCCTAATATTTTAGAAGAATTATTTTTCGCCGGGTTAATTGGCCAAGTACAAATTGATAGTGTGATTCCTTATATACTGAGAATGGGAAATACGATGTCTTCCTCTAATAGTAACAGGCACGTAAAAACCGAACATTTAGACGAATTTTTGTGTAAATAGTGTAGGTATTTTTTGGTGTTTTGTATGTGAATGGAAAGTATTTTTTATATACACTGTTCTTCGACGTGTTTAGTACTTAAATAATTTTAAGCGGTGCAATTTTTTATGTTCGTTGCGATATGGGAAGCAACGAATATATTATGTGTATTTTATATGCTTCTGTAACCAAAATAAGATGAAACTATTTTCCTAAAAAATATTAAAAATAAACATATTTTTTTATACATATATTGCCAAAGAATTGCGAGTTTTTAAACTGACAATATTGTATATGTTACAACTAGCCAAAATTTCTGGAAAAACAACTTTTAGTCTAGTCCAGTAATAAATGTCTTCAAATACAAAACGTAACGTAGCTGTTGCCAAAAAATACGATTGGTTTTTATTATCTATTCCTTTATATCTAATGTGTAATAATAGTTGTAGTTATAGTTCTAGGAAATATGTATTACTACATAGCACGTAAGAGTTTCCTATTCAACCTTACTAAATTCTACTTAATAACATATTTTGGCATTGTATGAAATTGGTAATTTTGGAAAAAATGCTATAACTATTTTACTTTTTTCAGGAAATATTAATTTTACACTTCATTATTGTTTATTAATCGCTTCACTTGTTCAAATTTCATTTCAATTAGCAGCTAGTTTCTACGATGAAAGTTATAGATGGTATGTATAACTTATAAATTTGAAATTTTATTTTTAAATGATAAATCAATGACAGAAAATGTATAAATTAGAACACGTTATTTAGGTAGGATTGGTATTTTCAACTCGTTAAAAATATTTTATCCTGTTGTTTTTTTTTTATTTTAAGTTTTTCTACACTTTAATTTTTAATTTTTTGTGTATGTGATTTTTTTTTCTATGCTTTCTTATTTTGAATCAGTATTTTATATTTTTTATGTTTATTAAGATATATATTTTAGAATGAGATGATTTTTATATTTAATGATATACGCAGGGTAGATGAACAAATTTTTGTATAAAAATAATTTGATGTCCCTGTATACTATGAACTATTAAGAAAATAGTGTCAAGTACTTAAATGGATGAGATATGCCAAATTTTGAAAGTATTCACTTGAATTTAGTTGAGAGTTTCCTTGTAAATGAAAATAAAGAATAATCTACTAATAAAAAACTATTTAAAATATGGCAGGAAAGGAAACTTCAAGTTTTTATTTATTGGTTCACCTGTTAGGTATTGATGAGTCGGTGAATTTTTAATCGTTGGTATTTTATTAGAAATAAATTTTCGAGATTTTTTTATGTAAATTATAAGCAGGTAAAATGAGTGGAAAAATTTGGTCATTGATAAAACGGGGTGGTTTACGATTGGATGTATTATTTATGTACACTTAGTAATTAAGGTTTTTAACTAATATTTATTTAGTGCAATGCACATTTTCACTATGTGATATATATGCAAAAAGGTGATGTGCCTTTAAATACAATATATTTTATACAAAACTTTGTATGTACATATAACGTGGAAAAGTCGAAAATATTTTTTTCAAACTGTATTACATATTTTCTACCAATATCATTTTGTTTAATTTACCTCCCACCACGAACAGATATATATCTTATCTCGCTTTACCTCAGTTGAAGTTTTACTGTAAACCATGTACAATTGCCTCGCAATTTAAAATAGTGGCCAGCATTTTTGTTTTTACCGATTTAAATTAAATTCCTGCGGAAAAATGCGGTACGCTTTGTCTTATATCGCGAGTGCCCTAACAACTGTAGTCCTTAGTATTTTCGGTAAGTTTAATTTGTAAATGAAAGTGCCATAGATAGGTGTGTATCGCAAAGCATGTGACCCGATTGTAATATGTAATGTTTTTTCATATTTAGTTACCTATTATATTGTTACTGGAAAAGGGGAACAAGTCAGTTTTTCATGGTAAGTTTCACATTTTATCCTTAATAAAACATATTTTTTACATAGAAATACCCAATTATTTTTATTTAAAATTCACACAGGTACACAATCAAATTAAAATATTTTTATATAATTTATTTAGAATAATCAATCTAAGTTATTTTGTGCTTGAAAATCGTTTTATTTGCTTTTATTTGGTACTTTTATGTGTAGACGATATATTTTAACATCACATGTTTCCTACACAATTAAAATAATGCAAACAGTTATAATTACATCAATGTCGAATATAAAAGGTTTGTTCAATATTTTTTAGCAAAGTAGCTTCGACCAGCGGGAAAAAATATTTAAAACTTAATTTAACAGCTGTATTACTCAATAATTTTTAGACTTTAGTAGCACGTGATCAGAATTGTTCTAAATGATTTTCCTGAATATTTCGTTATATTCTCTATAAAACCAATTTACTGTAATTGTCTTTCCCATAGGTTTCTCCTAAATTCAACGCCCTATTTATGGGGTTCGTTGGGTATAGGTTTGGCAGTTTCCTTGTCTGTAGTAGGAGCAGCCGTGTAAGTCCCCTTATTAAAGTTGCTGGAATATTTTTAACACTCAATAATTTATAGAGGTATTCACACTACAGGAGTTAGTATAGTAGGAGGTGGTGTGAAAGCGCCCAGGATTAAAACGAAAAATTTGATTTCCATTATTTTCTGCGAAGCCGTCGCAATTTACGGCTTGATTATGGCCATCGTCCTGAGTGGAAGCTTCAAGGTAGATTAATTAATACCCGATTGAATGTCGGCTCACTTACAAGACTCGGTTTTAAGGAATTCAAAGATGTTAGGTTCGAAAACGATGTAAAAGTCTTCAATGCGAACCACTTCGGTGCTCACATAATATTCGGATCGGGCCTAACTGTTGGATTTGTGAACCTCGTTTGCGGATTTTGCGTCGGTATAGTCGGCTCAGGAGCTGCGATTTCTGATGCCGCCAATCCCGCACTGTTCGTGAAAATTCTCATCATCGAGATCTTCGCCAGTGCTATCGGTCTTTTCGGTCTCATTGTAGGAGTCTACTTGGTAAGAATCTTTTTAAAACTCTTAGGGAACGTTTGCGAATTGTTTTTCCCCAGCACCTTTACGAAATATTGGATTATTTTAAGTGATTTTCCGGAACGTAAAAAATCACATTCGGTTTTTAAAGATATTTCTCCGATGTTACGAGACTGCTCCTCGTACACGTTTGACATCGAGTTGTAGTTTGGCCTGGTTTTTCGTTTTAAAAGCGAATTGTCTGGTGAAAGAGAAATCGATGTTTTAATGCATGGATTGTTTAACAAGCCTTGTGAAGCTGGGAGAAAAATTATTTCGGCAATATTTACAATAATTGTTTTTTTGCAATGAATTTATTTCATTTCAGACTTCCAAAGGAAGCATGGGTTAAATGTATCTGCAACAATACATTTTGTTTTGTATATAATTTAAAATAAAAATGTAAGTAGGATAGTTGTACATTTCATTTTACAGTAACGTGAATTTTATGTTTTTTGTTATGTAGATATAAAAAGTTTTAATGGTGTTCGGTACGAGTAAATTCAAAGAGAGTGAAAAGGCATAACATTCAAATTACTGTATAAGGGTCATTTTTAATAGATTAGAGTAATTATATGGCCCAAAATAATAAAAATTGCTGTAGAATTCATTACAAAAAATAAATTTCTTGCGATTTGAAAAATTCTTCGTGTACTCTGGTGTAATTAATACATTGTGTAAAAAGTAATTATGTTAAACTCGATTAATGAATAAAGAGTTTTTACTGTTTTGACCTGTTGCAAAAATTATAATGCAATTTTAATATTCAAATTCAAAATCTTTTTTTGACATTTGGAAGTAGATGTTGACAACAGAACACAGAACGTTTGGTTTGATTCAACATGTACGTCTGTCTTTGTTATTCCCGTGACAGTGGCATTCGCTGTCCTTGTGTAAATTATTCAGAGGGTTAGGAGGAGTAAACGAAATAAACGTAGTTTTTTTCACGTGACAACGGGCGGACGACGAATTGTCACTTGGCAAAATATTATCCTTTTTTAGGGCTAGTGATAATTTTAATTATAATTTAGGTTGTTAAAAAGGAATATTTATTATGAGATACGTACTAGGAACCTCCTTTGTTGGAACACTAACTGTAGTAGGCACAGTATTAAGTAAGTAATAACTTTTGTTGTGTCCAAATGTTGTAATACATATTTTCAGCACTATATCATGTGTTTACTGGAAAAGGCGAAAAAATCAGCGTTGGATGGTGAGTCAAAAAACCTCTTCGAAACGTCCACATAACCTTACACTTTTCAGGTTCCTAGAAAACACCAGCCCTCATATGTGGGGTCTTCTAGGCATAGCTTTATCGGTGGCCCTTTCAGTCGTTGGTGCTGCAACGTAAGTGCATATTAACTTCATCAATTATCACTATATACTTATATTTTAGCGGCATCCACACAACAGGCACAAGCATTATCGGTGGAGGTGTGAAAGCCCCTCGTATCAAAACCAAGAACCTCATTTCAGTAATTTTTTGTGAAGCTGTCGCTATCTACGGTCTTATCACAGCAATCGTCCTTTCGGGTTACCTAGAAGTTAGTATATGTGTTCTCGTATAACTCATTCAGTTATTTCAATTGTATTTTGTTTATAGGATTTCACATGGGATGTGGTTTGGAACAACCCATCCTTAAAAAGTAAGAATTGGGCCGGAGGGTACCTCATGTTCGGGTCCGGTTTAATGGTTGGAATGGTCAATTATTCTGCGGTATGTGTGTGGGAATCGTAGGAAGCGGAGCTGCTCTAGCCGATGCTGCCAACGCCTCCCTGTTTGTAAAAATCCTGGTTATCGAAATCTTCGGAAGTGCCATCGGTTTATTCGGGCTTATTATTGGAATTTATACTGTAAGTTTTGCATTATCACTCCATTTTCGATTTATACGTAAGTTAATTGTTTGCAGGTATCCAGAGTACAAATGGGAGAAAAGATCAACTAAAGGACAGTATTAACACGTACATATCACTTTAGCATATGAATAAACATGATTTACATCCTTTTACATTCAATTTTAAATGAGATATATTGTAAATAAAAGTCATATGTTTAATACATTTATTATTATATACTTTATAAAAAACCAATTTGTTATTGTCCATTCCACATTGTTGATAACAATAAATTATAGGTAAATTTATTCGTGTATTCTTTACCCCAGTCTATTGAGAATAATAGAATATAATAGATTTATGATAAAACAAACTTTCCCTCAAGAACCTTTATTAAAAAAATACTTGATTTTTGTGACCTTGATAAATTTCGAATTAATTCCGATAGACCTTTATTTTCGGCCGAAGGGTGTTATGTGTCATAACGAGGAAAAAGCAGGGACATGTTATCAAGAATATAAATAGAAAAATCAACTTCAATTACCACACTTGGAAGAACACGACGTTTTCATACGGGGTGTAAACAAAATCCAATGAAAAAAATATCGGCGACTAGAAGGTTACGGGATTGCCAGATTTATGAAACATATTTCCTAAATAATTATTATTAATAAAGATTTTTTAGTAAACACAATAATTTTGGTGCAACTTATTAGAAATAATCTCTTCTTCCAAGCCTACATTTTCTAAAAATATTTCCAACACAAATTCAACTGAAATTTTGATCGAACTGGCAACGTTGTACGCGATTTTGCACAAGATTTTCCTCTTTATAGGGAATTTCTCGCATGAACGAGCTTCACAATTTTACAAGGTTGGTAATACTTCTTGTCATCACTGTCAAACCGCTCCGTACCAAACCAATAAACCTATTAAAATGTCAGACCGAATAATGAATCCGGAATAATGTGAATTAAACCATTTTCCAGATCATGGCAACACAAAAGCCAGGAGAATGGGCTAATACTCTTATTGTTCGGTTTGAGGAACAGGTTAGTGCATCGAATAAGTGTTTTACTTTCGATTTATTGGCCACTATTGTACTACCCACCTTTCAACTTCAACAGCTCAATCAATATTTACATGATACCCGGGATCATTCATGTATGCAATGTTTTAGCTAAATTCTGCGCTTTATTTTAGTTGCCCTGTCGAATTGGTCCCCAGACAACCCACTCGATCATTAACGAGGAACAAAACAAAGCCTGCATCATTCAAATTTCCAAATATCGTTTTGCATTGGTATTGGACGGATTTGTTAAAGTCATCAAACGAATCCACGAATTGGTATGATTTTTATTATTATTCTGCATTTTTAATAATTTTACGTTATATAAAAGTGCCGTGAAGCTTTAATTTTTCATGACAGTTTATTAGTATACCATAAAAAAAAGATTTCGTTTGTGGTACGTACTCCTGAACAATCAAAATTTAAAATTTTATATGTTGCACTAAAATATTTTTATATAATGAGTAGTGTTAAATCACCTATCGTAGAATTATTGATTTACAAGTTATGTATGCATTATTTATTTTAGTTAACATATTTTTTACCCTAGTGACACTAAATTATAATCGAGCATATGCATTTTCTATTAAAAACTTTACTAGACTATATTCCCGAATATTTTTTATTCTCATTTAATTTTGAGTAGAATTAATTTTTTTGGATTGCTTTTAGTACCAAACAGGCGCTTGTGGGGCTACTCGTCAACACGGTCCAGAATTGGAAAAGAATTACTACGATAGCTTAATAATTGTATTAGAAACATTAGAAAAATGTTTCAGTATTCAACCGAAAGACTCGATAAGTTTGACGATGGAGGAGAACAACAATTTGAAGTGTTTGCTGAAAGAAATTTGTTCCTTCTTGATAGCGAGAGGTATGTTATTTATTTTTCTCTCTGCTACGTAGGCGCCATTTTCGTAAATTTCTTTTAGATTTACCCCACGATAATCCTAACGTAATTGCAATAAAAATGTTAGCAAGTAAGGTACTATTCGCATTGAGCGTTAATTTTTTTAACGCTGTTTTCAATCGAATATCATCAAAATTACAAGAGCTAGCCTCATGTCCTGATGAAAATCCGGACTTCAGTGACATCGAGTTAATCCAGCACATAACTGTCGATGTGTCTAGATTAACGAGATTATTCCTGGAAGCCATATCCAAATTTAGATTGCTTAAGAAGACTGCTCATTTGGTTCTGGTAACATCCTTAGAGAAGGCCATCTGGAATTGGATGGATGGATTCCCTTACGAATTTTCCGAATTGCAGAAAAATCCCAATGAAGAAATGAGCAAATACGCTGAACAACTATTCGATATTTTAGATGCTTTTGGCGACAACAAGAAAGGAAGATCAGCCGTTTGGTCTCTTCAAATAATGCTGCTGATTTTAGCTCCAGTACGTATTTAAATAATCCTTTTCGTAAACTGTAGCATTGAAAAAATGTATTCTATTGTAGAAAGTTTTGGAGGAGATAGTAAACGCCGATAGTGGAGCGCCTTGTTCTCCTCGCCATAGCAAAAAGAAAATATTTATCGATAACATGAAACGATATCTCAGCCCGCACAGCAACAAACAACTAACGGAAGCTGCCATAGTGGCAAGTGTTAAACTTTGCAAAGCTTCAACTTACATTAACATCCACGATTCAAATCATGTGGCGTTTGTCTTGGTCCAAAGTATTTTGAACGACTTAAAGGTAAACATATTTAATCCAAATTTAATTCATTACTATGCTTAAATTTAATTTTAGAGCCTCCTGTTCAATCCACAGAAGCCCTTTTCTAGGGGTCAGAGTTACTCGTATCAAGACATGGAGCTCATGATTGATTGTTTCGTATCTATTTTCCGCATAAAGCCACACAATAACGAGGCACTGAAAGTGTGTTTGAATCTCAATTCGCAACCAAGTTTTCATTTTGTATTGGTAAGATCTTTGTACAAAATAGTCACCCAACCAAGACTGCATTGGTGGCCTCAGATAGATTTAGTTTACAACAAAGCTTCGGAATTAAGAGCTATGTTTACTGATACTTTAAACAAGGTTTCACAAGGTTACATAGCTCATACGCCATTACGAATGATTCAAATCACATTGAAGGGTAAAGACAACCAAAGCAAGTTCAAAGACCGCGCTGAAGAAGTACACTTGCTACTCTATATGGTTAGATTAGTGCACGCCGATCCGATGTTGATGCTAAATAATCAAGGAAAAGCGGGACACGAAATACAAAGCTCAACGTTGGAATTAATAAACGGACTAGTATCTCTAGTGCACCAGCCAACAATGCCCGAAGTGGCCCAGGAAGCCATGGAAGCCCTGCTGGTGCTTCATCATCCGGAAAAAATCGAAGTGTGGAATCCCGAGGCGCCCATAAACACATTCTGGGACGTCAGTTCCCAAGTGATGTTTTCGATTTCGCAAAAACTAATCCAACACCAAATCATGAATTACACCGACATCCTGAAGTGGCTGCGAGAGATACTAATTTGCAGAAATGCGTTCCTGGCTAAACACAAAGATTACGCCAACCTGGGCAGCACTATTGCCATTTGCAAGCAAGCCCATATCAAGTTAGAAGTGAGTTAATCGGTTTCGTTTAATGTGAAATTGTTAATATGTTACGTATTTTTCAGGTTGTCTTTTTTATGTATTTATGGAGCGTCGACATGGATGCTGTGCTTGTGTCAATGAGCTGCTTTGCCCTTCTGTGTCAAGAAGCTGAAATTCGCTGTGGATCAGATGAAGTGACAGTCACTTACTTGGTCCCAAATTACCACGTTTATCAAGAATTGGCAGCTGCTTCGCAAGTTCTTACTACTGGTATGTATCTAATTCTAGTTATAATTAATTTTTTGACACGTTAGATTTGACTTAACAAGTTTTTCTGGTGATTGAACTTACTCTTTCTTTAAATTTGTGCAGCTTCTGGAGAAACAAAGCTTTGTTTCCCAGATCATTTGAATGGTAAGTTTTTTAGTATTAACGCTGCTTTTTCTAATAATAAGTTACTAAATAATCAACCTATTTTTAATCTTTAAGGACGAGCGGCTCTTCAAAAGAGAATTATGGCGCTGCTGAGAAAAATCGAACATTGTATTAATGGCGTGCAACCGGCTTGGGAGGAAACGTTTATGAATTGGAATGGAGTTTATAAAAATTTATCAACATATCCCAAACAGCAAAGAGCCGAAGACGGACAAATCATGGATCCTTTCCACAGGACCATGGGGAAACGGAGAGCTTCACACCAGAATTCCGAACATGACTTGGAGGTAATAAAGTTTATTTATTACTTTCAACGTTTTAAATATTAATTATGTGTTTTTTTTAGTATTACATTTTCTTGAAGGATCAGATAAACGAGTGGGCGAATATGACAGGGTTCTTGTGTGCTCTAGGAGGAGTTTGTTTACAGAGAAAATCTCCTTCTAGGCCTCCTTTATCAACCAGCTCACATTCTAGCTTGTCTTCGATGACAATAAGCTCTGTAGGGAGCGCTCTCGGCGCAGAGCCTATTATTTGTAGCAGCAAAAGCAAAAATCCGCTACAAGGCGCGCCTCCTCAGACACCCTTAGACTCTCGCCAGTATTGCCCAGTTACTTCGTAAGTAGTAGAAATGTCCACATTTCTGTCATCAATGACAATCACTATTACAATTTCAGCTTCGTGGATTTGCTATTGCGCTTACTAGTCTGTTCTAATGAAAAGTTTGGAGCTCAAATACAAAAACACGTGAAGGAGTTGATCGGTCACGAGATGTCCTCGGCTCTGTACCCGATTCTATTCGAACAAATCAAATCGATCGTGGACAAATTCTTCGATATATCAGGCCAGGTCGTGGTTACCGAACTGAACACCCAGTTCGTCGAGCACATTATCTTCATAATGAAGAACATCTTGGATTGCACTAAGAACGATCAGCCCTCGGAGCATTTGGGCGTGACCAGCATAGAGGGCATGATGCTGTCTATCGTGAGATACGTCAGGTACCTCGACATGACGGTTCACGCCATTCACATGAAGACCAAACTCTGTCAGCTGGTCGAAACGATGATGCTGAGAAGAGACGACCTGGCCTTCCGGCAGGAAATGAAATTCCGGAATAAACTGGTGGAATATTTGTCGGACTGGATCATGGGCAACTCGCACCAAATCGCCCCGCCCGGCTCCGGCGACGTCACCACCATCGCCAGGGAATTGGATCAAGCGTGCATGGAGGCCGTTGCGGCTCTGCTCCGAGGCCTCCCCTTGCAGCCCGAAGAATCCGACAGAGGCGATCTGATGGAAGCCAAGAGCCAGCTGTTCTTGAAATATTTCACCCTGTTCATTAATCTGCTGGGAGATTGCTCGGAACTGACCGACGAAAAAGATATCACCAAGTCCAAAGTGTTCAATTCGAGGCATAACAACTTACGAAGCGCTACCATACAGGCCATGTCGAATTTGCTTTCGGCCAACATCGACAGCGGCCTCATGCATTCAATATGTAAGAATTTCGTATTTTGTAAAATTCGTACTAAAAAATACCTATATTTTAGATTTGGGTTATAACAAGGACCTTCAAACGAGAGCAGCTTTTATGGAGGTGTTGACTAAGATTCTGCAACAGGGCACTGAGTTTGATACCTTAGCTGAAACTGTCCTTGCAGATCGTTTCGAGCAATTAGTTCAGCTCGTAACTATGATAAGTGACAAGGGCGAATTGCCGATAGCAGTCGCTTTGGCGAACGTTGTAACTACCTCGCAAATGGACGAACTCGCTAGGGTGTTCGTCACGTTATTCGACGCCAAACATTTATTATCGCCTCTGCTCTGGAACATGTTCTACAGAGAAGTGGAAGTATCGGATTGCATGCAAACGTTGTTCCGGGGCAACAGTTTGGGCAGCAAAATCATGGCGTTTTGCTTCAAAATATACGGAGCTAGTTATTTGCAAACGCTTTTGGAACCTTTGATAAGGCCGCTGTTGGAGGAGCCGTTTTCGAGTTTCGAGGTCGATCCAGCGCGATTGGAAGCAAACGAGGACATCGAAGAGAACAGACAGAATCTCATAGCGCTAACTCAAGAAGTGTTCGACGCTATCGTCAACTCCGCGGATAAGTTCCCTCCTCAGTTGCGGTCAATGTGCCATTGCTTGTATCAAGTTTTGAGTAAAAGATTCCCGTCGGTTCCGCAGAATAATATCGGAGCCGTGGGTACAGTGATATTTTTACGCTTTATTAATCCTGCCATTGTTTCCCCTCAAGAAATGGGAATAGTTTGTAAACCAGTACCTAGTTCAGTAAAGAGAGGACTGATGCTGATGTCTAAGATACTGCAGAACATCGCGAACCACGTGGAGTTCAGCAAAGAGCAGCACATGCTGCCGTTCAACGATTTCCTGCGGGCCCACTTCGAGAGCGGCCGCCGATTTTTCATTCAGATCGCGTCCGATTGCGAAACCGTCGATCAAACGTCGCACTCGATGTCGTTTATATCCGACGCCAACGTGCTGGCGTTGCATCGACTCTTGTGGAACCACCAGGAGAAAATCGGCGATTATTTGTCGAGCAGTCGCGATCACAAAGCGGTGGGACGGCGCCCGTTTGATAAAATGGCGACTCTTCTGGCGTACTTGGGACCTCCCGAACACAAACCAGTCGATTCTCAGTAAGTCACCGCTCGATAAAACGCACATTTAATAACCATACTCACTCTCTGCTTTATTCAAGTATGTTGTTTTCGTCGTATGCTAGATGGAGTTCGATAGATATGTCGTCTAACAACTTCGAAGAAATCATGGTGAAGCATAACATGCACGAAAAGGAAGAGTTCAAATCTATTAAAACTCTGAACATCTTTTATCAATCGGGCACTAGCAAGAGTGGATACCCAGTGTTCTACTACATTGCTAGGAGATTCAAGTAATAACTTCACGCCAGTTGTTGTATTAAATGCTGAATTTCGATTTGTTTAGGTTCGGTGAAACGAACGGCGATTTGCTTATATACCACGTCATTCTCACGTTGAAACCTTTCTGTCACGCTCCTTTCGAAATCGTAGTGGATTTCACGCACACCAGCACTGATAACAAATTCAGAACGGAGTTCCTGCAGAAGTGGTTTCACGTTTTACCCGAGGTTGCTTACATCAATTGCTACGCCGCTTACGTGTATAATTGCAACAATTGGGTGCGAGAATACACGAAATTCCACGAGAGAATCCTAGCACCCTTGAAGGTAATATTGGAGGGTATATTTTAGCGATGATTCATCGATTATTTTCCACAGGGTTGTCGTAAATTGATCTTCGTCGAATCGATGAACAGATTGTGCGATTACATCGAGGCAGAACAACAAAAACTGCCAGGAGCCACGCTGAGCTTGGACGAAGATCTGAAAGTGTTCCACAACGCTTTGAAATTGTCCCACAAAGATACGAAAGTAGCTATTAAAGTCGGCCCTACTGCCATTCAGATAACATCGTCTGAGAAAACGAAAGTCCTTTCGCATTCGGTACTGCTCAATGATGTGTATTATGCTTCAGAAATCGAAGAAGTGTGCCTAGTGGATGATAACCAATTTACTTTGACTATAGTAAACGACAGTAGCCCTCTTAGTTTTATTCATAACGACTGTGATAGTATAGTGCAAGCTATTGTACATATAAGGAATCGATGGGAGCTTAGCCAACCCGTACGTAATCGCCACTTAAACTTTTCTATTTAATATTCATCGTTAACTTTGCAGGATTCCGTAACAGTTCACCAAAAAATTCGACCAAAAGATGTACCGGGAACATTACTCAATATGGCATTACTTAATTTGGGTTCGTCCGATCCGAATTTGAGAACAGCAGCTTACAATCAGTTGTGCGCCTTGACGGCGACTTTCGATCTCAAAATTGAAGGGCAGTTGTTGGAAACTCAGGGGTTGTGCATTCCATCCAATAATACTATATTCATAAAATCAGTATCAGAAAAATTAGCAACGAACGAGCCCCATTTAACATTAGAATTCCTAGAGGAGTGTATACAAGGTTTTAGAGTGTCCAGCATAGAGTTGAAGCATCTGTGCTTGGAGTACATGACGCCCTGGCTACCGAACCTAGTTAGGTAAGTAACTAGGTAGTAACTAGTAACACATTTAACGTTCCTTTAATCATTTCGTTTATACAATAGATTTTGTAAGGCATCAGAAGAGAATAAAAGACAGAAACAAGTATCCGGAATCATCGAACAATTGATACTATTAACCATCGAGGAGGTGCAAATGTATCCTTCGATCCAGGCGAAAATTTGGGGTTCCATCGGGCAAGTGCCGGAACTGATCGATATGGTGTTAGACAATTTCATTCACAAATCTGTCCATTCGGGTTTAGGCTCTCCCATGGTGGAAATCATGGCCGACACGGCCGTCGCACTCGCCTCGGCCAATGTCCCTTTGGTGGCCAAAAAAATTATCGGAAGGCTGTGCAGGGTAATAAAAAAAGTACGCATATTTTTAGAGGATGTTTAATATAAGCATTAATACATATACCTGGTGTAAATTTTGGTTTACTGATCACTTTGATACGTTTTTTTAGGAGCATCTTTTCTTGTAACGAGTAATTTTATGCACCAAGTATCTGTTGAATTGAAAAGAGGAGTACCTTGTAAGCCTCTCTGTGATTAAACAGCTTTATTTATTTTTTTTATAGAATGCAAAGGACATAATTGTAAGACTTGTAAGAGAAGTCAGATTTAACCAACCGTCATTGGTATGAAATATTTTATATTTGTTGAACGGTAGATGGTTTATTTTGAAATTGAAATTCATACTTCATAGATATTTAGTTTTGATCAGTAAACTAGCGTGGAGTATGTATTTGAATGTACCAGATTATAGTCGGATTGTTAAATGTTCAAACGTATCATGAATATTTCTGTTTCGACATTTTAATTTTATGTTATCCTTATTTTATCATTGAACGTGCTAAAATTTTGATATTAGACTCCATACATTTTATAACTGTAATAAATATTAATGAAGTTTAATGTCAAAATGTTGTTGGAATGGTCATTAGTGCTTTTGTTGTCGTGCTTTGCATTTATGTTTTATATTTTGCTTCCATCAGTAGATGTCCCCATGGCAATCATTTTTTTTTTCTACCTCAAAGTTTTCTTCAACAGTGCGTTTGCATTTATTTAATGTATATAAATTACTTGAACTCCGATTCATTACTAAAACAATTTTCTTTTGTGTTGAAACTATCCTGTAATCACCTCGTTTTAATACAAAATAATAGAAATATTCTTGATACTTATTGGTGTGGTCAGTTAATGTTTATTCACGAACCTCTTAATGCTTATGTTAACTTATCTCTTTTTTTTTCTATTTAAAAAGTTAACGAGTGTATAAACAATTTCGAAAAAGGTTTCTAATATGTGTTGAAAAAATTGCTTTAATTGTTCATGTGCTTGTTGACTGAAGAATTTAAATGATCCAAAAAATACTTATTTAATTGAATATTAAAAATTATTTTTTGAATCCTTTAAAAACATTAGTTTTAATAGGGCTCTATAAAATTTGAATTTCCTACAAAATTTTTAAATTCAAATTTTTATCCAGGAAATGGCAATCGTTTGGCCAAAAACCTATCATTCGTTGTGAAGTTTGCAACAGATGAAGGGCATAAATGAGCATAAGTTAATAACTAGTATTGTAATTTTGATATGTTATTTGTTGTCAGATTTTTCCAGAAGTGTTACTGACTTTCGAATAATTTCTTTGCAGGTGGTCGATAAAACGTGCCAATCCCCCACACCGCTTTTAGAACAGCACATGATGTGGGACGACATAGCCATTTTAGCGAGATATCTCCTAATGTTGTCATTTAACAATAGTTTAGACGTAGTAAGGCACCTACCTTACTTATTCCATACAGTTACATTCCTCGTGTGTTCCGGATCGTTGAGCATGCGCGCTTCGACGCACGGCCTCGTCATCAACATCATCCATTCGCTCTGTACGTGCACGAAGCCTTCGTTCTCCGAAGAGACCCAGCGGCTGCTCCGGCTGTCGCTCGACGAATTCTCGCTGCCCAAGTTCTACCTGCTATTCGGAATCAGCAAGGTCAAATCGGCGGCGGTCACCGCGTTCAGATCGAGCTACAGGCACCCGAACGAAAAGTGGTTCGGCAACGAACGCAGCTTCTCGGGCACGGGCAATCAGGACCGCGAAAGGCTATCGTTGACTTCTCTAGAGGTCATCACCGACGCTCTGCTCGAGATCATGGAGGCCTGCATGCGGGACATCCCCGACTGCGATTGGTTGAAGAATTGGACGTCGCTGGCGAAGTCTTTCGCGTTCTGTTTCAACCCGGCCCTGCAACCGCGGGCTCTCATCGTCTTCGGTTGCATAAGCAAAAGCATCACGGACTTCGACATGAAGCAGCTGCTGAAGATTCTGGTCACCGCTTTGGAGAGTTTCAACGACATGGCGCTCATCGAGTCTATCGTCATGTGCTTGACGCGCCTCCAGCCTCTGCTCAGGCCCGAGTCGTCGATTCACAAGGCTTTGTTTTGGGTGGCCATTTCGGTGTTGCAATTGGACGAGAGCTCGCTGTACGCCTCCGGCCTGGCTCTGTTGGAGCAGAATTTGCACACGTTGGACTCGCAAGGAACGTTCGAAACCGAGGTACTTACTCGATTAGATTTGTACTTCTTGTACCATTAACGCTCGGAACGTTTTAGAGTTTGGAAGTCGTAATGTTGCTGACGCGCGAACCGCTCGAATGGCACTTCAAGCAACTGGACCACGCAGTCGGTTTAAGCTTCAAGGCTAACTTTCATTTTGCTCTAGTAGGCCATTTGCTCAAGGGATACCGCCATCCCACGCCCACTACAGTGTCCAGGACTGTTAGGATATTGACCAATCTTTTAACCATCGTCGCTAAGCCTCACAAAAGAGATAAATTCGAAGTCACCATCGACAGCGTCGCGTATCTCACAGGTACATTGTCACAAACCTATTAATTCGTAAATAAAAACGATGTCGCGTCCTCAGCTTTGGTTGGCGTTTCCGAAGAGGTGAAGAGCAGGTGTCACATAAAGCACGCCATTCCTCGCGGCCTGTCCGATTCGGTTTCGCAGAATAATTTTAGCGGCGATAACGCTCAAGGCGCCGGTAACAGTTCGCAGCAACATCAGGGCGCGGCGGGCGCTTCGCAGGGTAACGTGAACCGAAGGCAAAAGTCCTGGGATTTGCTCGACCAGTCCGCCCTGGCTCAAGCCAGGATCAAGCAGCCCGCCGTCACGCAGGCGCAACATCAGGTACGTGTTTCGTTTCGCGTTCGAATAATTAGTAGTTTTAGAATTTGGTACTAAATTATAACTTTTTACTAATCGTTATTGGTATATTGTTTTTCGTTTCGTTGTCAGAGTTTCCTCGTAGTATTAGGTTATGAGGTTGAAAACACGTTGAATTCGGATTTTAATCGAGTCGACGAGATTCCATGTGTTTTCAAATATATCCCCCTAAAAAAATATATTTTGCTTTTTAACAGTCTTTATGAACGATAGTAACATTTTAATAACGTACCTGATACAGGTAGAAAAGTCGAATTCGACAGCTAAAAAGGGCTGGCGAAGTTTAGATTTAACGCAGAGCCCGTGCATTCAGCCCAACGGTGGCTTTACGCGGCCCCTGTATAGAACGCAGAGATCTCGTTCGGTGCCCGTGCAACAGAACCCCCCACCGAATGTGTCAAATAGCGCCGTTAATCGAAGTCCGGCTAAAGTAAGAACTTCGACAACTGCATACATGCTGAAGTGATTGATATGATATTCTTCTAGGATGCAGTGATTGGGGACATTTATCTGATCTAGCAAAATCGGGGTTCACGATATGAAAAAAAATTTCTACTTTTTACTCGTAAATTGCGTAAAAAGTGCAGAAATTTTGCGAATATATTTTGTTGTTCAGATCTACTTCTTTAATCACTGTTGTATCGAAATAGAAGGCTGGAATGCTTATTGAGTATTCGAAATCTGCTAAGCTCAACTTTTTTCTATTTAGACAAAGTGTATTAACACTTCTTTTTTAGTTGTCTTGGTTGCCATCCGTATTTACTGTATTTCTGTCTATGGAATGTATATTGAAATTCATTGCAAACATATAGAAATCATTTAAATACTAAAAAATACTCAGCATAATGCGTTAATAGTAATTCTATATGTTTGCTAATTAAAAAAAACTATGCTTCAACTTCTTTCAAAGGTCTTTTCCTAGAGATTAGTTACATTTCGAAAATATTTAAAAACATACGTGTAATTTAGATTGAAGTAAGTAAGTAAGTAGAGCACTTGTGGTATTAAAATACACTTTGGATGATTCTCGATGCGGTATAATAATCATATTTAGCTGCAACGTAATATTTTCCGTTCACAAGTACCAAGTAACCAAGTACTTGTGCTAGCATCATGCTTACTAATTTTTGCTGCTTATCTTGCCTGTTTTGCCTTCTTGGGGGCGACCACCAAATCAGACTGCACGAGCCCTCTTCAAAACCCAACGTTCTTTTTCCATGCCCACGCCAAAAGAACAGAAACCTCTCGATGAAGAGGAGAGCAAGGTAATATATTTTTTTCTTGATAGTTTTTTTTTGTACATAAAAACTTTTGTATTGGTTCAAAACGTGTACGAGATGATGCAGGATGTGTTACAATTTTTTTAGATAAACAGGATTAATAAGCAAATAATATATCCTGTATTTTTTTTATATTACATTTCAGTTTATTGCAAAATTTAAATCGAACATAATTCCTTGTGGTTCTAATAACGGTATGACTCAAAAATTTCCTTCACGCTGACGTTGGTCGAATTTTTGCATGTCGTTTTAATTAATGCATCCTTGTTATTGAATACCCTTAATAGTATTCTGAAGTAATATGATTGTTTTTTTTATCGCACACATACAGTCTGCTCGAACAACCATCTTTACATTACGAATAGACTGTCGTGCATCGTTTATCGCATGCTACTAATCTCTCATTAATTTCCTCGTTAACAATATGCGACTCGGAAAATTTCGGGTCGCCGAAGGTGGGAAATTTCCAATGTAAATTGATCGGGCGTCTTTTTAGAACCGGAGCGCGAGAGCGTCAGTCAGTAACGAAAACAACGTTCTGCTGGACTCGGAAGTGTTGAACGATTACGCGGTACAGGCGCTCGTATTGACTACTCTAGCTACTTTAGTCAAATACAGCACCGACGAGGCCGAAACCACAACTCTCTACCAATACCTCGCCGAAGGAGCGGTGGTATTCCCGAAAGTATTCCCAGTGATGTAAGTAAATTTTACCCCAAAGAAACGGCGATGAATACAATTGCTATTTCAGTTACAATCTCATCGATATGAAAATCAACAACGTACTAACTTCATGCCACGATCCTCAAATACTAAGTGCAGTTAGAAGTATAATTCAAAATATGATTGCTTGTGACGATACAGGACAACAACAGTTGCATTATTTGCAAAGTTGTGGATTCGGTGGGCTGTGGAGATTTGCAGGACCATTCAATAAGGTAAGAGGCGCACTTCGACGTGCTAAAAAAAAAAAAACTGACGCGAATTCCGCTTGCAGTACAACAATGTACCGGAAAGCTGCGAGCTTTTCGTGAATTGTTTGGAAGCGATGGTGGTGACGTGCCTTCCGTCTGACGATGTGGAAGCCGAGAACGGGGAATTGACCCAGTACCCTTCGATGTTGAGCGTCAGCTCGACGATGAACCTGTCGTCGAGCATGTCGAGCCTGACGCTGGGCTCGCCGACCGAGCGGGAGATGATGATTCGCGACGTCGAAGGGGGCAGCACGACGTCCTTGGGCCGAAGTAAGCACCGTAATATCAAAGGCAAATCCCACGCCCACTCTGAAAACTCTTCTTTACATGAATAAGGAAAGAATCGTTAGAAGGAATGTTGTCATCTTTCTTTGTTTTGCATACCATCAGGCCGAAAACGTGACTTAAAAATTTGGGCAACGATCCAAACCTTTGGCCATATGTGATATGGCCGAAAAGTGGATGTTTTTATGACAGACTCCTCCAAGAATCACTTTGTTTGCGAGAGGAATCGGTGAGGGGTGTTTATTTATCTATTTTAGAGGGGCCACTACTGTTTTGTAACAAGTAAAATTTAAATAATCGTTCCACTGAATAATACATACCGATCTCTGCGAAGGGTTACTTGAAAAGTTACCGTTTCTTCAGTATATTTAATAAGCATACTTCGATCTACCACTATTTAACAATAGGTATTATAAAATTAATCTAAATGTCGTTCTTAGATCGCTAAATAATCGTAGCTAGCTAAACTGTTTAGAATTTCTGAGTAACATATTATGATACTTTATTTACCGGTTTCACGATATGATGCAATACGATGCACAAAAAGTTTGATTAATACAGATAATCAAAGAACACACGTTTCATAGAAGTAGAACTTTGTGGCCTTTTTAACAGATATTTTGCCGTCATTGAGATAAAATTGATTGTGATTGAGCATAATTTTAAGTGCATTAATTTAGATTTGTTATAATAAAACAACAATCTTCCCGAACAAATTTGTGGGATCATTTTCCCGAGGTTCCAAAAAACTTCTTAGGAGTAAGCTATTGTTCCTTGTGTACAATGGTTCGTGTAACCACTAGTAAATTTAAGAATAACTAAAAATATGTACATCAATACGAATTGTGTAATAATTTTTTCGGATTGTAAGAAACTTTTTGGGTTGGAGGAGCACAATCAACTTTTATATGTGGTGATGGTATTGAATTATACACGGGATATTCTTGTACGAGGTCGCCGGTTGGTTAGTTTGGGCCTGCTCGAATATCCGTATTAGCCAAGATTTATTATTATACTTAAGACTAAAACACTTGTATTTTCTGCATATTTTTTGTCTGAATTTTTTCGAAGAAGGTGTACAAAATACAAGCCAAAACAAGTTGAAATTTCGTATTTTCAGAAGGATCCGTCCCTTCTGTTTCGTACGGGCTGAAACTTACAAATCATTTTGTTGTCTTCAACAAAAACTGAATACGCTTATTAATGATACTTTTTATCGTAGGGATACATATATTCTAAACTAATTTGCAATATTTACAGTGGAAATAAACAGTAAGTCATTAATAAAGAAAACTTTTTCAGCCACAGTATTGGCATGGCACGATTCCCATACAAACTATTTAAGGGGATCCGATTGTATGTTAGTTACCGCATTCTATCGCGCCAACTGTGGTTTTCTGCCTTGACTTACTATCGAGTGAAATCCACTTAGTTCAGGGATGCTTATATCATAGTTGTTGTACATATATATTATATATAAAATCTAGTGCTGACATAGTTGTTATTTACTTATCTTCGGTGTTCAAAACGACTAGATATACTTTTTTCTTATTCTTGGGTGTCACGTGCCGATGACTTAGGTATTGTAAGATTGAATCGAATCCCATTGTGATGTGTCCACGTCTTAAATGTTTATTCTCTTGTAGCCCTTTTGAGATTGATTGTAATTACCATCGGTGCGCCTCGAATTACGTCCGACAGCGTAATTCGTCCCGCACAGGCTACAAGGGCGGGCAATTCGAAAATGTGATAAAAAACATTTTGAAGCTAACATGTCCACGTTTGATGTTTCCTTGGATTTTAATTTTTGCACTACAGTTAACAGTTCGGCCTATTGACTAAAGGAATCGGTTTAACGAAAGCGAAACGATTAGAATTCGTAGTGATTTAAACGACTATTTATTTTTTGGACCAGTCTGTCGTAAAGGGGTTCACTGACGATTACGCTTATTCAGCTTTTTAGCTGGACCTTAGGCCTAGGTTTGAAACGCCAGCGCGGACGTAATCGGGAATATCGGACTTCCAAAGGTTCCTGAAGAGTCTCTTTTTGGCTTTGTCTACTTGTTTATTTATCGTTGGGTGATCGGAAGTTGTGCTAGGAAGCACACTTCGTATTTTTTGATTGTGCTCGCCATTGAAACTGACGGCAAGGAATTAATTATCCAACGATAATCGGGCTATTTAGGAACGCGAAGGTTTTATTCCGATTGCGTCTTTCTGTACACTTTCCAATCTAGGTTATTTTCATCTTTGCCTCAATTATATTATAAGGAGTGTATGGAAGTTTTGAATAAAAAAAATAAGCAAATGACAATACTTTCTCTGTATCTAACGACTGATATTTATTTCAACATTCATGCAGTCAAAACTCAAAACTTACTCTTTCACCTTAACGGCGTGAGGTAATGAGAGGGTTTCAAAATCTAGAGGAAGTGTTTTCTAAATTTTGAAAGGTTTTTGTTGAGTAAGACAATAATTGTGAAAATTTAACTCGTTTCATTGGGTTGACTTATTTTAGAATGGGAAAGGAAATTCCATTGCCTGATGGTATGCTGACAAAGGCGGGTATATATGATGCAAAATAATTTTCACTGAAACAGACGATTTTGTTGGGAACCAGCAGAATGCGGACATAGATTTTTTATAAGACTTTTTCTGTAGCGTGTGTGTCGTTTTGAGTCCATCGAAATCGTCTGTTTGGGGGCATTTTAATATCGTATATGCTCGAAGAAGCCCGTGTTCATTTTTTTATTAAAGAAATAAATTTTTGTAAAGTTAATCCTATTAAGACTGCTACTTTTTATTCAGAGTTAAGGTTTAATGAAAATGGACATAATGAGGTAAAGATGACATAAATGTTTCTTCTAACTATTTGTTATAATATTCTAAATAAACTTAAGGATATGTGAAACCAGATGTACAAAATATTATCTACTATATTGTACGCATTAATTTCATGCATAAAAATTAATTTTTATATAACATATACATCTCAGTATTTTTAAGACTTTTTTTTGTTCAATTCGTAATAATAATTAACTGGTTTATTTTGCTTAGTTCGAAACGAAATAACTGATTTTAGTAAAAAAAATTAGTTTATGTAAAACTAATTGCACCAGTCTCTATTTATATTAATAGAACACACGGTCAGTAAAAGTTATTTATTTACTTTTTTTTAGATTATTTTAACCGGTACAGGTTTGTGTCTTGTACATAATCGTATTATGATATTTTCTTATAAAAATAGTTCCTTAATATATATTATTTATTACATAGATTATGAGCATAATTATGAAATGGTTGTTTAAATTTGTATTTGGTTCTTTTTTAATTGCGCAAGATTTTATTTAATAATTAATTCATTAATTAATGGATTGTTTTTATTGATCTTCTCGAGCTTCGGTGGCTGTTTTAAAATTATACTTTTAATCTGTTTAGCACAAATGAATAACCACACAGACCTATACTTTAAACAAGCATTCATAGTTTTGTTTTTCATGACAATTTTTTCGTAGTTTTATTGCATTTAAATGGTTTCAAAGAACGATAGGTACTGAGGTCTATCTATCATATTAAAACAAAAAAAAAAACATTTTCACATATCCCATTTTTCCAAATATTATTGTCTTAAATGTACAAATTAGTAGTTGCTAGTTCTAATTGTGTTCACGATACATATTGGGAATGGATTCTTACCGATAAACGGCAAGAAATACGTCCAATTTATCCATAATCAATAGCTGTTTACACAACAAGTATATCTTACTTTTTCAATATTACTCATAGTGCTTTAGGTGATTTTAAAATGCATTAACTCCGAGGAAAGATCGCGATACTTTTTCTGCAACCGAAAAAAGGAATAGATAATTCTATTATTACACTGATTGTTACTTTGTAACTGAGTACAATAGGTCGCAGAAAAAGCACTTGCGATTAAATTCCCCAATTGGATTTTGTTCATGTTCATAACAACGAAAAACTCGAGCAATGCTCGGGCAGATCACTAGGCAGAATAGCAGCAAACGGTCCGGATAAAATGTTCAAAATAAAATGTACAATGTTCAAAAACCGGGAAACTTCCTTCAGCACCGGGTGCACTACTTTGTCCTTCATAATGTTAGTTACTAATTAATGTTATTAAAATTGAACGAGTGAACGTGATTCACAATATCATTCGATAATCATGTCAACTGGTTTGGACCAAAGAGATATTTCCGACGTACCCGGAAGAAATCTAGCGCGCATTTGCAGGAGATGGATCATCCAATAAGACGTTAACACAAGTATCCAGCAACACTCGCTGCAATTAGTGATAATAAACAGGTTCCTTTTTCTAAACACATGTGGGCAATCTTCATTTCGGCACGTGCCTTTTATTATACTTAGGAACGTGAATTCGATTCACTGTAATGTACTTCAATGCTGATAGCAATAATGTAGTATAATCATTATGTAGACTTTCGCCAGGTAATATACACCTGGCTTTGTTTGCCAGGTCTTAGATCTGCGTGCAGGTGCAAACTTAACGTTTGTGTAAGTTTTTTCTTTCGGACAATATACCGATTGCGCTAGCAATCCTGTAATAATTATAGTTTACTAAATCGGAACGATTAATTGTGTAATTGACGTGGACAGTATTTGCCTGTGATGGTTCTACAACGAACATATGAAACCACGTCTATTCCTATGATTTTTTTTAATACATCTAAGTTCATCACTCTTCCCTCATTTTCTGCTTTGCAGTTAAACGGTTTTGGAAGGTAATTTTGTTCCCAGTACATATAAAAAAATGCAATTTAATGACTATATAAGCATGAAAGTTGTTTCCATAAATTTACGCATGGAATTGCGGCTAAAACGTAAATATATTAAACTCGAATTGTACTAATTCGTCGCCTTCGTGTAAAACATAACACCAGTATCGATTGGATACAACCTCTATTTTTTAGAACTACGGATTTGTAAATTTTATACTACTTCAATTATTTTATCAAAGTATATTACAATATCTTAGCTTATAGAACCTATTGAATCACTACAATATTCTAAATTAATTATAATTTGTAACGTAATTGTTTGTTATGTGTATAAAAAAAAAGTGTGTGCACTACTATTAACACCGAATATGTTCATAATTACATACCTCTTAGATAAATGTTTCTATATACGTACGGACTCGGAAAAATTCTGCCCAAAAGCTGATCTGCCCCGAAGGGCATTGCTCCATTTGGATGTGAAACCGCGCTATTTCACAATATTTATCGTGTCCAAGCATCGAATCTGTCTTTGTTACAGAAATGTTTTAAAATATCTTAATGTTTTTAAGATCTATTTGTTTCTACTCAGATATATGTGTCATGCTGTTGATTGGCGATACTATAAATGTAATGTTGACGAAATTACATTGGCTCAGTAATTTTTTTCCAACAGAAGCATTTATTGTATTATTCGTGTGTATGTATAAATGTTGTATTTTGACTTTATCGATTGGTAACAGTTTAAATCCTGCTTAGTAAGAGCAAAAAAAAAATAACCTGAACTTGTCCTTTACATTTTCTAGATGTTATGATAAATGTGCCCCATTTGTTCCTCTAATTAATTCTTAGTTTAAAACATGCTCATACTTAAAGTATTGATTGTTTTACGTGAATTTAATATGTTCACAACAAATTTCCCGTTGGAATTGAAACAGGTTTAAGAATCTAAACTAGCAGGAAATGAAAAGCAGCAATAAAATAAGAGATCGGTTTATTATTCATTAGTAGAATGGTCGAATGATGCCGTTTCAACCACTATCTACCTCTATTTATAGGTGAAAAATATTAGTAGGTAATTTTTGTTTTGGGGATAAAAATTGGTATTGCCTTGAAAGGGAGAAATAAAAAAGCCACGAAATTTATTTCTTGCGCTTCAACTGAATAATACTTGTATTACTAGGGCGTTTTCGCCGGATTCTACTGATGAATACGAGGCTTGACTCTGGGCAACGGCGAGACTGTTTAATCAAAATAACATTTAATTTATTAAAATTAATACTCGTGTGCCAAAAGTTTTTGTGTCAAGTAATATTTTGCAAGAATAAGAAAACAGCGATTAGGTAGATGAAAGTAGTTCATTTGAACTCCACTTTCTTCTTAATCCGAAATAATATAATAAACCTACTTTGGTACATAAATGGCATTTGTTTAAAAAGTAGATATAACTAGCAAGTCTCAACATAGTCTACTTGACACTAGTGACACTAATTTTAAATAAAATATGAATATTCAAAGTAATATATTTTTATATGACTTATTAAACGCAACAGTGCAAAAACAGATTTGTCGTTGATTTGAAGGTAATGGCTGTTGAATAGTACCTTAATTGTTGGTGAATGACACATTTTATATCGAGTAGCTATTGTTAAATTTTTTTGTATTAACGTTCATTTTTGTTAAGCTCATTTTAATTTATCCATATATAAAATTCTATTTGTGATAGATTTATTCCTTGTAAAAGAAAATATGTATGTTTCTTAAAAAATATGACGTTTGTATTTAAGATATTACATATATATATACAGAGCACTTATTTTTTCATTTTCCTTCCATATAATTGGAGGTAATTTACAAATAATATTTCGTTATTGTTTTTCTTTCAACTTTTATTTATAAAACCTTAGTGAAGATATTGAACATATTAAGTAAACAGTAATATAACGAACATAAAAACTTCAGTCTTTAAAACAGATTTATGCAATTACGATTCTGGAAAATGATTTACTCATTCATCGTGATCCATTCGCTCTGAAGGGCCATGGAGGCGGTCAATCTCAGCGCGGGATCCGGCTCGATGAGGCTCTCCAAAAACCCGGCGAACGGAATCGCATCCACCCTCTTCCATTTATACTTCTCCACCAAAACATCTTCGATTTTCCATATTCTCAACAGCTTCCTATCCACGCCCAGCAGCTCGCCTAAAATCGATCTCATTACTACAGACCCGAAGCGGTTCAACACAGACTACCGTTCGTGAAATAATGACGGACGTTTGTACCGTTCTCGGTGATGTATTGCGGTATACCACCCAGCGTCTCCCATATCAGACACAAATGGTCCAGATTAGCCGCCGGTTCTCTCTCGCCTTTCGGACTGAACAGCATCTCCCCGGTCGCCATCTCGAAGCACATGCACCCCACCGACCAGATGTCCGCGGGGAAGCTGTACCCGGACCCCAAAATCACCTCCAGCGCTCTGTACTGGCGAGTCTGGATCTCCGACGAGAAATGGTGCTCCTGAAACACCACATTATGTCGAACTGTGGCTAATTCCAGGAGATGTTATGTGTTATATACCTCCCAACAGGCGTTTCCCAGGTCGGCGATTTTTATTTCGATGTTGGGGCTGACCCACATGGGCGCGTTTAGGCGCGGCTCGCAGTGCCTCCGCCGGAAGTCCGGCAGCTCCCCCAGGAATTTGTCGTAGGGATACGACTGTCCCCTTTGCTCCTCGAACTTCGAGAGGATGTTCTCGTCCGAGTCCCTGATGCTCCTGTCTTTGTCGATCCAGCAATCGGAGGCAACTGAATAATTGATAGATTAATATTGGTCAGTCTCCGGTGGAAGTTTCGCTTACCGTAGGAACGCGGCATGTCAATTCCGAGCTCTGCGAACTTTTCGGTTTTACCTATAATATTTTTTATGTAGTTTTCGTCGACTTTTATTAGTATATTTTCCGGTTTAATGTCGGTGTGAATAATACGGCACCGTTCGTGTAAGTACGTTAAACCTTTTAAAACCTACAAACGAGAAATAATACATACAATCTAGAAAGTGTATTAGTAATTCGTACCTGAGTAATAATTCTCTTGACTCCACTTAAATGAATTCCTCGAAAATCAGACTGTATGAGTAAGTGTAGCAGTGAGGGCCCCATTATTTCCATGGAAATGGCAGTGTGTACTCCATTTACGCTAAGTAATTTAAATGTGTCTACCATTTGGACAATATGCCTGTAGCCCATGTGAAGGGGGTCTATCAATTTCGTGTCTCTCAGCAGCTTTATTTCGTCTTGGGCCACTACTGTAAACATTTGTGCGCTTTTGCATATCTTCAATGCGACGTAAATAGGTCCGCTGAAAAGACAGAAAGAGTTGAATCGTTTTACGATGGAAATTGCCGGGATCTTACTCGTTTGAAAGGTTCTGGCACAACCATACGGTTGAAAAATGGCCCCATCCTAGTTTCCTGCAAACTTTATATTGTCCTTTGAGGATGTCGCCGATATTGATTGGCATGTATCCGCCGGAGTTGTAATCTTTTTCATCCTCTTGGCTTTCCCGGTTTTCTATGTATCGAATTTTTTGTATATCATCTAAATTTAGAAGACTAACGTCTTTAGAAGGCGATCTGAAAGCAAAAATGAGAAATGCGTAATTATTCGCACAAAACGGTTTACATAATACTAATTTTCTGCCCACGATGTTGGTAGGTTTATTAGGTTTTGTGATACACGATACGGTGCATGATTATTGATTTTTAGATACCATTTAATTAGAAGAAATGTTAGGCGAGGTTTTTGCGAGTAGCTGCTTTCAAACTTACAGTCTCATGTTCCAAAGGGATTGAGATCTCCTCGAAGGTTTCCACAAGGTTTGTCTAGGAGGAGTGTTTTCTTTAATTTCGTACGTTTCAGGCGATATTTCAACGCTATCCGACCTTTTGGTTTTTTTGTGGATATTCCTTACGAAACACCAAATCAAAATCAAAGGAGTTATGACATGAATAAAAGTGACGAATTTGATCATTTCCGCGGTAAAATTGATAGTCGAAAGGTAATATTCGAGCCCTCCTTCTATCGTTAGGGACTCATTCAGAAAGCATATTTGTCGAGGTGCATTAGCCATGTTAATCAAACGGAACCTTCGATTATTTGGCCTTTCAAAAACAACCACTGTACGTGTATTCAGCTAGGATCGTTCGGGATAGCATCGCTTCCGGTACGCAACAGCACATACTTTATCACAACATCGAACTCGAAACATATCACTCGAAATTCCTTCGACGGGAATTTTCCTTCGCCCTACACCCGATTCCGATTCAATTTTACGAGATCAGCTCTGTTGCACAACTCGTCAAAATATAGTCTAGTTTAAAAATAGACGAGGCTCGATAGTTTTAGCGTGGAGCGCGAAAATTTTATTCAAATGTACGGTATTTTCGTGTGACATAATCCGCGTAAATTCAAAAAACCGTTCGAATGCCTATCGCTGATTTAATTGGCAAGCCAAGGTGTTTTTTTCCGCGCACCGCACGGATTTAGTCCTCGCGTATTATTTTCGTCTTGCCTTTAAACGAACGCTTATTGCAATTATAGCTTCGACTATAGATAGATTACTAAAAATACCATTACGTTTAGTACCTACTATTGGTACTATTAATAAACCAAAGATGAAATAAAGGAATTATTAAATTGTGGAAAGTAGAACACAATGGTCTCGCCCACCTGCTGACATTATCCCTAATTTATGAATCGTTGAACCTTAATCGGTTGATGATGGAAATGGAAGAAATTAATGAAAGCGATGTGAATAAATAGCGATACTTACAAAGAAGGAAACTCTCGAAACGAAAAATTATTCCGAGATCCAGGCGGCGACAAGGATAAAGAAAGGAAATCAGTACGTTCTTTGTATGGGATTTTATACTTGAAGCGCCCTTTAAGTTCGAAATCAGACTCGATGTTGGACGAGGCGGAGTTCCCTATCGGCGATCGGAAGTCTCGCAACCAAGGCCGGCTCTCCTGGTACCGAGGATGGAACGTCTCCAGCGACGACCTACATTTCTCATTGTCCAAGCCACTCTTCTGCAACGACGACCTCCTGCAGTAGCTGTCGAACGAGACGGACTGGTGGTCCAGAAAGGCGGCCTTCTGGCCGACGGAGCGAATGGCGTGGGCCTCCTGCCGCGACGCCGCGGCGCCCTGCGGCTCGGCGGTGTCGCTGTTGTGGCCGGGCCAAGTGTGCTGGAGGCTGGATATCTCCGGAGCCAGAATGATGGCGATTTGGACCGCTGGTTGACCGGAAAGCGAGCGCGTGCACAACGTTTAGGCGAGCTGACGGCCGTGGGGGAATCGAACATGGTATTCGACACGGGGAGACTGATATGTATCGGTGCGCGGCATCGGAAACTTCCTGCGCCCGGACTACCGTCGGCCCGATTGCGAGTGGATGGTCCGCCCGAGGGGCGCATGAGCGGCCTCGGAATTCGTCAATATTATCTTCGAGTGCGATTTATACTAAATGGCATTTTAGCTGATATGCGATACAAAATCTTCTGATTCCAATTCGATATACGATATGCCAAATCGATTAACCCCCCCGCCTTCTTTCTACACCTACTCTCTGCGCCCTTATTAAATTACATCATTTTACCTTTTTTTTTACCCTTTTTTAATTGATCTATTTGATTAACACGCATCCTACTTATATTTTTACCTATAAATTCACTAAAATTCATAGTTTTATTTCAATAAATATTAAATACAATAAATTAGGACATATCAAAATGGCACATTGTCCACCGAGTTTGTGCTATTCTCCAACAAGGGCTAATGAACTCGAGACTATTGGCTTTTCCCACTAGGAGTAGACAGAGATTTTCTATCGGGGTGTAGTAGCAAGGGCGCAGTTTGATTTGCTACAATTTCTATTCCCCTAGGAGCGGCCAAATAGAAGCTCTAGATAGTATGTGGATAAGCAAAGAAATACTAGCGAATTCGAAGAACTTTTCACTGTAATTAATTCAGCATTTGACTACAATAAATTATAAATGTTCGTAGATAACTAAACTAATATTCCACAGTAATTATTGCTGCGGAAAATGCAATTATTTGATCCGTTTATTTATTATCTTAATTTACATCTAGCATTCTCTAACGACGTTCCTTTTGAGTAAAATATTTGCAAAAAAAAATAATGTTATTATGAACTATGGAAAAAAGCGAGAAAACTGGATGAGGAAAACCCTGGAAAAGGGCGGGAAATACCTATACTTGGAGTTGGCATCAGTAGAATATAGGTGAAAAAAATTATTTTCAAAACCTACAATAATCATTTATGGCAATACAGATAACAAATAAGAGAATGAAGATTAAACAAAATTCATAATAACGTTAAGTAAAAATGCGGGTTGAAATGCGGGTTTTCCCCTACGAAACCATCAATTACATACCTGTACCAAATAATCCAATCTATTAAGGCCATCAGGAGGAATAGCCATTTATCAGAAAGAAGAGGAACGAAGAACAATTTTGTGACATGGCGAGTACGAGCGTGCGGATTTGATTATTTCTTCAATGTAAAAGGCGTAAACTCGTCGATCGCAAACCAGAATAATCGAATTCTGCCGATTATAAATCCTGTTGATAAAAAAAATGCCAAAGCTCGCAAACGCCGAGGAAATCGAGATGGTGTCGGCTTGCCGGATTTGCTTGAACAAAACCGATTTTATGTGCGAATTGAAGGAGAATTACAATGAAACGACCTATTTGGAAGCCGTAGAAAAGGTCACGTCGTCTCAAGTAAGTAATCATTCAATATCGGATTCGTTAAAAATTATTCTAACGGGAAAAACAAATTTTTAGGTTAATTTAAACGATCACTATCCGCAAAATATCTGCCTCGGTTGCGTCGACCTGTTGGACACGTCGCTGAAATTCATCAATTTATTCGAAACCTCCAGAAACAAGCTGGAAAAGTTGCTGGGGACCCAGAGGAAATCGCCCCTGGACGACGATCCGGACGATTATTTCTTCGAAAACCAAAACGATTCGCTCAATCTCAACGTAGAGCTCATCCTGAAAGACAGAAAATTCAACCTTAACGACATGCTAGTGACCAATAACGATTTCGACTACAAACATTTAGCCAAGGAGATCAATTTCGGTGAAGACATTTCCTCGATTGTGAACAACGGGAACAAACGCTCGGAAGATAATAAAAGCGAATGTGATAACGAGTACGACCAATTTGTTAAAGACGATGTTGTGGAAGAAGAGGAAGAAAGCATCCAATTCATCATAGAAACCGAGGATAAAATGGACGATAATAGCAAAGCTTACAGTGATTTAATTAATAATTTGAAAAGCGAACACATAGAAATCGAAGGTTGGTTTAACCAATCGGCATTAATTCTGCAGTGACGTCACTACTCAGTGATAGCTTTTATTGGCTAGATTCGGTGACGTCATTCAGAAATTACTGCCTTTAGTAATTTTATCTCATTTTGTTAATATATTATGGTACTTTCAGAACAATCCGATAGCGATTCCCTAAAATCATTAGAAAGCGATAATTTCGAGTACACTGAATACAATAACGATGTTATCGAATCCCTAATGATCGATAGAAGTAAATTAATTTACTCGGACGATGACTCGATGTCCGAAAAAGACACTCAAGATGACACCAAGGACACGGATTATTTCGACCAATTGAAGTACCCTTGTGGAATTTGCAACAACACTTACAAATCCACCGTTTTGCTGAAGAAGCACGTGCGCCGAGCCCACATGAACCAAAGCCAAAAATCGCACACCTGCGGTATCTGCGGAACCGTTTGTCGGACGAGATCCTGTAAGTATCCCTGTAAGGATCCCTTCGAAAGCGTTTCGCTCAAAGACCGATTTCAGCGCTGCTGACTCACAAACTGAAACATTTCGAGAAACAGTTCAAATGCGACCAATGCGACAAGGCCTACTCGACCAAAGCGCACCTCAAGGTCCACAAATCCACGCACACCAACGAGAGACCCTTCCTGTGCAACATATGCGGCAAGGATTTCAATTATGCCAACGCGTTGATGTACCACATGCGTTTGCACACCAACGAGAAGAACTACCAATGCGAATATTGCCCGAAGAGGTTCCGAATGATGAATTCGCTGCACAGACACGTCAGGACGCACACCGGCGAGAAGCCCTACAAATGCCAGTACTGCGGCAGAGACTTTTCTTCCAGAGGAGAGGTTTGTGCACTACTAAACAACAACTACCTGATTACTCAATTTTATATTTATTAGGTCGTTTGCCATGAATACAAACACACCGGATACCGCCCGTATCATTGTAAATACTGTAAAAAAGGTTTCTCGAAGACGCACAATCTAAAAATCCACCTCCTTTCTCACGGGGGCCCTTATCACTGTCGATATTGCAATAAGATGTTCATAGAGGAAGGCATATTGGCGATGCACCATAAAATTTCCCATAAAAGTTTGTTATCTGATGCGGCCGATCAAGAAGGCAGCGACGACACGTTCGAGAAGAACGACGGTTCTGTGCAAGAGGACAGCGCAAGTCAAGATGAGAATTCCAGGATGGAAATAATTAATGAGGTTTTAGGGACGGAGTATCCCAGTCATGTGGAAGTTCTCATGGAAGGGAACAATTCAGATTAATTAATCGGTTAGGATAAGTTTTAAGGTAACTAATAAGAACAAATAAATATTAGAGAACGAGTGAGAAAAGGAGCGAGTGCGTTTCTTTACAACCTTTTTATTTATTTATATACGTTGCTTAAACATTTTTCATCAAAAAGAATTTCCCAATAAAACCATTTTGGTAGAGTAGAGAAAAAGAAATAAGAAATTTTTGAATTACCCAGTATTTGAAATTATAATAAATCCTCCTTTCTATGTAAAGCTCAACTATTTGGGCTATGCAGCCAAGACAACTAGTGGGTAAATAATTTGACATATGACTGATTGAATACAGTGACAGCTGTCATGTCACATTTAGAAATTTCAACTGTTACATCAAAATAAATGTATTTCTTTCAATAACAATAAATTAATAGACAAAAATATTAGAAATTGGGTTAATTATATAGAAGGATACAATAAACTACACTTTTAAAGGAGCAGAAAAAATATTTTGTTGTTTTCTGATAATTATTTTAGGTTATGTAATGACCATGGCATTGTGATATGATTGATTTCGTTTAATTTTATAATAGCAATAGAACGTAAATATTTGTTGATACTGATATCGAATATATCCATCATTATTATACTGCAGAGTTTTCATTTTCTGAAAGATTATCAAGCAGAAAAAAGGTTTGTTTTGTGATATACATTGTGATATTTGTTTAATGTTACTATATAATATTATCATATTGTTGATAAAAGCTTTTATTTCCAGAATAAGTTGATATGTGAAACATATTGGTTATTTATATATAATGGAATTTGATTCCCACAGTCAATGCTCAGATGAAGGAGTTGAATTTTCAATATCAGGTATTCCATTATTAATTCTCTGTATGCAAATTGAGCAAGTTTTAACGAAGAACTACGCATTTATGTATTCAACAAATTTAAAACAAAAATGAGCAGGATATTGGAGGTTGAAGTCCACGAACTTATTAATTACATTTCAGAATCTGAAAATGGGGAAATATATTTGTCAGACTATCCCTTTTTGGAAGACACGCAACCATCATTTTTGGAAGCAAAAACAGTTTATTTATTAATGCAAAAAGATATACCAGTCTCCAGAAGTTGTCGTTTACAATGGCTATTGGATCATCTGAATACTATAATCACTCCTAGTCAAAAATTAGTGAGTAAAATATACAAGAAATTAAAAATAATTTAATACGTAAATTTTTAGAATGAAGCATTTAATAACTTAGATGTAATATCAGCTGTACCTAGAGAAAAAGATCAAGCAGTAAAATGCAATAAATATTTAGTAACTCACAGGACTGAAGTTAAATTCCTAGCTCAAAATTATAGATTTGTTTATTGTTTAGATATGAGCCCTTCTCATGCCAATGTTAGTGTACACAAAGATGAGATTTTATTCGACGAAATTCTGAATTGTTTTAAATACAGCATCTTCGAGCTCTGTAAAAAGGTAAAACTCAACAAACACGAATCTCTCGCATCTAACATTGTACTAACTTCTAGTTTACTATACCTGGAAATTCCACCATGTTTCAACCAAATATATTTTTAACCGTTATCGTTAACACTCCGTTTTTTCTAAGTCCTGCACAGCAAGTTTTAGTGAAAGGTGTACAAATTATGCAGAATAATTTACAAGAGATATTGAAATCTGTGGAAAAACAGTTCCACATTTTGCAAGAAAAAATCGTCGATGCGTGTTCGGCTGCTCTAGATCAGTTGGATTATCAAAGAGTAAGTTCATTACTTCTACATTGATTATTACAGTAATAAATAAATTGTAGAACAATTACGATATGCCACTCGAAGCAGAAAAAATGTATTCCAGAATTCCTATGGTCACGCCCGATGTCAATTTTGTAAATATGTTACGATATTCAATGTTAGCTGTTTCCCTCCTTCCAGAAAATAGCATTAGTCGTAAGTATTTAACTCAACTCCTAACATTAAACTATACTTTAATGTTTCATGATTTTAGATATTCTAGTCATAACAGATGGGGTAGTTGCAATGCCTGATTCCAATATAATGGAATCGTTGTTATTTCAGTTACATTACGATAGCATAGCGATATCATTTTTAAAAGTCGGTTCGGGTTTCCATCCGAATTCGGGTTCGGGATTTGTATCTTACACCGACTTACTGCAGTTCTTTGCATATTCTACTTTAGGTACATGTATAGAAAATTACATACAACCTGTAAGTAGAATTTATTAATCAAACGCTCGTTTTAAATTAAATACCGCTATTTTTTATAGACGAATGACCTCTCTAACGAAATGAATGTATATCACAAATTGTTTTTATTGTGGTCCTTCCACAGTCCGAATTTAACGACTTCCTCGAGAGTTTGCGATACTAATAAATGGACATTAACGTGAGTAGTTTGTTAATAATTCAATTAATAAGTTATGGATTTGATTTATTGATTTAGAAACGAAACATTTTGCAACCATAAACTGCCATCTTTACTTTCGAAGAAACAGATCGATGACAATACAAGTGCTTCCATTTTACTTCTACTGTCCCGTCGAATTAGAGAAGGTTTCACGATAGATGTAAAGTTATAAGAATCTTTTAATTTACAAATTTATTATTCGCTCATTTTTAGAGTATATTTTTTTTAAATGGTAATTTGGAAATTAAATTACTTCTCCAATGGAAAAGCTGTATTTATATCCACTATAAAGTTAGAGCACAGTGGCCTATTTTGAAAAATATTACTCATTTTGAAGTAAACATATCAGGTATGATTTATTTAAATTGTACACTTTCCGAAATTAATAGCAACAACTATTTACAGCTCCTTACGAATTCCTTCATGATATTACTTGTTCAATGAAGAAGGAATCGAAGTCAATGTACAGACAAGCAATTATACAGAGATTTTGGATAAGATTGTCGCAATTATCTTCTGGAGATCTGGGAATAGTGGCCCAACAACTGAGCTCTTTCCAGAACAGTAAAGATTGGTATACATTGCCAGAAAGCGTTCGAAATGGAATACCTGTTTTCGTTTTAAATAATTCAAATTGCTCAGACGCTACGAAATTAACCCTGTTGCCGAGGTAACCTCTACGATATTTAAATGTCTGTATTTTTAAAATAGCATTGCGTCGTATTTTCAGCGACGTTCCTAGTTTAAAGTTCAATAACATGTGGCAGCCGATTTGTCAAATGGAAACAAACAATTGGAGAAAATGGTTCCACGTGCATAAAATCTCGCTTATATTGCAGCACGACAATCCTCTGCCAAAATATCTGCATTTATCCAATTCGTCGCAGCGATATCAAGTAAATTCTTTCACACTGGATGTTTACTGAAGAAATGTATCTGGATTTTGTTTAAATTTCAGGTCATTCAATGCAGGCAAGCCGCTGCCTCTTTGAATAGTTTATTAAGCGAATGGGCTTCGTTTGTATTGATCGATAATCATACCTATTTAAAATTGCTCTGCAAAGAAACTGATAATACTCCGATGTGGTTTTGCATGCTTAGAATTTCATCGAAGTTTCCTTGTGCTGTTCTCAACGTTGGATTTACGACTGGAACACCTGGACTCCTTCGATATGAGGTTATTATAAAAATGACTATTCGAGTCAATGTGCTAAATTTTTTATTGTAGGTTTGTGAACAACTGAAGCAAGGTGTGGCGTCTTTGTGCTATTTCAGTCCCCAAAAAGCTAAAGAAAACTATTGTTGCTTGTTACTGAAAAAACCTCTAGAAAAAATTCTAATTAGGTACTAAGATTTTTCCGTTTTTATGGAAAGTTTTTGATTAATCGTTATTTTTAGATACGAAAGGATACCAAGTAACTACTCAACAGTGATATTTCCAGACGGTACTCAACCTCCCGATTCGTTTTTGCACTACCCGCCTGTATCTGGAACGCTTTTTACCACTCTTTCCAGATACCTCTTTCACAAGCGTTGGATTTGGAGCGCTAATTTGTCTACCAATCCCAAACTGCACGATCAATCAATCTCAAGGATTTTGAACACTCTTACCAGGTAGGTCATCAATTCCCACTAACCAGAACATCCCAATACTATTTTAATTTCAGGATAAGAATCAAAGAAGGCTTCAGTTTCGCGCATTCAGCGTCCGGTATCATAACTATGGTATTGGAAGTGTCACTAGATCCAACATCGACCTGCCTAGTGCAGTACGTTCTCTTCCCTCCTCACTGTGCAAGCGTCTGCGAAGAAATTTACAGTGGTTCGGAAGGCGACAACGAACTGTCCTTCGACGTTGAAGGTACTCAGCAAATAATCACCGAAGTTTGGATCGAGCCTCAGCATGGCACTATCGTTCCTGGTAGTTTGAAAATGGCTTACGCCGATAACAAACATTATTACGAGCTGGCTGACGTGGTGAGTTTCAAAAAATTAAAGCGTTGTTAAACACGCTGTATAAGTTGTGTTGTTTTAGATTTACGATGTTGATTGTAAGTGTATAAACGCTCTGTTGACCGAGGAACACCTAAATCTGATGTGCCAGGACAGAGATCAGTTGGAAGACAGCAACCATTTTAATATATTGTTCCATCAAAACAGCATTTTGAGCTCTACTACGAGTCGAAAAAGTTTTTCTCGCAGAAGCAGCAGGAACAGCTATGTGGATTATCCGATGAACGCTAAAGGGTAAAATTTGCACGGTTTTATACAGGGTTTGTTAGATAAATGCAAAGGTGAATAGAGGAATTATTCATTTTAGAAACCTCTAACCATAATGGTTTATCGCCAGCAATCCTGTATAAGCAACCCATAAAATATAACAATTTTATTCATTGAATCCGTACGGTTTCTGTTTCGATTTTGAATTATTTGAAAACAATTATTTTCAGGACACATTGGTATCCCATAATTTCACCAAGAATAGAACACATTCCATTTGTTTTCAACCCTATTAGCATTTTGCACTTGTGCCAACAAATGGAATTGTTGTTTTCCATGTTTACAGATACGAATGAAAACACATTAAACGATAATAACGTAGATAAGGCGAACAAATTATTACTAGAGAATATTTTAGATCATTTAGCAACGTTACACGATCATGAATTGGAACTGACCAAAGATGATTCGGATAGATTTACTAAAGAAATTATACAGAGGCACAGAAATAAACCGCCGAATCTTTGTCCTTTGTCAGATACTATTACTAACGAAGGTAACTATTAGAAGCTTCCATTAACGTTAAATTATGTACGTTTTATTACTTCAGGTGATTCCCAAACGAACGAAGTAACTTGTTCGAAATGGCGATGCTTTATTAAAGGCATATCCAAAACGCATGTAATCCTCACTTTCATTCCTTCCACTCTGGACGATCTCAAAAGCCTGCTACCTTCAGACGGCACGAACATTCCGAGTTTGAACCAGAGCCTCGATAGTGCCGATGTAGACGGGTTATCAAGCAGAGAAAGCAACTACAGCGACGCTCCTGCTTCAAACAACCTGAACGAATTATCCCTGCCGATTTACGTGTTCGATAGTCCTTTAGGTAGAATAGTCAACGCATTCGTCGACGACTGCGAAGAAGCCCCGCCTAACGAGGACATATACGAAGACCACCGCTTCAAAATCCACAGTTTCATCCACGAGGAATACATAAAGCTGAAGTCCGAAGAGCCCTGCGATTTATCGAAATCGCTAAAAGACGAATACGAATGCGACCACCACAGCCTGACGCACCATTCGAAAATCCTGACCGTGACGCACTCGAAATGCTTCACGTCGTCGCTGTTCTGCGCCCTGCACATGGGCGTCGAGATACACAGCTTCGACGTGCAGTCCGCCATGGACCAGTGCGAGGAGTCCATCACGGAAATCGACATCACGGAGTACATCCTGACGATCTGCGCGCACGTCAAGCAAGCGGACGCCGACCGGATACCCATCGAGCGGCTGAACTCGCCGATGCCGTGCTCGGACTTGAAGTCGCTGCACACGCTGATCAAGGAGAAGTTCTACAAGCTGCTCAGCGGGGTGTTCTACCGCATACCCACCAACCACGAGTTCTACTTCTACAAGAACTTGAAGAATTACATCAACGAGGACGTCCACGTGGCCGATAGCGATGACGATGTCGTTGGTGATGTGGACGACGACGCTTCTGATAATCATTCTCAGCTCGTCGAGTTCAAGTCGGAAGATATGAGCATTTTTTCGTTGGATAACGAATTGGAGAACGAGCTGAACGTTTTGTATAATTTCGAAATGGAAAGCAACAATGAAGTAGCGCCTTTGTTTCTCCATTTGATTTGTACTTTGAGGTATGATGGAGGGAAATGTTGCAATACTTCTTTGAGAGAGTTACCCACTTGTTTAGGTGAGTGTTTATATCTAATTAATACCATTTCGGGAATTAATCGAGCTTAATTTTTAGGTGAATTAATCGAAAATTTAGAAAATCCAACAGAATTTATCGACAAATCGAATTTACAAGTAACATTAGACATGTTGTGTCTTACATTGCCATCGGATCTTTCTAATATGATCGACGTTTACTCTACTCAGGGATTCAGAACGGAATCGTTTTCATCCGATTTTCAAGCTAGCACTGGAAGTGCCACCACCGACGCCACTTACAACTCCCAGTAAATCATTAAACTAACACATCCGTGCGTCAATACATTTCTTACCTTTCAGGATATCCGAACCGTTGAACAACCTTTCCGAAGTCCAAAAAAAATCCGTGTTGATGTTAAGCGACGAAATAAAATGGCTGCTGCAAGACGAAATGTGCACCGCTTTACTAGATAAAGATCCTGTAACCACCGATACTCTGGATTACGTGATGACGCACGTCGATCAAGGAACGATGAGATTAACCAAATCGTGCGTTCAAGACGTCATTAAATTGAACTTCGTTTACTCCACTCCTAACAGCTACGAGAAATTCGTCGAAGAATTCGCCAATTTGAAATTGCCGTATAGCGGCTACAAGCTGTGCAAACAGGACGATTTGTATTACTTAGCCAAAGACCCGGCGGGTATTGAGAACAGTTCTTGCAGCAGCCGAACCACCGATGGAGGATTTGCGAATTCCAGTACGAGGCAGAGCCCTTTCAACATGTCCAACGTGAATGGGTTTCTTAACTCGACCGCCCAGTCGAATAATAGGCATATGATTTATCTCAACTCCGATGAAATTGCTCATATGAAAGAACAAGGCCAGCAGAGCGATATTTCGAGCACCAACGAGAGCGTTCCGGGCACTGATGGAGGTGAGTGCGAGATAATTGTTGTAACAATAACAAGTATGAATAAAATCATTTGCAGATTATGACGAAGAAGTCGGAGATAACTACGACTACGATTGGCTGATTTCTTTAAATAACAGACGAGCGCATCTTCCTAATTTTTGGTTGATAATGAAAGTGGCTCAGGACGAAGTCATCGTTTATTTTCATTGCCGGTAAGTGACATCTATTAAATTTGCAACAGAAATGAATCATTCTATTTTTATTAAAGATTTTTGGAACTCAAAACAATTCAAGTCGAAGTATACTTAGAAGTCCAAAGGGCGGTTTGCGAAGCCGTTCGAGATCTGTGCAAAAAAATTAACCAACTCCTCCTGCTGCAGACCCTCTACGATTCAAAGTCCTGCGATCCGCTGCTCGAACCAGACGATAAAGACATCTGCAATTCGCCTATATCGAGGAATCCCTCTTACAGAAGGATGAAAAGCATCGATTGTACGTTCTCGCTCATCCATTATCATCCAATAATAATTACCTATTGCAGTTTTAGTTGCCGAGAACAACGAGGATAACGACATGGCGTATTCGACGATGAACCTATCCGAAGCCTCGATGAACTTCAAAACCGGCGAATTCAGCTGCCCCGTCGTGTGGGAGACCCCGTTCATTTTGCACCCCAGATTGAAAACCTACCCCGGCAAGTCCGGCATATCGCGGGGCGTTTCGGCACTGAAGACCATCCTCGATAAATTTTCCGTCTCGGATAGAACTAACATGTTCGTTTATAGGGACAACAAACAGAACGTGTTTTATCTGAGGTGAGATTTTCGATAGTACAATGGTGACAAACTTTAATATATTTTGTAGACTCCAAGAAAACGTGCACGGCAGCTCCTGCGTGAAGTCTTCGTTGCTGAAAACCAGCGAGTTCGAGAGCAGTACCGTTTCGAGGAGTCCTTCCATTGCTTCTTTACCCCACAAATCTACCTTAACTCAATCGCAGCAAAGCATTACATCCGCAACATCGGTACGTTTAATTTTTTAATACAATACAAATCTGATACTAGTTTTTTTCTAGATTGATATACGGCCGAGGGTGCGTTCGTTCGGCGAGAAGGAATGCAAAGACACCCCTGTAGAAGATACGCTCATTTTGAAAGTCCACGGCATCAACGAGGCGGGCTCGGACGTGCAGCAGGAACTGGTGCAAGTCCTGCAGAACAGGCTGGACGACGCGGTGCTTGAGTGTTTGTCCGTCATGCTGGCCAGGAACGCCATGTGCCCGTTGACTCCGGAAGATGTGCATTTCATCCAGAAACCCTTCAGACCGCCCGAGGTTATTATTAGGGTGAGTTAAACGTTTTAATTTAACGGAGTTTTATTTACTGGTAGTTCATTTACCTTTTTTTTAGTTGACTATCCAAGATTTCGCGTTCCAATGGTTGCAATCGTTCGTCTACTATCTGAAGCAGAATCTCCTGCAATTCCTCAACGTGCCGAAATACACGGACAACCGGCCTCATTGCCATTTCAAAGATTACTCGAAAAGCGATGAAAATAGTGATAATATTTTCATTTACAATCAAAGCCAACACCCTTCGAGCGGCAGTCGAGGAATCGCCTGCATTGCATTAGATCTGATCGATGGCAGCGACCGAGACGGGAAAGAATCCATCGAGTTTTCGACTATATTTAAAAAAGAATTGTTCGACAATATCGTCACGTCGGAAATCATCGATAATGAAGGTAAGATTTTTCGAATTTATATGTTTAACGCCTAATTTAAATGTATTTAAAGGTGCTTTGCCTCACTCATACGTGGAATTCCGTTTGTGGAAACAAGGCCGGGTAAACATTGAAAATTTATCGGAAAAACTAAAATCCGCCGTTTCGCAAGCCACTTGGGACATCATCACCGAGTATTACCTCCTGCAGGAGCCGTTTTGCGTGGAAAACCCGGAAAATTCCGAGGCGATTTCGCCTATAGAATTGGAATCCACCGATATCAATCTAAACGATGAAGTGCATTTCAATTGCATACTGAACATCAAATACGACGATAACGTTAGAGAGAGCGTTATCAACATGGAGAAAACCAAAATCGAGCATCTGTTACCCAAGAGAGCGAAGAACCAGTTGAAGTACTCTCACAAGGCGGCTCCTCCCAACGAAAACAGACCGAAAGAAAACGCTAAAGATAAGCCACATTCGAAATTAAACCCGTACGAATTGGGCGATAAAGGCACCCTGTCCTGCATATACTCGAAGTACCTGCCAGCTTGGCTGGAATTCGGCTTCAATCTCAACACCCCTTCGGTTAGGAAGCACAAAATAACGCTCGGCAGTCGGCATTTGCCCAGCGCCATCATCGAGGAGTTGCTGGTGATCCTCGATGATTTCCCGAAGGCCTTCCGCTACGTTCCCACGACCTGCACGAAGAGCGACGAAGGGTTCTACGTGCCCTTCGTGGCATCCAGCTTGATAGCTAAATACGTGGTGATTTCGAGGAACTTGGACCATTGGCACGCGATCGTATCTTCCTGCAAGAACCCGGAAGAGACGCCCGATTTTTTGAAACCGCACAACTTCAAGCATACGCAGAAATTCATACCGGAATTGACGGCGAACAGTTTCATTCCCAGGCAGAAGATTTTGTGGATATCTGTAGAAAACGATAATGTAAATATAGATTAACAATTGTAGCGCAATTTTATCTATTTAATTTAATTTTCAGATAATTATCTACGCGTACAATTGGGCCAAAGATAACATCGACAAGTTATGCACGAGTTGCAATAATTTAGGGTCCTGGCTTTGCGTGAGATCGTGCTTCTTGAATTCGGTCACTTCGCAGAAATTGGGCCTGTTCCACAACCAGCCGTTGATCAGGAAAATATTCGTAAGTCATCCCCAACTACCGCTTAAACATTTATTTAGTAGAAATGTTATTTAGATGAAAGAAGGCAACCCGTACGCGAATATGCTGGGCAACGTGGAAGCCATGACGAGCTTCTCCAAAGCGAATTCCTCGCACAAAAGAACGCAAGTCGCCCACAACTTACCCGGCACTCTGGAGGCCTTCAGAGACAACTTCAAAGTCTGCAAGTACCATTGCACCGATCCCGTGGAGAGCTTCACGTCGGAGATGCGCGAGATGAAGAAGCTGGAGAAGCTCGGCAGGGAGGAGCTGAAGACCTTGCACGGGATGTACCAAAGCAGGACCAGCACGACCAGCGTGTCCCAGTTGCTCTTGCTGCTGCAGAATTCCAGGATTTTGCATTACTGCCACACGCCGTTGTTGTTTTTGCCGAGGTGGAGATTGAAGACGTTTTCGACGAGAGACCACTCTTTGTATCCTTCGCAGGCCATACAGTTGGCCGATAAAATGGCGTCCGAAGAGAAAGAACTGTGGCACACTGAGTTGTGCTACAGCTTTTTCCAGGAATATAAGCATTACATGCAAACTTTAGGGTTCATGCCTTTGCAAATTGAAAATTTGCATAAAACAGGGTAAGTTGTTTTACTTGTAATTGTCGAAATATGAAAAATTTGTTTGTATTTAGGTTGTGGATTAATGACAAATCATCGCACAACAACGTGTTTTATATTCAGAAGACCATTTTGGGCGGAATTTTGATTTTTACAGTGGAGTTTTCCGAGCCATTTTTCCTAACGAAACTACTGGCGATCGAATGCAACCGATTACAGAACATAAATTCCAGAGCTTCCATTAATCGAGTAAGTATAATTACATTACGATAAACCCACATTAACAATTTTAATTATTCTTTCAGTTTACCCTAAGTTTTTTAGACGAATGCGACAGGGTTAAGATATTAATGCACTTGCATTCGTTCACGTACGATTATCACCTAAGGTCCATTCACAATTATTTATCGGACGTATCTACTGCGAATAAAATTTGCGATGGTTACAATGTGCATCAATTTCTCGACGATTTTTTGAAATATTACAACAAGGCGCCCAACTTCGCCAGGAATCTGGTTCATACTGGTACGGACAGTAAATGTTGGATATGTACTAGTTTCAACAAATTAATTTTTCCAGAAACCCTTACTATAGAGAACCTGGTGACGGAGGGCAAGCAGCTTTTCGATTACCTGTTGCGTAACGTGAGCCAATACGACTTCAAGATCGTCCAAATGGACGTTCACGACGGAGAATCCGAGTTCATATTGATCCAAGTGACGAGCGCGCCGCAGATATCCTACAAAGATTCCCAAGACCAGCAGCACACCGACGATTTCGACATCACCCTGGTGGTGTACAACCTCTGCACCCCCTACAGTCCCAAAGATAACGTGTTGCACCTCAAGTACTATCTAATTTTAACGTCTAAACGGTGAGTTGGTCGGTACTTATACGACAGATAAACATCTCGTTTTATTAGGGAAATCTATCCGAAGTCCGAAGTGGACGAGAAACTGGGCAAGTTCCGCACGGTGTCTTCCACGGCGCGAAGTTTGTCCGCATTGGAACGCGAGCCTAACGACTTGGAATTCAGCACCGAGAAAACCCGAGCTGAATCAGACATAACCAGCTCGTCTGAACTAACCGCATTGGAAAAGACTCTGAACGAGGAAAGCGCGTCCTGCAATCAGCAATCCATTTCGCTGCCTTACGTGGAAATCAACCAAGAATTCGTCAATTATTTGGGCTACTATTCCTCGCACGAGCAATTGATGCAGCAATTGATCTTAGACAAGGCAACTACGACCAAAAAGCGTATAAAGGAAATGGTTGAAAAAGGTAATTTACACGATACAAGAGAGTGCTTGTAAAATACACTTCATATATATTTCAGGAATGGTTCATTGCAGAACGCATTTGTTATGGAACAGATTAATATCTCGCCAGGAATCCGGCGGGTTGACGTACGAAGAATTTCTGGAATTGAAAAATTTGGCTCGGCTGGAGCATTTGTGTAATTTAAATCCGGATTTGGGCCGGCTTTTGAACCAGCCATTAAATTGGTATCAAAATTTATCGAAATTGTTACTAGCCCGTTATATAGAACATACGAGGGTTTTTAACTCGATGGATGGTAACATGCAGCATTACGTTATCTTACATCAAGAGTATTTCAACGCATTTATGCTGCTTTCGTTGGATTTACACACGTCTAGAGGGGTAAGATTTAGATCGTTTAGAGACAAAAACTGAAGTATTTGTTGATGTAATTCTTACATTTTCCAAATATTTGTTGTATTTTGCAGGAATTGTATGCTGTGTACAGGGAACCACAGCTCCAGGAGGACCCCGACTATTCGATATCCTGCCAAAATTCCCTTATAGACGGGTTCATTAATTTGATTTGTTTCTTTTTATGGTCGGGAATGATATCTAATTGATAACGAGGGAATTCATAGGTTTCTGAATTATTTAATTTTTCTCATTTTTTATGTACCTTTATTTTTTATTGTTTTGGAACGTTATCGGTTATTCCTTAAATTAGTTTATGTTAGAGAGGACATTTTATAGAAAAGGGCTTAAGTTCTTATTTTAATTGTTTTGTTGTTATATTTTTATTATTATTAATATTGGAATACTAATAATACTGTTTTAAAGATAGCTATGAAAAGCTCAGTATACTGTGATATTGTTGTTGTACAAACGAAATATTCCTAGTGCCTGACAATTTGGTGTTCGAAAATATACAGTCATTTTTAAATATTTTTATTTTAACGTTAATCGATTTTAAAATGTGCCATGTTTTGTGCCAATATCTAATAAATTTTTTAAATTTAATTTGTTTATTTTTCTGCAAACCAATGAATACAACTCGTTTTAAGAGTTAATTTCGAATGGTATCAAAGTGTCCTACATTTGGCTTATAATTAGTTCCCTATCTTATTATGAGATGGCGCCACAAGTTTATCAAAAATGATAAATATAAATGCACCAGCGGGGAGCGGTCAGTAACTCCTTTGCCACGGTAGGGGTATGTTACTCTTATTTAACTAAAAAAGCAAAAGGATTCTTGAAAACTGATGAGATTCTCACATACATGTTAATGATTTGATTTGCCTCCACCGTCCTCCCCCACCGGTACCTCCCTTACAACTATCTTACTTAAGGAACCTTTTCATACGTTAGCGTGCGCGATGTCTTGCCAAAAAGTTGTGGCGCCATCTATCACATTTTCATGGAACAAAGATTCGATCTGTCGATACTAATAGATAGGCAACCTATATGAATTATATTTCTGATTTTTCGATAGCCGCGCCACTAAACGGGGGTCTCCCGAACTAGAACGAGTTACTGTATCCGTGACACGTGACGTCGAACGTGACGTTGTTTATGAATAAATTCCAAAAGGCAATTTCTAATTTTCTATTTTCTAAAATGAATTGAACTTTGGACTTCGGACTTGAAGTTGGACCGTGTTTGCAGTTCGGTATATCTCGTCTTACTGTATTTATTTTTTGCACGACTAGGTTATTTATCAACATTGTTGGAAATAAGAATTAACGTATACTTTTTAGACAGTCTAATTTGTTAAAATGAACCGTGTAATTAATACATGTTTAAAGAAGCAAAATAATGTCCAAACGATATTATTTCCGAGGTAATATTTAATTTTAATTAAATTTCTCTAAATAGGTTAAATTTCTGTTTTTCTGTAGGTCTCTGTCGACTTCCAATGCAAACTTTAAGACTGTCCAGAACTCCAAGCATGGTTCTGAAAAAAGTTCAACTGGAAATGCAGAAAATTATTCCTTCGTTATGAACTTATTTAGGGGGCAATTGGAGCCCCGTCAAGTATTCCCGTACCCTAATGTTTTAAACGAAGAACAAAAAGAAACGCTTCAAATGATGGTAGATCCAACTAATAAATTTTTCCAAGTAAGTATAAAATATATTATTTTCCAAATGTACAGCTACTAAATTTAGTTAATTAGTAATTGCGTGAATACTTGGGTAGGTGGTATTGTTTTTTATTAGCAAAAACCATAAAATATTTATATCAGTTTCGGTCCTTAACTAAATGTATTTATATCACCTTGGCCTCTTTAATCCAATATATGAAATTATTTCTGTACCAATAAGAAAAAAATTGTTATCAATTTATCTTAAATTTAATTTTTTTATATTACTTTTAATGTGTTTATATTGGCTCGAAAACAAGTTCTTAATGTTATTCATATCCAATATTTTTACTGATAAAATTATCTAAAATAACAATTTTCCTAAAATAAATACACCTTATTTATTCTCTTTTATCATAGGTAATAAGCAACCAACTAGCAAACAAGCAATTTGTTAAACACGAAATTATTCCTAATTCATTCCGTTTTTAATCAGAACATTTTCCACAAATTAACACTTATCACATTCGAATTATGTAACAAAATGTTAAATCGGTAAACAACTCGCTTTTCCATCAATAGGAAGTAAACGACCCCGCCAAAAACGATGCCTTGGAAAAAGTGGACGAAAAAACTCTAGCCGGCCTCTGGGAACTCGGGGCGTTCTCCCTGCAAGTGCCCCAAGACTTCGGAGGCTCCGGATTGTCCAACACCCAATACGCCAGGCTCGTGCAAATAGTGGGAGCCAACGATCTCGGCGTCGGCATCACCTTAGGCGCCCACCAGTCCATAGGCTTCAAGGGAATACTGCTCGTAGGCACCCCCGAGCAGAAGGCCAAGTACTTGCCCCGAGTCTCCAACGGCGAAATGGCCGCTTTTTGCCTCACCGAGCCCTCTTCGGGCTCCGATGCTGCTTCTATTAAGTGAGTATTAAGTGAGTCCAACTAGAAGGAAAAAATCACTCAATTTCCCTTTCAGAACGAGAGCAGAACTCTCCCCGGATGGTAAACATTACATAATGAACGGCTCGAAAATTTGGATAAGCAACGGAGGACTCGCCGAGATAATGACTGTCTATGCACAAACACCAGTAGTCGATCAGAAAACTGGAAAGACTGTAGACAAAGTAACTGCATTTATCGTCGAAAGATCATTCGGAGGCGTCACCTCCGGACCTCCGGAGAAGAAGATGGGAATTAAATGCTCCAACACAGCCGAGGTAATATAAAATTAAGAGATAAACTGTAACCTGCTCTTCGTTAGATTGATTCTGAAAGTGAGAAACTAGCCAACTTTGACCGCTTTCCAGATTCAATGAAGGCAGGTTTCATAACATTGTTAAAACGTTCCACGGTCTCTCCCGTCGCAGGTATACTACGACAACGTGAAAATCCCCGTGGAAAACGTCCTGGGAGGAGTGGGAAACGGCTTCAAGGTAGCCATGAACGTCCTGAATAACGGACGATTCGGCATGGCGGCCGCGCTGTCGGGCACGATGCAAACGTGCATAAAAAAAGCCGTCGAATTCGCCACGCAGAGGAAGCAATTCGGCGAGCGCATCGACAGCTTCGGGAGCATCCAAGAGAAGATAGCGCGCATGTCCATGCTGCAGTACGTCACGGAATCCATGGCGTACATGATATCCGGTAACATGGATTCCGGTTCGGTTAATTACCACTTGGAGGCGGCGATATCGAAATGCTTCGCTTCGGAGGCGGCCTGGTACGTGTGCGACGAGGCCATCCAGATTATGGGCGGGATGGGCTTCATGAAGCATTCCGGCTTGGAGAGGATACTGAGAGATTTGAGGATATTCAGGATATTCGAGGGGACCAACGATATTTTGCGGTTGTTCGTCGCTTTGACGGGCATGCAGTACGCGGGGTCGCATTTGAAGGAGTTGCAAATGGCGTTTAAGAATCCCACTGCGCACTTGGGGTTGATCTTCGAAGAGGCCTCCAAGAGGATGGTGAGGAAGGTTGGGTTGAGCTCGCCGCCTGCGATGGAGCACTTGGTTCATAGGGATTTGGCTTCTAGTGCTAATTTATTAGCTAAAGTAAGTTGTATATTCCTCTTAAAATACACTCGCTTTTATTGGTTTCTTAAATTACAGTGTTTCGATTCATTTGGGCAAGCTGTGGAAATGGTTCTAATCAAGTACGGCAAGAATATAGTAAATGAACAGTTTATTTTGAATCGACTTGCGAATGCTACATTCGATATCTATACCAGCGCGGTAGTTTTATCGAGGGCGAGCACATCGCTTAAAGAGGAATTGAGTTCGGCGAATCACGAGAAGTTGATGGCTGAAGCGTGGACTTTAGAGGTAAATTTTCGATTAATAATGCCTTACATTTGGTGAACTTACTTTTTTTATTAGGCCACGGAAAGGGTTGAGAGTTACTTGAAAGTAGTTGCCTCTGGAAAACATTTAGATAATTTCTCGAAGATGAGTACAATTTCAAGGAACGTCTGTCAAGCTGAGGGAGTAGTACAAAACAATCCGTTAAAAATTTGATGGAAACTAGAAAGATTAATATAATACGTTTAATTCCATGAAAAGTGCAAAAAAATTGTGAAAATGAGTTTTCTAGGTTGCTGATTGTATTCTTATATTTTTTTAACTGTTGGATGATTTTTCATTTTCGACAGTTTTTAAGTATCATGAAATTATTTTTAGTTTTTATCAATTTTATTTTTACCATTACCATGTATGTACATATTTTAAATGTAGGTCTGTGTAATTTCTAAATTTCAACTATCTTCTGAAAATTACTTCGAATAAAATTAGGTAATAACTATTTATAAAACTTTGGAACTGAAACTAATCCTATATATATTTTTTTAATGTGGATAATAAAGTTTTTGAAAGATTTTCCTTCGACTATTTTACTACCAAGTTGTCAACTGTACAAGAAAACTGTAAATAGCTTTTTACATTTATTAAAAGCAACTTTAACAAGCAATTTAACCACGTTATTGAAAGTTATAATTTATAATGGTACTTTATTAACTCTATAATTGCCTCGTTTGATAATAATTTAATTACATGAATTAAATGATAAATGGAAGGTACGATTTTGTCCATTTATCTTCTCAATAATAATATTAATATATTACGTTATTGTATTTTTGGTCTTAATTCTATATTCTCTAACCAAGAGCTACACGATTTGAATGAGTCAAAGACCTATTATAAGACACCCAGTAGAAATTTCAAATTTAATAATTTTGAAGGTTATTATACATTACTATAAAATGATTACATACATTTAAATGATTAAAATATTTTTAAGTAGACTAGGTATGCCCCTTATAAATAAATTTGGAAAAACGTATTAACACTAATATAAATTACAATTATTAAATAAAAAATATATACAATATATTAAAAATACTAAAGTAGCTGTTACTGAGAATATAAAAGAAATCAATTTCTTTGACCAGCAAAATTTTTTGTTCAAAATTTTACGTACGTGTTAGCACATTGCAGAACGATTTAGTAAAGTAATTTTTATCAAAAACCATTTTAAATTTAATCAATTACAATTACAAAATTATTTAAATAACAATAGCAATAATATAAAACAAACTAATAGAATAAAACAATTTCCTAACGTGCAAAACGAGATGAACAGGAATGAAAATTCAATGAGCGACGAATTCTGCAATATGATAAATGTCTACGAACCTTAGGAAATAGCGAAATAATAACTCACTAAGTATATTAATTAAATTTGGTGTTAACAATGCCGTTTTGTTAATATTAACTAAATAACAATTAGCCTTTTCCATAAAATATTTTACACGATTTTAACTGAATGAATACAAACATTAAAAATGACTAAAAAGATCGTAAATATTACAAATAGTCACTAAAAACGGAAGTGTTTTAACATCAAAAGTATAGGAAATATTACATAACAATTTTTTTTACTTATAATCAAGATGACTAGTATAGATCGAGTTTGTAAAAGATATTAATGGTGAAAAATTCAATCAAAAGCAACACTAATACTGAAATGACGCAACCCTTTGCTTCTGGTCAAATTTTTATCTAATATGGAAAGGTTCAATTACGTCATCCAATGCAGGATTATTAATTGTATAAATGACTTTTAGAAAGCGCAATATTTTCTAAATTTAAATTTTATTGAATAAATATTGGATCTGCCAATTGGATGACATTCTTGCTACATTACCGAAGTACATTAAACGTATTACAAAGTTGCCATTTTTCTACGCACCCATCACTGCTTGCATACACGTATAATCTCATATTTTATATACACATAGCAATGTTAATTTCATAAACATACTTAATGGTTAAAAAAGTTGATATTTTGATGATAAAAATGTTACCAACTGAAAGAAAAGGGATAATGAGGGAAGTGCAAACTTCCATATAAATGAGTGTGTATTTGAGAAAACAGAATTACACGTCTATAGGCGAAATTATAAGAGCTCCATGCAAAATTCGAATTAAACATTCTCAATTCCTTAATCTCAATTATTTAATATATCAGTCAATCAAACAATTCGAATTTAATTGAATGGAGTTCTTTCTACTCGTTTTTAACCATTAAGGAATTAGAACTAAAACGATTTTTCGGAATATGCACTCAAAATTCTAATAATATAATAAATAAACCGAAGTGATAATAAGGATTAGATAAATCAAGTGTACAATTCGAAAAAATCTTTTAGCAAACAAGTCCAAATTTCGAATTAAATCTGTAATAGTGTACACAAACATCAACAATTGAATAAGTTATATATAGGGCATTTCTAAAAAATAAATCAATATTATGTCTGTATACATGTATACAATATAGTATACATCCAGATTTACATTAAATATTCATTCATCTATTGTTTGTATACCTAAAAATATTTATTTTCTCACATCAATGCATCTGAAAAATACAGACATTTGTTTTCTTTAGCTATTGTTATTTAACACAAAATTACCGTACTGCTGATTATCTCGCCACGCATTATTTGAATTAATAGAGTCGTTAGTATTCATTGAATCTATAGTATTGGCATTCTTCACTATTTCGTTAGGAATCCTGCAACAAAATAATTACATTATTTATTATTTTGTAAAGTTTAATGTAATAATGTACTTACAAATTATCAACAATATCCTTAGACATTTTGGTTGTGCCATTTTCTTGTTCAATTTTAGTTCCGTTTACTTTACTTTTAATTTCATCGGATTTATTCTCATTTTTTTCGTCAGTACTCTAAAAAAAACCCAACCACATATTAATTCGCAATAGATTTTAGTTAAACGAAGAAAAACGAAACTCACTTGTGATGATAAATTATTAGCATTATTTTTCCCCCTTGTCCTCAACATTATAGCCTCGACCCTCTTGCGGCGCGCCTCCCGCTCCTTCTCCTCGTTCTTCAGCCTTTCCTGCAACTCGGCCTTCTGCCGTTCGGCCTCCTCGCGCGCCTTCTTCTCGGTTTCCTCCTTCAGCAACTTCAACCGCTGCTCCTCCTCCCGCCTCAGCCTCTCCTCCTCCTCCCTCTTCTGCGCTTCCTTTATTGCCTGCGAAACGAGCACATTTATTCACTCGATTCGTCGCCATCCAAAACACCACTTACTTCCTGCAGTCTTTCTTGCTCGGTCTGCCGCTGCAGCTCGATCAGCTGCCTGATCTGCTCCTCCTCCTGCCGCTGCCGCTCCAGCTCCGCCTGCGCCTCGGCCTCGACGCGCAGCCTCTCCAGCTCGGCCTGCCGCTCGGCCTCCTCGCGGATCAGCCGCCTCCTCTCCGCCAACGCCGCCTTCGCCTCCTCTTCGGTCGTGATGCGGCTCTTGGTCATCGAAGAGGACATCTCGCCGCCGGCGTCCGCCTCCGTTTCCACCTGCAGCTGGCCGTCCGGCTTCTCTTTCGCTTGAGGCTTCTGGATCTCGACCTCCGCTTGAGGCTTCTGGATTTCGACATCCGCTGGAGGCTTCTGGATTTCCACATCCGCTTGAGGCGGCGGGTCGATTTTCTCCGGGATCGGGGCTACTTCTTTAACCGGTTGCTCGACGACGAGGGGCTCCTCGTGGGCTGGAATCACGTCCTGGGCTGGGGCTGGGGCTTCCGCGTTGGGTTTGTCTTCGTCGCATTCGCTGGAACATGGTCTTGTTTCGTGCGGGAAAAGCAATCGCGCGATATACTTACACTTTTCCATTTACGACCGCCGGTTTGGGCTCGTTCGGAAGGAGGTGATTCACGTCGGATTTTTGATTGCTGCTGGTTTTCTCTTTCGTCGCGGCGTGCTTGACGATCGGCTTCGCGCCGTTGTCGACGGGCGTTTTGGCTCGGGGTTTGGGGTTGGCGGCGGGCTTGTCGCTCGGCTTCGGGGCCGGCTTCTTCGGCTTCGGCAGCGGCGGCTTCGACTCGCCCTTGAGGTCGTGCGTGACGCCGGTGACGGCGATGCTGGCGGGCCGCGGCTTCCTCGGCCCGTTGTTCAGGCGGTGCCTGAGGCTTATCGAACTGGCCAGGCTGTTTGTGCTGTGTTGGCTGAGGGAGCTGCTCGGACGCGACGACGCTGCGCAATCAACGGGTCAATTAGGTCGGTGGTTTAGTGTCGAAATGGGCGAGTTTGAGCAACTCTTGTGTAAGTCGTACGATTCGTTAGTAAGTTATCTACAATTAATATTTAACGCTCTGTTGGAATTTAAACGAATTTTCGGTAAATCACTGGAGTTAGTTGAAAACGTAAGCTATTAAAATTAGAGCGAATTAAATATGCTAATGGAGAAAACTCTCCTGCAATTGTATCGAAATAAGTTAATAAACGATTCATTTTCTCACTTTTGTATAACTTCAATACTACGAATGAAGTACTACATTGATTCTAAAGCGTTTTATACAAAAATGAGAATGTTACTAGGTATTTAATCAGCTAAAATAGAGAAAGTGCAGGTAACTATAAGGTAAACTAAAGCAATACGTTAAATGAAAGGAGACGCAATGAGCCACCACCATGTTCTGCCTTAAATTCTTCTGTAAAATACCATTTACCCATCGAAGCGGATGTAACTGGAAGAAAACACTACGATAACCAGGACATATTTAGTGAAATTTAACCGCAAACGCTGTTGACGTAAATCGAGAGGATAAATTTAACTAAACGTTCCTTGGTTTAATTAATAAATAAAAGTTTACAAGTTCGATTGCAGTGTAAACTAAATACAATTCGAATTATTTTAACATTTCAATAGCTACTAATGTGAGAACATGATTCCCGTTTTACCACACTACAAATATAGCATCTGAAACATTTAGATGAAAATTAAAACCAGCTAAAAACATCAGTATTAATTTTTTATACGAATAATGCGAGGTAAAAAGATGTATGTAACTGATTTAAATTGTGTTTCTACAATAAAATGATTTTAATATTATTATTAGCAAAGACAAGCTTTTTTTATTAGCAACGATATATTTAAACAAAGTTCGAAACTAATCAAATTTGAAACTAGCAATTTTTTTGAACTATTTACACGTTTTTGTATCCAGCTAACTTCGAGTACCCAATCTGAGGAATTAAACTCTATTTTAGACATTTAAATGCATTGAATTGGACTGAAGATGACTAAATAAGCGATTTTATCACATTCAGAAATTTTATCTACACAAAAATATAAATCTAGCTAAAATGAAAATTCTTTGAAACATATGAAAATTGAATAAACGATTAACTAAATGAAAAAAAATATATTTTCGAACAGTGTTTACCTATTCTCACCTTACCCACCACAATACGCCTACGGGAGACTTAAAAAATGAAAATATTGTATTATATTCGCATTATGTTATTCAATTTCTTTACAGTTCTAAACAAAATTTAAAACACCAATTATTGCAAAGAAGAACAGTAAAGAAATTAAAATAGTGTCGTTTTGTCGGGAATTATAAGCTTTAGATTCTTCTACAAATATTGAAATCAAATAATACTAATGAAAAAAATACTATGAATCACGAATAAATAAAACAATTTAATTTTTGAAACGCTCGGTATAATATCATTACTTCAATGGACTTTAACATCATAAAACGATGCTAATTAAATTTTATCTCCGAGAACCAGACTAATTTCTCATTATGCAATTAACTCTTTTAATTACTAAATTACATCGCAGAATCTCGCACAAATGTTTTTAACAGCCTATAACCCACAAAACGATTAAAAATATTAAAAAAAAAAAAAAAAAAAACGTTATAAATAAACAATTTTTACGATAACTTTAATGACGACGATAACTCATAAGTAGCCTTTGGAGCTTGCGTAATATTTATGATAATTGATATGCAGGATTTTTTGAATAAGCTTTTGTGTCGGTTCTCATTCGAATCACCCTGTATAATTGAATCGGTGAGTTCGAAAAACAGTATTCCGAGAAAATCAATAAAAACCGTTTTATTATGTATGGGTTTTCTCCTAATTTCGCGGGCTTTTCCAGCTCAATCTATGAAGAGACAAATTTTAAACAAAATGGCTATCTTACTTTAAAATGGTAACGACGGTTTTCGAACTAACCGATACAATTGATCATTGAGCATTATAACGTTTTTTTTTTAATGAAAGCTCCGCTCAGCGTTTATGTACAAACGAAGCGCAGTAGAAGTTGAAAATCCATACCCTCGCTGCAATTAGAGGAGCCGAGCGCTTTCTGCTCCCTCAATTGTGTGGTGCGAGTGGTGCGCGGCTGCTGCTGCTGCTGCGCCTGCGCCGCCGGTCTCGCGGCGGTGCTCAGCTGCTGCATGCTGCGGCTGTCGGCGCGGCCCAGCTCGGCGCCGGGCCGCGGCTTGCGCACGGCGATGTGGCTCACGCTGCGGGAGATGGGCGGATCGCGGGACCGGGACCGGGACTGGGACAGGTCGTACGAGGAGCCGGCCTTGCCGGATTCGACCAGGGACGGCATGAGGTGGCGTTTGCGCGGTCGCGCGAGCTGATCGAGCCGCGACATCGAGTATGCCCTACCTGGCGAGTGGTTCAGGGATTTGTGGGACGAACTGAGCGAGTCTTTTGTCGGAATGGTGGGGACTAAGTCGGTGCGCCTACGTCCTATAAAACCGCTCGCGCAGCCCGCCGGGACTACTCCTGCTGGTGCATTACCTGCAAAAGATATTCACCCGAAACTTTACTCAATTTATTTACGATTATTATGCGATATAATTTATATTAATTGTAAATAACTTTACAGTAACCGGAATGTCAATATGACAAATCTGAACAAAAATTGTAATGATAATGATTCATATTATTTAAAAATACGAATAGGAAAATTTCGTGTGTAATAACGTGAAAGTAGTAATCATAAATCTTACCGGTTCTCTCTAATCCAGTGGCAGAAGTGGCGCGTTTTTTGCTTCCTACATCTAAATCCCGTTCAGACTGTCTCCGAGTTAGCGCGGAAGAACTATCAACGGAAGTAGTAATATTTTGAATGGACGTCGACCTCCTATTGTTCCAATAGGACACATGCATATCACTGGGATCTAACATTCGAGGTGTCGAAGAACCAAAAGCGAAAACGGCGCTGCTCCGTTCGTTACGTCTCTTCGATTCGATGCGCTGTTCTCGCTCTTGGTTCCTTTTTATGATAAAATGCAGGCGGTCCCTTTCGGCGTCGCAGATCGCCTTCTTTCGCTCTTCGACCTGCTGGCGCTTCTCGTCGTGCCTCACCCTCATCTCGTCTAATCGCCGACGCCTTTCCTGCTCCTTCTGTTCCTTGAAAATTTGTGCTGCCAGCGCTTGTGCTTTGATTTCTTCCAATTTCTTATGTCTTTCTTCATTTTGGCGTTCTTTTACGTTGCGAAACCTTGCGTCTTTGTCTACTGAAAAATTTTACGTTGTAGTTCCTCAAATTAACATGCCATTCGAACAGTTTGTTTAACCCTTTTGTGCCTTATATTAAACCATATTAGTGGCCCAAAAGAGTCAAACAGAAGCAATAATCGCTCAACTTAAGCATGGGAATCTCGCTATCAAACCTTTGATTCTCATTCTCAAGTTGGCCCGAGCCTAAAACTCGCAAGAAAATGAAATTATTCTGCTTGGTTAATAAAAAAAAATTGATGTGGGTATGCACAAGATTTCCTGTCGACCAATGATACACGCTGCATTTGCTGCATTCTTGACGATTTGCCAAAAATAATTTCCTATTTCAAGAACTGTTAAAAAAATAAAGGAGCCACCGACTTAAAGAACAATGAATTGTCCAGCTAAATTTTTTTCTAACCACAACAGCGAAAGCGTGTAGCAATCATTGGAAATAAGCATGCGAACGAATCGAAAAATATCTGCCAAACAACGTCTCAATTATCTCTGAATGAATTTTTTGGCTTCTGTAGTTATAAAATCAAAATCACCGGTAAATTTATATCGCCGGCAGTGATTGCAGAAACGTAAATCATTCAGGCATTTCCTAAAGAATGTCATTTTATTGTACGCACAACGAATGCATCTAATTATAGCAATGTTTAAGTTCACACGTGCACTCTTCTAGTCTTCCTTCGCATACGAGACCAATAAATACACACAAGTATGCACACGGATTCTTGAATTTCATAATTAAAGTAAAGCGGTATGTCCAACGAATTTGTAAGAGCGATAATGCAGTGTATTAATTATTTAAATCGTATAATATTAAATGATTCGATGATTTTTTTTACAAAAACCGAGAACGTACGGTTTTGATTATTTACAGGAAGTTTAATGTTTTGATAAAAACGAATGAGTAACAAAGTTGACCACACCTGTATACCAAAATTACTGATACAATAGGATTTTAGTACATATACACACAAAACAGAATGTATAAGTATTTAAAATAAAAAAAATATTTACAGTAATTTAATAAATTTGATATACACTGTTATATGCAATTGTGATTAATTTACCGTATTATCAAAACATACATAAGTGATATGTAACAAGTAAAAAAAAAGTAATGACGTGAGATAATAATTAACGATTGTAACCAGTGATAATTTGAGGTATAATTTAAACTTACATTGCAACAATTTTAGTCTGACTGCCTCTAAAACTTTATCAGTGTCTTCTTGCATAATATTTAATAAAAAAAACAACTAAAACTAAAAGAAACAATTCGCATCTGCGTGACAACAAATATGCATAAATTTAAATTTAATCACGGACATTCTCAAGTCCACTCCGATCACGTTTAATCATCATATAGAATATTCTAAATTATTCAATAAATTCGTATTTAAGATGGATCTCTAGGCGTCAAACAATGGGTGTCAACCTACTTTCTTAATGAACTAATATAACACATTGTTGACGAAATCACAAAACACAAACATGATGGAAGTTGGAATATTAAAAACTACTTTTAGCAAGGATATACGCCACACACCTACTGATAATTATTCATCTCGTTTTTTTTAACAACCACAGACATGCGATACAACAAAGATAGATAACAACATTCGGATTGGAATGCCTACCTGCGAGTATATCTAACAAAACGGAATTCCTCATTTATAATGGATATCCTTGATTGGACAGCCTATTAGTAATTTTAAATTGTACCTGATGATTGCTACGTGTTTTATTAGGTAATAGGTAGCTAACATAAAACCGTGAAGCTGGTTGTCTATATGTTTAATGTCTTTAGTTTAGTTTAAATTTAATCAATAAAAATTGTTGTACAGTTGATTTCAAAAGAATGTAATTTATATTTTGTATAATCCGAGGAGAAAAAAATAATCACTTTTTTTATTAATCAGGATGTGTGTAAAAAGGTAAATCATTCCTTATCTTGGCAGGTTTTTTTAGTGATTAATAAATTCATTGTACGTAATTATTTATAATAAACAGAAAATGCCAAAAAACTAATCGGGTTAAAATAAAAAATTAGCTATAGTTAAATTTGAAACGTTGAGCCTTTTGCAAATCATTCACAAAACATTATAATGTTTATAAATAAGAAACATAAAACATTACACAATAAATAATGTATCTTTAATTAAAACGCAAACCAACCAAGAATGGTCTATGAACCTTAATGATCTTTTAATAGAAAATAAACCTAAAGTTTTGTATTAAAAATGAGGCGATATTTTTAGGGAATATGAATAGAAATACTGTAATTTAACAGAAATAAACCAATACTTTATCATGAGCAATAACATAGTTGTTTATTGTGGATTAATTTACTGCAATCTATAAAACTGTTATCCTGGTAAATAGTATTTTTATAAACAATTATTTACTAGAATCTATAATTATAATGTTACTAAAATATTGACTTTTTGAAATTAATACTTTATAAATATAGGTACCTATTCTTTATTTACATCAAACTGACATGCATCTTCTATTTCAAAGAAAATAATACTGCTAGAATTACTTACCCAAATGATAGGTAACTACTATTATTTATTAGCTTTTCCAAAGTATTTCAAAATTTAAATATTAACATCAAAACGAATATCATGTTAAAAAAACTTCAATGATCGCGTTGGCATTTTTAGTACAAAAATATACAAAATAAATTAAATCATCCTCAAAAATAACTCGATCAAGCTTTTTTTTTTAATTTCTAGTTTTTATAATTAATGCATTACACAATCTAAAGTTCAGTATAAATTAATTCATATTCCTGGACTTTTAGGTTTCTACCTTCCTTTGATTCATTAAATTTCGTGAAAACGCAAAGTACATTAGCGATATTGTAGTAAAGAATGAACATATGAATATGTAGAACTCGGAAACACACTTATTAACAACAAAATAATCAGTTTTTAGAACAAATAACAGTTATTAGATATTTTATAGTAAGCAGTAGTGACCAATTTGTGGCACCCACAGATGGTTGACTTTTCAAATTATATAACTATGAGTCAGTAGTAAAACAAACCCATACGTAATTATTAGTTATTTAAGTTAAACAATCATGCACAAATAACAACAAACACATATTCTAACCTGAAGATTTGGATTGCTCAAGAATTACTCGTTTATTTTCCTCCATTTTATCTTACACCACTAAAAATAAACTAGCGCTGCAAACACGCGTCAAGACATAGTACAACAAATGACATTTATGACACTGACACAAGTGACAGTGACATTTCTTAAAAAAGAAGAATATCTTCCTCCTTACAAAACAAAAACAATAAATTGCTGTTTGATGGCAGGATACAAGTCAAAAAAATTAAATAAAACGATGAAAAAAGAAGAAATTTGACATTTGAAGGTTGGTATGGCAGCGGGTGACAAACAAAACAACGTCAAAAATGTTTAAAGCACAACATTATTCTTATTCAGATAGATCTGACGTTTTTTCTTCAAATAACTATACTATGGAAAACTCGTATTGTCTCTGCGGCCAACCGTACGATCCAAATATTTTTATGATCCAGTGTGATGCTTGCAAAGATTGGTTCCATAGTGTGTAGGTATCTGGCAAATTTTCAGTATAATTAAGTTATATTTGGCAATTTTTTAGGTGCTGCAACTTTCCTGAGTATACTGCTATCGAAATAGACAAATATCATTGTCCTAGGTGTGTTCCAACATTCGGTCCATCCATAAGTAAGTTCGAAAACTGAACGTATTGTTGGATACTTTACACTATATATCCATCTATTTTAGATAAACCTATTTGCAATTGGCACAGGCACGACTATTGGGATGACAATTCGTCCACAAAACCTGTACAAACTGGCACTCCTGTGTTTATAAAAGAGCTATGTGCTAGGCATTTCACACCTGAAACCGATATTGTTTTGCACATTCGAGGACAGCAACTAACGGAGAACTTTTTAAAATCGCACGGGTTCAACAGACCTATTGTAATAGATACTAAAGATGGCTTAGATTTGACAATGCCTCAAGATAACTTCAGTGTTTACGATGTGGAACAATTCGCTGGAGGTGATATGGAAATAGACGTTATTGATGTTTGTCGACAGAATAATATAAAAATGAAACTTAGAGAATATGTTGAATATTTTAATAGTACGAATCGTACTAGAGTGTTTAATGTTGTTAGTCTTGAATTTTCATCAACAGGGTAAGCATATTGTTAATAAATTAATACTCTATTAAATATTAACATGTTTTATAGACTAGCATCTCTAATAGAAGCTCCTCAGATTGCTCGGACATTGGATTGGGCCAACGTCGTGTGGCCTCCAAACTATCCGGGAAAACCTCAAGTTCAAAAATATTGCCTAATGAGTGCTAAAGATTCTTATACAGACTTTCATATTGATTTCGGCGGGACTAGTGTGTGGTACCATGTGTTACGGGGCGAAAAGATATTTTATTTCGTCAAACCCACTCCTGCAAATTTGACACTTTATTCCCAGTGGATGACGTCAACTAGTCAAAGTGAAACTTTTTTCGGAGATCAGGTACAAATCATTAGAAATGAGTTAATAAGGTTTGATGTATGTAATATTTTTAGGTTGATCAATGTATAAAATGTGTGATAAAACAAGGTCAAACTATGCTTGTACCTACAGGATGGATTCATGCTGTATATACCCCAGTGGATTCTTTAGTTTTTGGTGGAAATTTTTTACATAGTTTAAATATAAGTATGCAATTAAGGTATGTATACCCAGAAGCTCTAATTGTTGGCAGTGACGTCCTTCAGTCTAACCAATAAGAGCCTAACCTTCAGTCCTTCAGTCTAACCAAAAACTCTTCGTTGAGTAATGTCGTCACTGTCAAGAATTATAGTAAATGTTGGTTATATTCTAATAAAACATTTGTTGCAGTGTATATGAAATAGAAAAGAAGATTAAAACTGAACAAAAGTTTCTTTATCCTAATTTTGAGATGATCAATTGGTTTTCTGCAGCTTACTTATTAAATGAATTGATAGAGATTAATATGCAAGGAAGTAGATGCCCCGATTATTTTTTAGTAGGAATAAAGTCTCTATTACAGGCGTTGAAGCATTGGAATACTGAAAAAGATGTAAGTAGTGAAAAGTATTCTATAAATTATCTACGAAATCATACGTATATTTTAGTACAATTTGTCTGTAAGGGAGCAAATTCCTGTTATGATAAACGTTCCTAAACTTATAAAAGATATAGGTAAAGAAATTAGGCTTGCGGAAAGGTACATAATACAATTAAATCCCCCTAAACCCGAAAGAGAGTCGAAGAGGAAAAGAAAAAAACCAGTTAACAAGGATTTCGTCGATTATTCGTTGATACCCAAGGGTACATCTCATGATGTAAGTATTACAAACAAAACGTGAAGTAGTTTTTATGTTTTAAATATTTCAGTTTATGCCATTAAACGAACTCCCCCAAACGCCCTCTACGCCTATCAAATATTCTCGCCACTCTGCATTGAAGCTCACATTACCAAAACCCGCTCTTTATCCGTACGAGAGATCCGGAACCTCTTCGGATGAAACTGTTTTATTGGATACGAGCAAGCCATTCGACACACAGCAGTGGCTGAACATGCCATTCGACAGGCCGCAGGAAACTATTGCAATTCACCGAGGTGGAACAGTTCTAAAATTTAAATTGGGGTACGTTGCGGAAATGATTCTCCTTAATTTATTTCAACGTTGTTATTAAACAGGACGAAGGATATTCTTCCGCCTCCGATTCCAAACGCGCCGCCGGCCGATTACGTGTTTCGAGACGATTTGGGGGGGAATTCTCAGGACATTTACGATTTTCATGATGATAGTGATAGAGATGAAGACTGCTTTAATTTTACAATTGACGAATCCCCCCAGAAAAAACCGAAAAGGGCGGCTGGAAAAGCTCGAGCAGCCGGTAAGTCGCGCTCCATTCCATCTGCAATAAGTTTTCTAATATTAGTAATTTTAGTTAAAAAACACAAGCTCCTCGGCGGGGATATCGAAGGATCGAACGGAATTGAATCTCTAATACAAGCCTCTGCACTGTCAGTGCCGTAAGTGCCTAATTCTCGATGGTTTCACAACATAATTTGATAAATATTTGTTTAGCTTGACTGTGGATGGAGGTACATCACCTTCAACGCAAGAGGCCATCGCTGGAATGCTCTCTATAAGCCAAAATTGGCCTCCCAACAAAGCCCAAAGGAAAAAGTACGTTTCGAGTCCTATAGAAGAAAACGTTAGTAATGTTCACCAAGACGACGATTACAGTAAGTATTAATTAGTAAATACAGTAAGTTATTCAAACATTCTATTTACCAGTATACCCGTCTTTGGACAATTCCGACGACGAAGACGTTCACATTTTCAAACCGCGGGGGCGATCAAAAGTCGACGAGGCTTGGAACCCCAAGGCGAGAGTAGGGCCGCTTCTGCCCAAAATGAACAGGCCCGCTCGAGAGGGTACCAAGAAACAGTCCGTCGAGAAGGTCCTCGAAGCAGCTGCAGCTAGAAGAATAAACGATAGCCCCGAAAAAAATAATAAGGTACTTGTTTGTGACGATAATATAGCTCACTGTATCATTAGTTGTGTCTGAGTTTAACCGGTGTAAATCCTGTGATGTTTTAGTTTCCGAAGAGGCAGTACCGCCGGCGAAAGTTGAAGCCGAAGCTGGATGTTCGCAGTCCTCCGATCAGCGTAACGCCTGTAGCTAGTACGTCGGCGTCGGCGTCGGTGGCGAGCGCGCCGTCGAGCAGCGGCCTCGCGACGCCGAAGCCTCGAAAGGGAATGAAGACTGTCAAACAACGATTAGGGAAAATATTAAAAATTCATAAGATGATACATTAGTTTGTAATCGAAATCGATCGATTGTTGTATGAGGTACATTTGTTTTGATGTTGATGCATTAAGATGGTTTTGATTCGCCGAAATGGGGCATTCGTTAAGGGCGTTCTCGAATTTTAACTGGTGGAATTTTGAACTGCTTCGACGGTTGGTGTTTTATTTGCGTCTGGTATAAAGAGTATTTTGGTTAAGAAATTGTCTTCGATAACATTTAATGATGTTTTTAATGAAATAAGAAGGTTATTGCCTGATAGGTGTGTATATGCGGTTAAATTCGGTAAGCTCTAGCACTGACGCCACTAATGGGATAATATTTTATTTCGTTTAAATGTTCACGTAGGTTGTGTGCAACAATATCACAAGAATTACACAGTTTTTGTTAAAGCAAGCTATTTGACTCGTACTATTTTGATTTATAACATTATTAATATCTATATCAAGAAGAATTTTGTGTTTTTGTCATATAAAATATTGTAAATTTGGATAAAATTAAATTTTTGAATTTCGAGAATCCCTTTAAAAGAAACGACACTTATTTAATATTTGAGTGCTTTTTAACTGTAATTTTACTTGTTACGTGTATAATTAATTCATTCAATTGTATATTTTGTTAATTTTTTATTGATTGTTGTTTACTTACAATTTTATTCATTTTATAATCGAAATATTGAAATAGTTCTTGAATAATTTAACACGGTTCATTTTTCGAGAATAAATGTACCTTATATTTATTTATTGTTATGAAAATCTCAGTATTCATTTTAGTATATTGTAATTTTTGATTGTTTTTATTAAATAACATTCCATTCAATCACTTTGGTTTTATTTATGTTAATCGGTTCATTGAAATTTAGGTGAAGAAAATGAATGGGATTTTTTTTGATTATGAATGTTTTTTCACATTATGCTGAGACTGATTATTCGTCACATTTGAAATAAAATAGTTGTACATTTCGTGTAATTAGGAATCAAACACTTATGCAATGAACAAACAAGTTTTAGAGTATTATACCATAGCGTAAAAACTTTGTCTAATGCTAAATATTGTGAATTTTCTGTAAAAAATATTTCACCACTTTAAATTACTGTTTGAAATTTTGAAATTTCTATAAATACGTGTAAGTACAATTAAAAATTTTTCTGTATATTTTATTAATAAAACCACTTCAAATTGTGTATGGTCGACTTTTTGTTTAAAACATTCTCCGGTTTTTACTATCTTGAAGAATGTAAAAAAACGAAAAATATATACCCAAAACGTGGGAACTGCTTCATTTACCTTCAGTAAGTAGTTTGGGCATGTTTTAAATTTAATAAATCGCAAAATAAACTGTAACTTTTTGAAGATAATACTTGCACAACTGTAGTAAAAATGCCGGTTAGAAAGACCGCTGTGAAAGAATGCCCGTGCGACGTGAAAGCCACCAAGCCGACTGCAAGAAAAGCTGATCCTGCTAAGAAAACCAAACCAGCTGCAAAAAAACCTGATGCAGCCAAGGCGACCAAGCCGGCTCCAAAAAAATCTGCTCCTGTGAAGAAAACCAAACCTGCTGGGAAAGCCGCTTCTTCCGCTTGCTGCAGGCCTTGCTCTTCACCGCCGTTGGTTACAAAAAGACAGACCAGATCTACAACAAAAACCCGGAAGGTAATGTTTCATTTAGTTTCACCAAATTGCTGTAATTTTCAAATCGTTTGTTAAGCAGGAAGAATCGTCGGATAGTGACTGCTGCTGCTGCAGCTGCGACTGCTAGTCGGAGATGAATTTGGCTATTGATAATTTGTGTATTTTTTTTATTTTTGTCTGGTACAATCTATTTTACTATTTTAACTGTAACTCTTGCTATGTATTACCGAATTAATTGAATAAATGATTTTTATATAGTTAATGTTTTTGTGTCATAACAAATTAGATACAAGATCCGTAAAATGCAGGTAATGTTCTGAATCTTGTCGGAAATGATACTAACGTCGACAAATCTATCGAGGAGAAATCTGAATGGTTACATACCGTAACTAGAAATAATATAAAAATCGAAAGCAATCGATTCGATTCGAATTGTAGTGTTCCATTTCGTGGTTTTTAGAAAAAAGCATATTAGAAATAATTTTTAATTTCATGAAGAATGTCTTATTTCGATCTGGTTTCCCCCAATAGTGCTTTTACTTCCAACTCTGTTGCCGGTATAAAACTTTGACTATTTCTTATTCAAGTGCAGTCGGTACTGGTTGTTATCTGTATTGAATATCCTAGTTTCTTAACTGGTAGGTGAAAAATTTTTGAATCAAGTCGATTTAGTGTTGCATATGTATGTGGGGATTATTGTGAGGTGTACACGATGAGAAAATTATTTCTATTGGATATTTTTGTTAAAATTGTAATTTGCTGTAACTGTAAATCAAAAATTTATTGTATGGTTTCAGTATATAAATTTCATACTTAGAAATGCATTAAAGCTTTAGCCCAAAAATAATTTAATGTCAGAATTATTTAACTTAAATGACTACATTTTGATTGCAGCTCAGGACATGGTATGGATATTGGTTTTCATTGTTGCTTTATGTAAGTAAACTTTTATTAATTTATAATGAATTAGAATGAATGAAAAGCAAGTGATATTGTAAAGATATGATAATGATCAAAAATGCGAATGTCTTTCTTATCTAATTATTTACTTATTCTTAGAAAATGCCATTTTCATTAGAATGATTTTGATCAGAATGATTATACACTTGACTGATCCTAGAATCAATTTTAAACTATGTAATTAATTGACTGCCGGAAATATTTAACTAAAAAAATAGAAAGTAGTACCTCTCAGAAACAGAGGATACTGGCACTAACTTCCTTATTCATCGAAAAAATCTCTACTATCAAAATTAAATTAACAATGAACCAAACTAATGAATCTCACAAAGAAGTCAATTTTTTGTTCCACCAAAGATTTAAGACAAATTTCATTATCAATAAAAAAATCTGTACGGAATTAGGTAAAAGTTAAATATTTGTTAATCAAGTCCCCGATTTAAATTGAAAAAAAAAATTATGCGTGCAAATTTAAATCTGAGTGTAAAGTACAGAAGTATAGAAAACCGTTTTACAAAGATTCTTAATCGAGCATCATCTCTTATTTACATGCTGGAGTGATCTGTTAACTAATCCGTGACATAATTCTTAATTTTACACTTCATTTAGAATGAAAAAAAGTGTATCGAACCTTTAGATTTGAAACAATTCCTGGTAAATTGCTTTTCTTATAAACATTTCCCTGTTTATAAAACGAAATAAAATTATCTGCTTATGAATTTAAAACGATTAAGTAATTTTTTCGGCGCCGCGCTCGAAAATATTAATTCGTTAATGTCACAATTGCATGCTCGACAGCAACATTTTTTACAAGTAATCCTGTAACAACTGAATTAATTGCATTTGATGCAACACCTCAAGCCTATCTGACCTTTACTGCTATATATTTTTAGTACCAGCCCATTACACTTTGGAATACGATGACATAGATATTCTTACGAATTATGATGTCCAATTCGCCGCTATATCTCAGAACAATCAGCTACCCAAAGCAAAGCAAGGCTTCAGTTCTGGCAGCAGCTTGAGAAGCATAGCCGAAGGAAGTTCTAATGCTGCTAATGACGCTGTTAACAATCAAGATGCCGCCGGTCATCAGGCTGCTTATGTGGCCAAAAACACTCTGGCACAGTCAGCTGCAGCTGTAAGTTTTATTTACTACTAAATTAGAATGTTAATACTACTTGTTTGTGATTTTGAAATTGGAACTAATGTGGATAATTTCAGGCATCCGCTACTGCACAAGCCGCTTTAGCAGGAAAACAGATTTTGCTTCAAGGGTTGGAACAACAGTACAGAGATTCTCAAACGGCTCTTATGGGAGAAAAGCAACAACTAATGCAGGTACATATAATCGTCTAATGTAAATACATTTCCCATGTTTTAATGTTGTTATCGACAGGCGCAACGATCGGCCGACCAAACGAACCGAGCAGCAATGGAAGCCAGGCAACACGTCCAGGTCCTGCAGAACACCCTGAACGCCGCCCAAGCTGCCGCAGATCACGTCACCCAAGCTGCCAACGAAGCCGCCGGTGAGTTAGCTGCGCAGCAGGCGATGGTGGGGTCCGCGATGGACCGGCTGGAGCAGATAGGAAAGCAACTGGCGGCCGTACGGATCGACTTCCAGGCCACGCAGGCGGCCGCCCAGAAGGCGCAAGCTTCGGCCCAGGCGGCGGCGGCGAACGCGGCGGCCGCCGCCGCAGCCGCTGCGGCAGGTATGAGCAACCGGTTGCGGACTTTGTATACGGCTTTAGTTCGTAATTTTGAGAGTATTGGGGATTTTATAAAGAAGAATGTGTTGAAACTTTTTACTGGTTGAATAGCTACTGCCTATCTACCTACGCCATGTTAATTTGTTCATAAGGAAAGTAGAATTTATTATTAAAAATTATCTAGTTACAAGTATTCGAATCTAATAATTTATTATTTTCAATTCTAATATCTTCTAATTTTAAACAGAAGCGAATACTTGCATCTAAATATACTTCTCCACAAAAGTTAAGGAAGTTTACAAATATTGAGATAAATTTAAAATTTGCAGGTTTTGTGATCGCCAAATTTAGTATGAGTTGTAGAGGTAGGGGCAAAAAATCCACTTAGATATGAGAGAAAACATTTAATTTCGCATTTTGGAAATTTGGTGATCAAAAAGTCTGTAACTTTTAAAATAATCGCAAAATTTCAAAACTTCCTTAACTTTTGTGGAGCAGTTTAAATCGTACCTACATAGAATAGAAAATAAAAGTCCAACACTCTTAACAATTAGAATTTCACTTTTTACGCGTTAAAAATGCGCTATAGTAGCTGAAAATTTAATTATTATCATTGCAGATCTGGCTAAGAACGCCGGGAAGATACCGCTTCCTCCTCCGCCACCTCCGCCGCCAGCGCCCAAGCCCGACAAGAGCGGAGGCGGCGGTAACGGGGGTGGAAAGAAGGGAGGTGGTGGCCATCAAGGAGGAGGATCTGCTGGAGGCAAATCGTCGAAATACAGCGCCGACGGCAGTGACTACGATCAAAATTCTTTCTACCACCCTCTGTTTTACGATGAAAGTTAAATTCCCGCAAGTGGTTGATTTTTTACAATTTTTTAAAAATAAACTTATAAAGTAATTTAGCGTGTTTCTTTTATGAATCTTAATCGATCTCCTCACTCGATATTCTATAGTTTTTGATGTGATTCAATAGGGGTAAATCTAGAATTTTATCCAAATTAGTTACTATATTTTTTGTCTTGTGGGTGTGCAACCCCAATATGTTAAAAAAATAGACATAGACATTCAAGTTCATATAAATATAATACAAGACATCGCTACTCTCTATAGAATAATCCAATAAAATTGGTGAAAGTACCCTCAAATTTTAGCCCCAGCGGGGTTTACTTGCAGCGCTGCCTACCATCGTGGGATCATTTGCATTTAGCAATTGTGACTTATGAACCGATACTTAAAAATAAACACAAAACTATGGTAGAAAATAGCTCTTTCTTTTAGTGATACCGTTAGTCGGGTAAGAGTGAGACTGGGTCACGTTTCCTTCAGTCAGGTGTTAGCGCTCTGTCCAAGTACTTACGGTTACCGCTTGACCACTTTTGATGGTCACTTCTTGCATTTCGGTTTCGTCAAAATTAAAAGTTTTCATACTGGTCGTCGTTTCGCGTTCGTTTTAGAGTTGAACAGTGATTATGAGGTTTAATAAAGTGCTGTTGTTTGTCGTTATAATGGGTAAGAGGATTTTGATTGGAACTTTTCCTTGTAAATATGATATGTACAGTGTTTTTAGTACCTATACATTCGATTAACATAGTATTGAGGACAAGTATTTCAAAGATCTTGCAGATTGAGGTTATTTGTGTGTTTGCTTCCGGGATTTCGTGGAAATTCGCATTTTTTACGCAATTTCTTATTGTAAAATGAATTGTGCAAATTACTCATCGATCCTCATTGATTTCACTGGCAAAATCTCTTGAAAATATGAGAATTTTACATTCCAAAAATAACGTACCTATGAATGGGTAATTTATTTATTTTCGCTAAACCATTATTTGTCAATTGAATCAAAACGGAATAATTTACTTTTAACGAGTGTATTGTCACGGTTTTACACTAAAAGTGTATTGGAAATCAATATGTAAATTATACAGTGTGTATAATAAAGTCATTACATTAAATACGATTTTACAATGCAATGTTTAACCTTCCAAAAAGCATATTATTCACGATCACAAAATAATTTTTACCTTCAAAAATTAATGAAAATCGAAAGGACTACTAATAGGGTAGTAAGTTTGAAAATTCGAAATTGTGAATCATTGGTTAAATTACATCTATACGACTCTAGAAAGTTATACAATGACGATAAATTAGTTACCAATAGTAGCAATTATCGCTTTTAGACAGTTGCATATTTATTAATAAATTATTATAATAACTTGGTGTAGACTTAATTACTATCCTAAATTATTATGAAATTTTTCGGTAATTGATATACCAATTTTTGTAGCTTCGAAATTATAAATAGGAAGAATAAATGAAGATGTTTGATTTGATGTTCATAAATGGGCACTAATTAAATAATCGAATTTACAAATCATTGAAATTATTATACTCGCGTCCTGTAAAAAATTACCAGGGAACAGGATTTGATGTAAATTTTCAAAAAAAATTAAAATGCACATTTGCATAAATTATTACGATTTTTTTATTGCTCATTTGATGGGTAGACATTCAAGATACAACTTCTAATTAGTACCATTTTAGGCGTTACCCAGTATAATCCTTGAAGAAATTAAATTGTCGATAACATAAAAAAAAGCAAGATTTCAGTATTGCACACTAAATGCTGCCTACTAAAAGATTTATTAATTAAATAGCTTTAAATCGAGGACACGTTTATTTGAAAAAAAAAAATGTTTCAAATGAGGTTATTTCAATTTATTTACATACGTTAAAATTTCAATTAGGAAATAGTCGGCGGTATTCAACTCAAATTAACCATCAATTTTCGCAATTTTGGCTTTATAGAAATTAAATTCAAATCGTTTGTGGAAAGTAATGGATGAACTTCGAAATGAAAAATTGTAATAGCATATTTCACGCGTCGGAAATACTCGATTGCTTAATGATTAATTCTAACTTAATCCTCTAGTTTCGTTTTATTTTTTATTGTGAGTGCGTTTTTGATACTCCATATTATCGAGTATAGTACTTATAAATCCTATTGTTATAATACTTTCTTGAATTATTGTAGGTACAAATATGCGAGTACATTAGTTATCGATTACTTTCAAGGTTAAATGCATTTTCAAATGAAATCCGCACATTAAAAGCAGAATCAGAGCATTTAGAGGTATTTGTTTTTCATTTCACTTTAGGTAGGTAGATAATCAGATAATCATATTAATTTCCAAATGCTATTCATGTAAACTACACGTTGTGGTTTATGTTAGGGCATAATAATGACCCGGGAGGTTCTGTTGTTTCTCCTGGGTGACGTAAATGTTGAACATGACATTGATTTAATTAATCTCATTGAGTTAGGTACTTGTAAGGATTATATAATTTCGCATTGATTGCAAATATCAACCTTGAGTATAGCAATGCATTGATGAGATAAATGCAATTAAGTGTGCAGCACATAAATAATCTCGAAATTTTGCAAGCTTGTCTATTATACCTTTGTTTTGTATTTTTTTTGTAAAGTATTACACCCGTTTTAAAACAAGTGGTTTTCCCTATTATAAAATTAACAGCAAAATGTTTCAGGGTCAGATTTTCAGTTTTAATAAATTTGTGCAATGATGTAGCAAATCATGAATTAACGCTGTTACGTTATAGATAATAATAATAATAATAATAATAATAATTAATTGTAAAAGATTTTACATAACAGAACTTGGTGGTATAGTCGGTCTTTCAATCACTTATATCGTCCAATGTTTGTATTGTAATTTGTATCCTGAACATTTTGTAGCAACAATCAGAATTTACGGTGCAAGGAAAGTCGCATTTATTGTAGTGTGTTGCATTGGAATTGTCCTGCATTTTTAATTACAATGACAAAGCGTGGGAGTGTCGAGCATTAATATAGGCACCCATTAAAATATTGTTGATTAGTAATTACCAGTAAAACTGAAAGTATTAATATTTTTATCGAGAACAATTTTATTTTTATTTAGCCATACAAGAGCATTTGTTAACTAACGAGCTTCTACATAATATGAAATCCGTAAAATACTATTGCGGCAATAATTACAAACCAATTTTACGGATTCGTAATAAAATTTTACCGGTTCGTTAGTTAACAAACGATTAAAGAAGAGATCTTTTTACACCGATGTTGCTTGTATGGCCATTTCCAGGCTTCTGTTTTATTCAATGTACCAGGAACAATGTAAATTAGTAAAATTCATCAAAATGGCGGAAATTAGAATGCTTACTTGATTTCTCCTTGCAGGCGGGACTTGGCAGATAGGCCGACCGACCTGTGTTTTGGAATCAGATTTTGGATTTGTCCTCAACTGTGCTTTTAAGAAATCTGGGCTGTTTCGAGTTAGAAATCTTGGTGGTGTGAAAGCTCACATAGGCCTGGGTAAAATCTTTCTTTCTATTTGCTTATTAACTTTTCTTCGAATTTCAATAAATTTGTAGAAAACGTAGATGTAGGTATGTAGTTCGTTCTATTTTCTTTTGCAAAATTATTGTGGCATGAATGGTATTCCAAAAGAAAATATCATCTGTCAAACTTGTCATTAATGTCATTCGATCAAAGGTAATGTGATTCAAAATTCGAAAAGAGTTTTTTTTAAACAACGTATAGTGAATACCAAATGTAGAAAACCATTTTAAAATGCCACAATAGTTTTGGTATAAATCACGTTTTAACCTGCTCCTTATATTGCACATAAAAGTGTACCTACTGTATGTATTTAAATGTAAATTTAGAAATTTAGGTAGTCTAATACTTAACAAAAAATAAGTTGTACCTAAGACCTATACAAATAAGAGAATTCAGAAGAGTATTATAGTTAAAAACTTTAAAAAGAATCGAGTGGAAAAAATCCGCCATGCGTTTTTAAACTAATTTGGTTTACATAATAAAGGTAGCAATTTTAAAAGATTATTTTTCTATTTAAACACCATGTCATACAAAATTATTGTGAAATGTAAAATTAGCTGCTTGAATATTTTACTCCCATGGAAAATAAAAATTTTATTTCACAAATTATATTACGTTAATAAAATTATATCTATAAATCAATCTTCCCAACAAAGAAAAAGTTGAAAATGAAGAGGTCAATATCCCTATTTTATTAATCAATCTGTTATTATATGATATTCGTATTGTCACTTTCACTATTAAAAATTTGTAGGTGGCTACACGAATAAACGATTTTCGTTTTAAAAAATACTTTATAAATATCATGTTTTGTTTGACTTGTAATTTTACTTTCATGCCATTCAACTGGAACTCTCACTGTAAATGTGTACAATTTTCAAGCGTCGATTCCCAGCAATATTGCGTGAAATATATTTGAGATCCATTATTAAACTCCTTTCGATTTAACTAACAAAAGGAACACCCTAAAATTGAGTAGTAATTCAGTTGAAATAGATTTATCATGAAAAAATGATGCGGTTTACTCAAAAAAAAAACGTCGTGCTTTCTCAATACTTTCACGTTATAAACGCCGCAAAATAAATAAAATCAGTCCGAACAACAACACTGAAGAAGGGTTACATCACTGAAGAAAATTGCAGCGCCGTTTATAGCAAAAATTGTGAAAAAAAAATGTAACAGGCGATAAATTCAAACGTTAAATAACCTTGTGCAGTTGCAAATTAAGTAACACCAAGGAGACGAACAAGAATAAAATCTAGAAGAATCTCCTATGCTTCTGCCCTCAAAAATTTAATGCTTTCCGCTGACGTATTTAGAACGCAATGTTTTGTAACTGACATGGCATAATGCTAATCGTATTCTTTTATAATAATGAACAAATAAATCGAATATACAGTGATGGTAAATGTTTGGAACTGAATGAAGCAAATTCCTTGCGTTTATAAAGAGTTAATATTTTTTTAGTCCAAGGCGAAATTGCCTGCCAATAATAAAATTCTTAAACAAAATAGTTTACCTAAGGTTTCTAAAAAAAATGGTAATGATGGTATTTCAATATTGTCGTATTAACTACGTACAAATAGTACACAGTGTGATGAAATAACATATGTTTTACGCATGTTTCAGGTTTATTTGAAGTTAATTTTAAAATTTTTGCAACAGTTCGATGCTCCGATTTTGAAAATTACCTAAATAAAAAAATAACTATTTGAATGCTTCCAAATTACAAAATTACTAAAAATACTTCAACATATTTATTTATATCCATAAAAGTTTCTGCAGTAAAAACCTGAACACTAATTGAAGAAAAAATGCTGCAAATATCATTAAAATTTAATTATGTAAATGCCACACATTTTTGCATACCTGCCTAATTATTCTTTAGTATAATAATTTCTAATTCATTCTTATTTGAGGTAACACAAATATTAAAAGTTGTTTGTATATCACTCAAATACTAACTATTCGGCAATTCCTTTCGTTGCCTTTTCGAACTTTTCAACAATGAATAATTAAAAGCGCTCTCAGTCCTTCTAGCATGAAAGGCTATCGTGACTACTTTTATGCAGGTATACGAAGGAGGCGTTCATAGTCAAAGGTTACACTTGTCCTCCAGTGCTCTTACCTATATCCTTGGTCTTTTTACCCCCATTGTCGCATTTGACATACAATATTTAGAAAAAAAATCTATTGTAATCTTCGAGAAATTTAAATTTCCCTCGCAGTAAACTCATAGCCGGATATGTTACACTTAGGTAATGGAATGCATTCATACGTACTTATCGTGTAATAATGTAGAAAGTCCTTGAAAGGCGCAAGAGGAAGATACTCTTTATATCGCAATTACTACTAAATACGTATTATTTAAATCGCTTACTAGTTAATAAAGAAATACATACAGTTTGTACAAAGCAACATTATTTCAGCAGAAAATTATTCGTGAAATATGCACCGAAAAAAATTCGCTGGTAAATACAACAGCTGGTCGTGGTGAAATAAAATTGTCATTCAAACACGTTTAATTTTAGGGTTTAGTGTAGGAGATGAGTTGGGATTCAAGGAGTCCCTCACGAACGTCGAACAGAACCGAAGGAGATCGACGTCGGCGTCGAAGCTCCAAGCTCAACTAATCCAAGCCCAGCAAAACGCGAAGAAGCCGGTAAGTTGATCAACCGACTGAAAATGCAATCGCGAATGCGGCGAAATTCCGAAATTGGCCAACGTCCGAAGTTCAATCCGAATTGCGCTAATGAAACCAACATCTTTATGCTTCATTAAAAACGGATAAAATGCATTATGACAACGTCCTTCGGAATATGTGTCTTGAACAATTGTTTACATTTGCCTTTGTGGACGATTGATGCTCATTTGCGAAAGAGATATTTATATGGAATAACGTTACAAGGTGTTCTTACAAAACGTGTAGTTAAGAGAATTATGTCTCGCGCGATTAGTAAAGTTACAATTTGCATTTACCAGTCTTGAAGCTGCAAATTATTTTTCAGAGCGCGATAACGCCATCACCGAAGGGTCTCTCGTTGGATTCCAGAATGGGCACCGTGGACGTTGTTACACCAACGTCAGCGGGACAAATGATGGGTTTACCCAAATCCGTCAAGAGAACTTCTGGAGCTGTCCCTCCTTTCAAACCCATTCCTCCAGCAGAGGAAAGATACACAGCCGGTCACTCAGCTTCTTTTACCGGTGAGTACAAGATTTTGTACATTATGTTCACACCAACTTATGTGAACATATTCTACATTGAAATTTGTGATTCAATTTTATTGTACCGTTATTAATCCTTAACAGAGGATGCCGTCAAGTCGAGAAATTACTTTGCAGGTGATACGAATAATCCGGAAATGATGGCGATAATAGCAATACCGAGGAGGGAAGTGCAAGCTCAAGATAAAACCGGTAACGATCAGTTCTCGTACAAAGTTTACCCGGCGGCGGCGAATAACGAGGTAAACCCGAAGAACGCCATCATTTCATTCGGCAACAGTAATTTCACCGAAGAAGACATCGAGGCGTTGATTCAGAAACAAATGGCTATGAAGAATAGAGCAACAACTACCACTACAACGACTACGACGACGACGCCAAAACCGTTTAATAAATACGCCAACAGCGCCGGGAAAGTGATGAACGCGCCCAAGGAATACTATCCCGTTGGGTACGACAAGAATTTCGATGACAACTTCGCTTCGAGGGTGGAGTTGCCGGAAACATCGTTTTATTGCGGTGATCAGAAGCATTTTCCCGGGCTGTACGCCGACGAAGATTTGGGTTGCATGGTAAATATGAATTTGTAATTAAATAACGCGTTTCGTTTATTTTTAATGATAAATTCGATTTGTTAATCATCAGGCAAGGTCAATGTCCAAATGCCTACTTTCTCTTGAGAAAAAAAGTTGATACTTTGAACTTGCGAAGAAGATTTATACGCAAATTAATTAACGATCTATCGACTTGTAGGTTGCACAACGTCGAATTTATAGATATAATGTATGTAAGAAATTTGTATTAATTTTCAGGTGTTTCACGTCTGTGCTTTAACGGATGATGGGCTTATTATGAAGAGCTTCCTGTGTCCGGAATCGACTTTGTTCGATCAAACGATTTTGAAGTGCAATTGGTGGTTTTACGTGGATTGTAAGAATTCGAAAAAACTGTACGATTCCAATATACCGATATCGAAAAGCTATCAATTGATGAAAGCTCTAACGTTCTTCTCTTCTTACAAAAACGATAATAGGAATAGCACGAAAACGAACGATAAAGACTGATATGTAGCTTTATAGTTAGATTTCTAGTATTATTAATTGTCTAAAGGGAAGGAGACGTGATTAAATACAAAGCGATATTTATTTTAACGGTATTTAATAAATCCTCATTCCTAATAAAAAGCTCAATATGTCGCAATCTAAGTCTTTACTATATTTTAAATAATTTATATTTAGATTTTAATAAGTAGGTGATATAAACGTGATGGAAGATTTGTTATTCGAATACCTATTAAAATACAATTTGTTGTAATTAAGTTTTGCGAAATTTTCTTCAGATACTAATTTGTATTTGTTGTATGTAAAGTTTTTTTTTTCAGCTTATTCTCAGGGTAGACATTATAAAATTTTATAAATGGTCATTTTATGGTTATCGCTTAAAATCAATTTTATTATTTCTAAAGAACTGAATAAAGTAAATAAATCAGGAAGAGTGATGTAAAATGGTCGAAAGGGGTTATTTTGTAAATATTATTGTTGCAATTACATTGTTCTGTTTTATTAATTGATATAAATGTTGAAACATAATTTTCAGTCGTTTTATTATACTAAAGTAACTCAAACCCTTTCATGTGAATCATTTAGCTTTCAACCATCTATTGTAAGGATATTTCTTGTTATGTTTAGTGTCCAGAAATTATATTTTTTACAAATAAGCCCTTCTCTAATCCTCGGTCATTCATACAATAATGCAAATCAACCCTGCTTATTGTGTGCGAAATCCTCAAGCTCCACTGCGCAATTTTTCGCTTATTATGTAGAAAAATCCAGTTTGCTTCAACATTTTTCTAAACAATAACAATAACCACTGGTCAGTTTAGGATGCAAAACTGGTCTAATGACGTACTTAAAATGGGTTTAGCCACTTCCTGTGACACGTGCAACATTCGTTAAAATATTCATATGTATGTATATGGTAAAATCCATATTTTTGAATAACAACCGCTTACTTTGCACTGTCGATAGTTAAAAAAAATACAGTTTATGTAGAAAAATCTGCCACACGTGCTTCTAAACTGTGCACAGACGGGGCATTGAAACAAGTTTACGAAATCCTCTAAATAATGGCTGAGTTTTTTGTTCGCTCACAATTGGCAAGTTCTTTATTATGAAAATTAAACCAGTAGAGTAACTACCCTTCTCCTTTTAGTAAACACAGCTGAAGTGAAAAAGATTTATTTCTAAAGAACGAGGGTTGAGATCCGAGCAACGCGTCGAGTCCAATCTTAGGATGATATTTCGAATATAATTTTGCAGGTAAAAAATTTAAACAAATATGAAAATAACATTTATTGCTTATAAAATTGGTAATCACATTAAAATGTTCACGCTATGTGAGATCATATATTTATAAAAAAATATTTTGCCATACGACGAACTCTGTGAAATCTACAAACGGCTGAACTATAGTATCTTACTTACAACTAAAATAAATAAAAATTTAAATAAGGTACAAACAAAATGACTAAATTAAAAAAAAAATCTGTGATAAATACGTAAATAATGTACAATTAATACCAGTGTTAAGAAACATTCGCTGTTCAGCAATCTTCTGCACACTGTCCACTTAAAAATAATGACTAGTTTCTCTTATCAATACGCCACTTCAGCCCCCCACGGTCTGTACGGCTTCATGCCCTGCGACGTGGGCACGTTCTGCCCGTAATTCTGGTGATGGTGAGCCGAAGGAATGCTGAACGCATTGCCGGGGTACTGGTGCGAACTATAACTCAACACCGACGGCGTGGTCGCCGTCAAAGGCGTCAGAATCGACGACGAAGGCGGCAACCGGCTGTTGTCAGTCGTCGCCACAGGCACCGTGGTCTGGGCGCACGAGGTAGACACGTCGTAGTGGCTTAGCTCGTGCAAATTCTGCGGCGGCGGCGGCGGCGGCGGCGGCGTCTGGTGGTGGTTCAGGTTCGGAAGGTGGCCGTGGTTGGAGGCCGGCGACGGCGGCAGCGGCGTGTAAGGCGGTTGAGAGCCGGGGTAAGTCCACGGTCCGGCCGTCGCTTGCTTCGAAGCGAGCTCTCGTTGGGCCGCGCAGCACTGCAAATGCGACGTTAATCGCAATCTCAGGGGATTCTGGACGTCCAGGCCTTCGATGCGTTCGAGGTACCGCGCGACTTCGGCCACGCATTCCCTGAAACCCATGCCGTGGTAGTCCATCGCGTACTTGTGGGGGTCGTATGCGAAGGAATCCAAACCTGGAACGGAGATGTTACAATGTTGTAGTAGGCCCAATTCGTGATAAGATTCGAGCTTGCGGAAAAATTACGGACAATCGAGATGTTCTACCTGCATAAAAATTAAGTGGGAAAGCGAAATGTTTACAAATGTCCACGTTGATAGGTATACAGGTAGCAGGTGAATTTGAAAGAGGTAAAAGGATTATTGTGTGCGTGGGAACATGCGATCACCCATCTGTAACACAAACTGAAAATCCATAAACCGTACGGTCGGAATTAGTGTATGCAGCGTGGTTAAATGATATGGTGTATAGAAGAGGGTCCTCGTGGGAACCCTCGAAAAGATTCGCTGACTTTAACTTACCAACAGGTTTCGCTCCCCACTCTATTTGACCACCCTATTTTTTAGATTTGCATCGTTAATTGCCGTTTTAGTTTTTTTTTGTTTCCGTTATTGTTGATAAAAATTATTATTTGAAACGTGCCTAGCAGAAGCATTTACGTTTCAGGTGAGAGTGAAAAAATTATTATTATCGTACCTTTGGCGTGCAGCATTTTGAGATGGTCCACGGTCATTTGTAAAATCTCGGCCTTTTCCAGCTTCGCTGATCCCTGTTTCTCGAACGCACTGGGAACCAGCCTCTTCAATTCGCTCAGAGACATGTTGATTCTATCCCTTCGTTTCTTTTCTATAACTCCTCGTCGTTTCTTTCTGGATAACATTTGGCAACTGTCGGCATCCCCAGGGCTAGTGCACCTGAAATTAAATTTAGGATAAAATTTTCCGAAGGCTTTGAGAATTTGCTCTAACAATTTTCGTATATTATGTAAGAACGATGTGTTAAAATTATGTATTAATATTTATTTTAATTTTTTCTATTTTTATAGTTTTATTACATGGAGCGCTCGAGTCGAGGTATGTTAGTTTGTAATTAGGAATTATTATTAGCCTATTAACTACTCAATATATTGGTTTATTTATCTAAAAAATTAAATTGGCTATTAATAATTAAGTTATAATAATATTTCGATTTCTATACGAAATGGAAATATATTCAACCGATTTAAAAATATTACGTGGGTAGATTTTATTTGGTTTCCAACAATGAAATTTCGGTTTTCACATACATTCCTACTTGCATAAAATGAGTTACCTACGAAGCCGTAAAATTAATTTTATAGTTTTGATAGGCAGTTATTTCACCGAGGCTATTTTTGAATTTGGCACCGACCGATTTCTGGAGATTCTACGCCAAGTTATATCAAATTCTTAGCGTTATTAGGAAATTTGAATTTGAACCGACTGTTTGAAATCTAACTAATTACTAGCTATTAAAATTCTGCGCGATGACAATTGAAATTCGATCAAAAAAATAATTTATTTTCTTACAGATATTATAACAGAATAATGCTCGTTATCGACCAAGAAAATAATTCGCAACGAGATAATCTGTTATAAAATTTAAAATGTAAAAAATTGTAAAGATGGGAATTGACGAATACCACCGAACTGTTCCGCTGACACGAGGTGACAGCGAGCGTAATTGATGTCAAACGGTACTTACTGTTCCTTGGAAGACTCCTCGGAATACACATCATCACAATCACTTTCGGACAGAGGCCTCTTGGAGCCCCTAGAAACGGGCTGCCAAGACGAAGACGCGCTGGTGTTGCCCGAGTATCCCCACTGCAAAGGAGCGTGTTGAGACAAAGAATGATCCATATTAGATAAACGAAATAGGTCACGATCTTTGTCACTTGCGACCAAGATGAAGATCGGAAATAAGTCGCGTGTCGGACAGCTGTCGTTTAGATGCCGCGCGTGTGTTACTGACGTTCGCGAATGCGGAAAGTGTACAGCCCTGTTGATCAACCAACGTTCAGCCACGTTTTTACCCCCACTTCAACCCCCACCGGTCCACGCGACTTCCTACACGGTCTTCGGTTGGGCCCTTTGATGGGCTCCACTCACCCCGATATTGTGTAACTTCTTGTGCCTGCGACTATTCATCCCCTTGCCGCACGCATGAGGCCCAAGTCGTGCGGTACTTCTACGTTTCAACTTTCCCACATCGGCGGCTGTATCAAATAATTAGCCCGAACGCGTGCTGGGATGATAGTTTATTACCGTTTACGATTGTTGTTGAAAAATTTGCATTTTTAACACCGTTTACGGGAATTTTTCATTCATTAAATATGTCGCTGCGATAGTTTATTTACATGATCTATCAATATACTTTTTAACAATTTTATCAAAAATATTCGCAATGTTTGTTTTAAATCGAATTTCATTCGAATAGTTCATGCGTATTTCAAATTTAATAAACAAAATATTGTTCAAGAATTGTTAATTTTCAGCGTTGATAATTTTATGGAAGGCTACGTGCGCTCGCACCCTAACTACAGTCCTGCAATAACAAGTAGGAATAGGAATAGAAAGGAAAGGGAAAGGGATCAAAGGACTTGGAATATCGTGGGAAATAAAGTTTTCTGGTTGTCACACAACCGCCACGCGTCCGACGTTGGTCCGCCACCGAAAATAATGTATATGTTTATTGTTTGAGTTATTTGCGCGCAGTATAAGGCTTTTCAATTAATCTGATTAAAAATTGGTTGCAACCGAGAATCTATCGTCGGTATCAAAAAAAAAATCCAGGAAGGAATATTTTTCAAAAGAAAGTGAAGATTTACAGTTAGCGTGGTTTAGGTACTTTTTCTTTTCAAAGTGATATGTACCGTTAAATCGAAACGCTTCCGTGTTTTTATCCAACACATTCGCCCTTAAAAAGAATCTTCTTATTACAGTTATAAAATATTAACGGTACTTCATATTTCTATAGCGCGATTATCATCAATACAAATTACTATACACGGGGGGTGGGTACTTCAGAAACACTCAGGTAAAAAGAAAAAACGTTTTTTTTTTATTTCAGTAACCAACCACCCACTAATATCATACTCTATTCACGATAGATAGAGTAAAAATAGAATTAAAACCTGAACAGGTGTTCGGTTAAAACAAACAGTAAATTATCGGGGAATAGGCGTAACAATTAGTCGTTATCTTCGGGCGGATCGTCATTTCCCAATTCGCCCCCTGCGAATTGAATACCGGGGCGTCAAGGTGGCGTGTGTAATCGGACAATGTTGAACTGTTTAGCGTTCGGCGTACGCATGAGAGTTGGCTTTCCAACTATTTCCCACGTTTTCTGTACCCCTAAAGTATGCTCGCCGGCAGGTCGCGTCTTCAACCCTACGCAAGTGCGCTCGAAACGCGCTGCTTGTTTATTCGCACTTTCGGCCCACCAAACGGGGCGGTTTTTTTTTTGTTTTCGTATTTCGAAAATCGATTGATTGATCGGTTTGCTTTTCGAATTAAAAATTGGGACTTTTCGTGCTTCCTTCAGAAGTCATAAACGGCCGCTAATAAATCTAATGATGCGCTAAATGATTATACCGCGCGGACTATTTGTTTAAGTTAATTCGTTTCAATGCGAGTTCAGCGCAAATAATATTGACATTCGCATACGTTTTTTTTGGGAAATAATTCGTAAATAATCTAATACAATAATTTATTGTTTTCCTTTAATAATTAAATTGTTATCAATTGTTTTTAAAATACTCGTACTTACGTGTAACGCGTGTTATCTGATTGTACGCGAAATCACAAGGTTTTTACAGATAATATTCACGTATTCAGCTTAACGTATTGAACTCAAAACACTCGAAATCCATTGCATTTCCATGTATTTATTATTAAACAAATCTACTAATAAATAATATCTACTATCATTCATTTGCGGAAGAACCGTGTGAATGATTGCGAATAAAAAAAAATTATACTTTAGGGGCACTAGATAAGTGTGGGAACGGTATTAATTCCTTATTCGAAGCTGGTAATGTAATTAGAGGGTGGAAATCAGAATGGGCCTGGGAAGTTAGGGGTACGGGGATGCGAATATTGTAATAGACACGCGTTTGGGAGGGTAATGGTCAATCACGATTAATTTTTTTTTATTTTGACGAAATATAATAATTTCATTTTTTTATCGATAAGGTACTTTGCGGTCGTATAAACATGTTTTGATGATTATAATTTTTAACTGATTACTGTTAATTAGTAAATTCAAAAATACTTGAAATTTAACATGAAGGATTAATTGAAAGTACCGTACAATTTTTTATGTATAAAGCTATTATTCAAAAATTCGATCGCATCCAGCGGACCGGGCCCGATAAGAAAATTAATTCCGAATTACATCCGTTTTATTGAATCAAATTGATATGTCCCTTTCAGAAAGGGAGGATAATTCCGTGGGGTGGAACTCAGCCGAATGAAACGGGCATGGCAACGCCGATAGTCCCGTTTTATATAGGATGAAATACGCGCGCGCGTTGCTTTAGATTACTCGATTGCTCGACGTGTAGTCCAACCACTACAGTAAAAGTCAATAGTGCAACGTTGTTGGTGTTTTTGGTACGATGTCTGTTCGAAAATTTTTCCAGTGGACAAGCCACAATTGTCTTAAGGTAAGGGCCTTTTGAATTGTTTTTATAACACCCGCGCAACTTTAATGCACTAGAATGATTTGTTGGCGAACAAAATATTTATTGAAAATATTTACAGATTGACCCATCAGATGTTTTTAGTTTTAAATAATTAAATTTGTATATTGCTTGAGTAGATTAAACAATTTATAGCCCCCACTTTATGTCGTTAACAGCCCTTCTGAATAAATATTATTTTGCGTAGCAGTCACAAAAATTTAAAAAAAATTAATCAACACCGAAAAGTTAAAATACTATAAGTCTTTCTATCATTCTTCAATCAAACAATATTATTACATAACTTGTTCTGCGTGTTTTTTCGCAAGGAAATGCATTCGAATGTATTATGCATTTTTATTAACCCTCACTCGTTATTGTGCGCCTGAAATAATTTATTTTATACAATAATCAATTGTATTATTGATGATAATTTTGTTACCAGTCGTTTTGCTCGCATTAGAACTTTCTTAAAGTGTTTTGAATCATTGGCTTCTGCGATTCGCGATTGATTCATCTTTAGCCAAACATTAGAAATAGAACCGCTATATAAATAAAATGAGGTACTTGAACCAGATTTTTGGTTTCATATTCATTATTTTTACGTATTATGCTTCTTAATTAATCAGATTATTGCATAGTTATAACAATAGTATACCCGTTATAGGTAATGCAAATAATTACTTATAAGATATCGATAAAGAATAAATGTATACCCTTTGTTGCAATATTTCTCCGAATTTGATTTAAATATGCATTGTTTTTTTTTGCGTAAGTGTAGAAACGCATCATTTCGATTAATTATTTTATCATACGCGGGATTTCCTTTTCAAATTGCATTATTAGCATTTTAATTGCCCAATTATTAAAAGCGATCTTACAAAACACTTGCACCTTCAATTCGAATGAAGCAATACATCTTCCAGTGATCACATAAATTATGTGCATGTCGTAGAGTTTACACAGTGCTCAAAATCGATATGAAGACTGTAAAATTTATACATGTAAGAGGATTCGAGCCGATCTTACCGCAGCTGTTCGTATACAAGTCTAGAAATTACCGTGCAAATGAATTCGCGTGGAATGGCAATTGATTGGATCATATTTCTATTGCAGGTTTTCAAAAATTGGTCGACGTCGATTCAGAACAGGCGACAGAGGAAAAAATACACGAGTTACGGATCGGCGATATCCCTGTCGAATTACGGTTATAGGGGTAGCATTTCAACAGAAGTAACCATCCTGGAGGATCTGCACCTTTGCTCGTGTCAAGCGAACAACAACGAAGTGAACGAGAACAGGCTCAACGAATGTATCGAACAGAGAGGCGACTATTAGAGTAATTTCTTTGAAACTTGATTATTGCGGTGTATTAAGGGATTCGCGAAATTTCTCGACTTCAACATCAAATCAATCTTGTGCTATATTAGCATTCTGTTTTGAGTTTTATTATGTTTAGATGAAATTCTGATTAGATTTAAGTATCGAGTAAAAATAAATTATCTCTAGAAATTGTGATGATAGATAAGGTAGATTTTGTATGAGTACTAGAAGTAAAATTTAAATTGATTACATTTAGATTTTTATTTAATATATTGTGTGTACTGTACTGTGCTTTTGTTTAACATTTATGATGGTTTGACTGTGATATTTAATATAAGTACTTTAATATATTATTTAATACTATATACCGAGTTTTATTCCATGATATATTTACCGAACAGTTTCAGAGTTTTTTTTTTATCGTTATCATGAAAAGCTGGATTATTACATGAAATATGTTGAATTTAGTAAATATTGAAAGTGATTAGGGCCTTGCAAATTAATTCAATAGTAAACGTTTAATTTACATTCAACGCTTTATTGCGATTTAAATAAAAAACGCGTATTTTGTACAATGTTTGCATACGTGTGTGTATACAAAGCATTCACTTATTAAAAGCTTAATTAAATTAGATATTGTTTTCAATTGAACTGAGTCAATAATATCGTCACTAACAATAAGTTAGCAAAACAGCATTTCGTATTGATTCACTAATTAAAATCTCCAATCAACAATTTACTACTTTTCTTACCAACCTGAAATTATTATGCGTATTTATTTTTTTAATTCAAATTCTCGGGTTAAGGAAAAAGTCGCAAGCGGGGACCAAGTGCGTATTGCACAGTAGGTATGGACACTATTAATAAACGCCACGTCTTAAAAAAACAAAATAATACACGACGCGCATTGCTAATAGACAATACATAGTGTATTGTTTTCATAATCCGCAGTTTTAACAATCCACATCTGCCAAGTGACGAAATAACTCCGCTTAATTGTTCCATTAAATGACATTTTTAGTGATTTACGATCAGCTTTCAAACGTAATTTTTCGTTGTGACTACATATTTAGGGCTAATAAGATGCTTCTCGAATTTTGTATTCACGTAGACACGCTTTCAAATAATCAAAACCCGATAAGCATACTAATTTGCGTGAAATTCTTGAACTCAATTTGTCGTAGCTTCGAATCCATTATAAATTTATTTATTGCAATCAAGCGTCGTATATAAGAGAATTTTGTAGCGAGGATTCGAAGCGAAATACGAGTAATAATCATAAAGTAGAAAATATAGCATTCACTGACGATATTAGAGGAAAAACGCCAATCAAACTAATATGAAAATGTCATTTTTCAATGAACAACTTGATTTAATATGCACAACAATTGACTAACAGGACTTTACGGACCATGAAGTGGCCAGATGTTGGTCGAATTCTCATCTCTTGTGTTTAGATTTGATTAAAAGGCAGTTGCGTAAAATTGACCGCTGACCATTGTCCACTGGAAACCTTCCGGGGTACATTATGATCACATGCAACAACACGCTCGATTGGCCTCTACTTAACTTTGTTTTGCTAACAAAATGAAGAACGTGTCACATGCTGCATTCTGCAGCTTCATGAATAATTCTCTACAAACACGGATAAACGAAAGTATTTCCGTATAAGGTTGAAAATTTGGTGCATTTTCGAGCATCTGTTTTGCTATTGCGATCTCTGATCGATTTTACAATTCAATTTATTCCAGTCCAATTCAATCAGGAATGCAAAGAGAAACTAGGAAACTATATAATAGTCAATAAAATTTACCAATCACTCTCGGCTAATTTATCAGTGGGTTAGACGTGTAATGAAAGTACTGCAGAAATTTTCTATTGGTTTATTTAATTTGCAACCCTCTGACTGTTAAAGGTATGATTGATCGATTTTCAATCTTTCAAAAACTCCATTCCGATTCAATGTCGATAAATGACTGCTATTGTTCGAAGGAGGAGAGAAATAGGAAGTCTAGTTCGAATGTTTCAATTAAATTTCGCTATATCAATGCCTGTAAGTTTATAACTGGGTAAGGAAGTTTCGGTATCATTTTTTTCCTCAGGTCATTTAAATCGACTCCCCTAAACTTCTTTGTAACATGAAAATATCCATTAATATAATTGTTATTGTGCTGTAAAACGTAATGAATACAAATAAAATCTACAACTGTCAAGAACGTGTCACGAGAAACCGGAACAAACTGAAAAATTAACCCCTTTTTAATTGATTGTATTATTGTACCACTTTTAAAAAGGGTTCCGCCGCATTTAAATGCGATGTACTTATTGTTGCTTCGGTTTTACGGTTTGCTATTATTTTAAAGCGAAAATCGCACCGTGAAATTTTTAACTAAAACTACGCGCGCTCGCGTCAACGGTTTGAAAAAATTGAATATATCTCATTCAATTAAAACCCATTGATGTAAGACGCACAAGAATAAAGCTTTATCGATTAGCTAATGACCTAATAAGAAAGTGCACTGTCGGGTTTTGAGATGCAGCACGTGAGCCCGAAGGAACTGACGCAGCTTTCTTGATTTATTTTTATAAATCTGGCAATACGGTTCTGGATCCTTCCGAGCAAATTATATAACATTTCATGATTCATGGTAGCGCTAATACCTTTTGGGCATGTCAAAGTGTGGAGCTTTAAAAGCAGTCGCTGAAGATTTTGAGTTTTATGACATCAGCGGCGCGTGCCTTACGCACGCTCATCTTCTGTCCATTGTTTCCGTTTTAGGGATCTGCACGTGACTAATATGGCCGGCTTTTGTGGACTTCGTACAGATACGTATTTTAAAATGCTGCTTGGAAATCGAACAGGAAATTCACTTGGCTTTCCTGGCACGGAAAGCACCGGCATTGAATGCGCGCCTCCTTGTCGGCCAAGCCGGCGATCGCGCGAGTGGGATAGAGAGAGTGCGAACTTTAAGACTGATAGTATCTAAGGCCTTTTTAAGGTGTAAGGTGATAAAAAATTAGAATATAATTTATTATATTTTTTTATTCTGAATGTACACAGCATATAAGCAAGGTAGTTTGAGTAATTTGCCTTCTGAGAATCTATAAATTCTTAAGTTTTAATTGAGCAAATATTGACTACGTGTGGTAAAACGTTTTATAACGACTTATAACATAATATATTTTTTTGGTAATTTAAAATTACAATTCACTTAAATGTACAATAAAGTAATTGGAAGTACTGGAATAATGGCGCTTTTACCCAAACTTTTTTTTATATCAGTCATGTTCACGCTTATGAAGGATGATTGTATTAGAATTAAGCAAATGCAAATCACATAAGCACGTCATTTCAATTTATGCATCATTTGTAAACTAAATGAATTTCAAAATAAGTATTAAAAATTACTACTTATACGAAAATATGTTGTAGCAAAACGGATATGATTGACAGTCTTATTTTAATGGCGTTAATTAATAACCCATTTTTAAAATTCACTTAGTTCAGTAATAATTCTAATTCAAAAATATTGAATTGATATAAAAATAAATGTTGTTTTTTACTTATATAAAATATTAATAATTATTTTATTAAATATTAAGACTTTTTGGAAGGGGTATTTTTCGTAATATTTTCGCATCATCACATTTTAGTTATTTTCAATAAAAAAATACTTAAGCTTATTTATAACATAAATTTTAGAAGATAAAAAAAACAATACTCAATTTACTTAAGTTATGACTAGATAAACATTAATATATTATATTAGCTTAAGCAGAATCTCAGGTATTAATAATACTATATTGCTCAAAACACATCTTTGGCATTAAAGATTAAATGATACTAAAATACAAATTTCAGCACTTTCTTATCTAATACTGGGATTAATACGAATCTTAAAAAATTTCCTGATATTAAAATATAATAAAATGACTTATAACCTTAGGATTCAAAAGAAATAAACAAGATACACAACAAATAAGTTATAAAAGAGTATAAGATAATCACATTTTGTCAAATATTTAGCACAATAGAGTCAACTCATCATATCATCCATGAATTTAGGCAATACAATTTACAATACATAAGTCAGTATATTCATGTACGGCAGCTTTTTTAATTCATTCTAAATTCTAATATAGCATTTATAGAGGTAAATATAAAAGTAATATTTTAGTACAAAGGTACATTGGAAAGGAATGACAGCATTTCATTTAATTTCTAATTAATACTGATTTAGCGTTTGTCCAAAAAATTTGAAAGAATTCACAACTGAGTGAAATTTTTGATATATCTAAATCAACAAAATCAAGACAGATAAAATAGAAATTAGATATAAAGAAACAAAGTTTCTAACAGTGGACGAAACTTGAATAACCGTTGGTTTTTCTAACGTGTTGTTAGATTTTTCTTTGGTTTTATCCAGTATTATTTTCGAACCACTACCTTCTACTAAATCCTCATCGTCTGTAATACCTGCCAACTTACCTCTAATGTCATTGCACAAATCAGAAGAGCAGAAACAATATTCCACCCCGTTCGCAGTTTTGCAGTCATCGAGCTCCTTGTCTACACATGACCTTGTCCTATTATCACCTGTACCGAATTGAATGGTTGATTTACAAAAAAAAAATTAGAAGCGAATAAATCAAGTTACCTTCGATTTTGAGGAAACAACCCTTTTGCGAACGGTCGCATTCTTGAATGTATTTTTCCTTCTCAGACTCGAAGTTTGTACACGGAAGAGAAATATCGTCGGAGCAAACATAACAACGCAGCGCGTTTAATTCATTACCTGAAATTTAACTCATCAGGAAGGTCTAAAAATAATAATAAATATCATGCTTACTTTTTAGGGTTATCAAATACAAAATGATGATATTTAACTTTGATTTCATTATTTTTGGAAGCGATACACGAGCAGAAAAAATACTGGTTGCGAATACTATGTTGTTAATTTTTAGTTAATTAATTCCCGGAAACATTAGCATTGTTTATTAATTTTTTTTGAACTTCAGGAGTTAAAAAAATTCAAGGAAATGAATAATCAAATTGACATTTGACGTAGCATATCGATTGAATCGATTAAAAGTCTTCCAAATATCAACAAAATAACCGTGATAAGAAACTATTTATTAAAAAATATAATCCTAAATTAAACATCACTCATTCCGGTTATTATTTTATTCAATAAACATTTGATAACATTTCGTATAATTTTTTTATGTTAATCGATTACTCGTTTCATTCGCTACATAAGAATCGAAAAAAAAAGTATAAAAAACTGACTGAATAATCCCATTCTTGACATTTGACATGTTGACAGTTGTAAATAAAAGTCGAATATAACCTAAAAATATGTCAGATGTTGACTGTCAGATCAATAATTAAACAATAAATTGAAAATAAGAATAATTGTATAAGTTAATCATGAAATACAACGACAGAGAGCTAGTAAAATTGGGAGAGAATAAAGCAGACTTGGAAGGTATCTTACATCACATGAAACCTATCGTAAACGACTGGTCAGATTGGTATCAACGACCCTCATTCAAAGAGCGATATTTCAAACTAATATCCAACATATTATTCTATTATCGAGTGGGCGAAGATGAACCGATGGGCATTTTAATACTGGAAAACGCGCAAGTTTCGTACGAAAGGCCTCACAAAGGTATTCCGTTTGCATTTTCTCTTACATTCAAAGTGAACGATAGATACGGAGACGAGGAAGCCAAGCATATTTTCTCGTGTCGATGCGACTCCGATGTGAATAAATGGGTATCAGCGTTGAAAACAGCATCTTACGAATACTGGAGGTCCCAGTATGTCATTTTAAAAACTAAAATTAGCATGAAAACGGGAAAAGATCCTGTATTGGAGTACATGAGAAGCAAGAATTGCGTTGTCAAACACAAGGAATCGAAGAAAAATAAAGTCAAGGAGCCCCAGTCGACGTTTTACAGTCATGTTGATATAAACTACAGTAATAACAGTTCCGTGAATAACATCGATGCAAGCAACGATACAGACGTCATTGTTGATAATTTAATTAAACTCTAGTTAATTATTTTTTTTCGTAATATGAATGTTGATTTGTATTATTTATTATTGTAATCATAACTGTTGTAAATAGTTGATACATTAAATTGATCTGATCAGAACCCATCAGAGAAAAAGCAAAGCTCATTTAGAGTTAGATAAAATAAAATTATGTTAATAGTTCCAAAATATCTCTGATATGTGTAATACCGTCGTAAATATTGGTGTAATTGATTTAGTTTTTGTCAAATCCACTAAAAAACGAATGTGTGATATGAAATAAATTTCTGTTAATTTACAATTATTTACTATAGTGAAATAAATTTTATATTATTTATTAAATAAGTGTGGTATTGTATTACAAGATTTTTCATTAATTTCATTTTGTACTCTGAAAATCATAAAGACTTCTTTATTAATTATAATAGCCTAATATTGTTTTTGCATATATCTAGTCATGATATTTTAAAACCGAAATTTTGTAATTATTTTAATAAAAATGTGTGTTTAAATCATTGCTTTTAATTTGCACCTCTTTGTCCATTCTAAAAAGACAGACTTGGAAATAAACTCCAAAATAGTTTGAATAAAAAAATAAGCGATTAAAAGTTAGGTATTACATTTTACATCTTTTGACTCGCAAAACATCCAAGTTTCCATGTTCATTAAAACTGAAAAGAAAATTTCTGCTCGTCGGGTATTCCTAGCATCTTGGAAGTTTGTAAATTTTCTCCTAATGATGTGGAGTAGCGCAACTTTAATATTAGTTTTTGTAATTTTTTGATATTAGATAAACTGTTCTTTCATAATTACTCTCCTAAAGAAATTATTCGGCATTTATCTTGCAAAATAATGATAAATCAGACGCAAGAGATTATAAAAAAAAATCTAAGATCGTTATGAAATAACGCTTCGAAGAAAATTGTATGGAAAATGCGCAGCACACCTGATTTAAAAAAAAATTTAACAATGAGTTGGAATCCAACAATGTGGCTGAATTACTCACTACTATGCGTAGTATAGGATCTAAATGCAATGGAAAATCATATTTTTCAGAATTTAAGTGGCTGTAATCGTCAAACGCTCGAAAATATAAAATCTGCATTGATAAAATCATGAAATTCATCATAAATTCACATAATGGATAGTAACTATATGTATAATACATTACATTGTTGTAATCGACTGATCATTAAAATGTAAAAAGTGCTGAAATAAAAATTTTAGTTACGGCTTTGATGTTAATGGAATATTTTAGCAAGAAATTATTAATAAATGAAACTTTTGATGTATAAATTTTAAAAATTATACTTACAACAGACGCTCTGGATGATATTAACCCTTGCATTCCCTGTATAAGTAAGACCCAGAATGTAGAAAAGGGAAAAGAAAGAATACGAGCACATAAAAGTTTTTCCAATGCTGTTCGTCCCTAATGTAACAAATTCTTTGGCTTCAAAACGGTAATTGTAAACATCGTATTTACGTCCAAAAGTCACAATTTAAATCGAAAATCAATTTCTACCACTGCTTTTCTTCTATTTAATCGAAATCGAATTGAATGGTGAACTCAAGACGAGCGAATTCAGAAGCAAACATTACATGTTTGGGCCTTGAAAATGAGATTCAGTAATATTAAAGAATATTTTTTGTGGGTTTTTCCAATCCCTTTTACAGGTAATTTCTCATAAAAGAATTTATATTTGTAAGGAAATGAACGCTTTTAAGGTTTTTTTTTTGTATACAATTACCGGGGTTTTGAGATTTTTGGCCAATTTAATATCTTCGGATTTAAATTACGTATAAAATATATTACGCGCTATATATTTTTCGACTTTACGTTTACCTGCATAATACTTCCGTTTGATTTATCGTTTCATAAAATTTTATTTAGTAGAGAATCTTGTTTTTACATTTTTGAATAAGTACCTCCTGAAAAGGCTTTCCTTCAAGGTTTTACTATTCCAGACAATGCAATAGATCCAGTCAGAGCATATAAGCGCTCTATAATGGCGTCGTTGCAAGAGCTTAAGTCAGGCTCACTTTTAAATCTCATCTCAAAAGTGTACGCCCTTTCAAAATTTATTTTGTCTATTGTAGAGATTACCTACGTTCGTATCTTCCTGTAGCTCTCACAGCGACCCAAAAAAATATCCTTTTCCTTTACAAGGATTTCCCCGTTTTGTAGTTATCTCTAATACCCTTTTATAAGGTTATACATCTGCTCGTTAAAATATAGTTTTTTGCAATATCCACGAGCTCGATAAGAAGTCCCGGAAGCAATTAATTTCTTTTAATACAAAATATCGCATTAAAGATTTTCCGCGAGGCATTCGGAAAAACCGGCCAATAAACAGCGCGGAACAAAACGAAACAACGGCGGCATTAGCGGGATTGATTAAAAGCGTTTCACGCCTTTCACCGGAGTTTCAAAAGGCTGTGAACTACGAAGAAAAAATAAAGCATGCAGATAATAGCCGTGGACAAATAGTCCAAGTTCAAGTTAAAGTCCACGTGGTGGTTGGAGTGCTGCATCGAGCGCAGCTTGGGCCGGGCAGGGTTTGAAGCTTTCAGGGGCGCAAGTCCTTACAAGCTCGAGACGATAGACACATTTTTGTGCACATGTTACCACGACACGGTGTTGTACACTATACTCCGATTCTCTCAGGTGAGTGTACGTTGAACGTGTGTGTGTGTACAATCTCGTATTATAGGTCAGTGACCGATCATGCCAAACAATATCCACTAATTACGAATGAAACATTAGGATTGATAGTAATTTTCCTCATATTTCCCTCGGGTCGCGTGTAAATATCTTGGAAAATATTTTATTCGCTAGTGGAAAAACGGTGTAAGTGGGTAAAAGATCTCACGATTTTTTTTTGTATCTTAGATATTTTGTTTAGTATTTTTTTTGGGGGGGAAAATCTCATGATTATAGTAATTTGTGTATTAGTAGAATCATATCGAGTAGCTCGTTTATCTAAAAATACATTTTAGTTGTAATATATTCGCGATATCATTACAGATTCTGGAAAATATGTAATTAATATCACGAATTTGGCTTTATTGTTAATGTGATTTGCATGTTTTAGATGTATGAATATGTTTATGATTAGCTAGGCATATTTAAATTAACAAAACTAAGTGAATTAATGAATATACTCTAAAAGCTCATATTCATTTTTGTCGAGTAAAAATATCGAAATTTTCATTCCTGTAATAACTTATTTTATATTTTACGTAGATATTTCAATATCAAAAATAATGTACGCACCTCATATATTATAATAATTACCTATTTTCTCACAACCAAATATTTAATTAGATCCCTTACAGCGGAAAATGAATTTAAAATACCGTATTAAAGGTATGAGAGAGAATTAAATGCTAATTAAATTCCTCAAAAGCAACAAAGTAGGTATTTTTGCACTGTATCCTTTCCTGAAAGTTATTTAATAAAGAACAAAGTATGAAATATATTTCTGTAAATTCCTGCAGGAGGAAAAAATAAATCTTTCATATCTCGTGTTAAATAAGAAATTTCATAAACCTGAAAAATTCCAAATTAAAAAAATTTAATCGGGTATGTTCTACAATTACATCTGCCTTTTTCGCATTATTTGAAAAATGCACAATAATTGTAATACCAAAAATGCAAACATTTTATGCCGCCGGCTAGTGGGTATTTGAAATTGAAAAGCACTTTATCGAGATTATAGAAATTTTAATTAAAATCGTGATAGTTATCGTTAGTTATCTTATTTAAAAAGTGTAATTGGATTTTTATTGGAATAAGGATTATACAATCTAAATTTAGAGATGCGTTTTACCAATTTTTGAGTGCATTTTAAGTGATTTTCATACTCGAAAAAACAATTATTTTTGCTAACAATAAGGTTTTAATCGTTTTAAAGAGCTTCGCTCTAGTTCAACAAATTTCAATAAGCATACCCGGATTTAGCAACCCGTAGCAACATCACCTTTTACCTGCCAACCGCACGAACTAATCTTTCAAAATTTCCTCATTCAAACGCTTATGAATTATGAATTTATAAATTTGCAACTTACCTGCCTGCTCGATATTGAATTAAATTCATGAATAATGGGTCGGTAATTAACGCAAAAAATAAATCGGCTGCAATTAAATTTGTTTCTTTGACGGTGCAAATCTGCACACGAATGGCCGATTTACTGAATAAATTCGTTTGTGCTCGGTTAAATTTTCTGGAATTATAACGCGCCAAAGTCGTTTGATGCTTGTACATACAATTCACTTAATTTGTAATCAAAATTTAATGAAACATGCATTACCTACATTATCGTGGTATTAATTTATTTTCGCATTTATTATGAAATTGCTCCGAACTATTTGCTTTTATTATTCAATTTCACGTGGAACATAATAAAGCGGTTTTCCATTAGCAGTAAAATAATTAAAATCGTTTACAGATAAATTATAAACGATACGTCTACATTGTCGGTTATTGATGGACTAAACATTTCGACTTCGAGAACTCGAAGGGAATATTAACTCACACAGGACGCCGTAAAAAGTATCGGACTAACTTTCTCCCTTTCAAAGAACAATATTAAAACTTTTTTATTTTATGTGCCAATAACAGCTTATCGAACAGCCATAAGTGAATTACCTAAATGTGGCTAAATAAAAAAAAAATCCGGTCACGTTTTTGATTGAAGTGATTTTGTTGAGATGATTGTATTAAAGGTGATTTTCTCGTTAGGTACAACAAGTTTGTTGTAACAGAAAAAAATGCTGCTATAGTTAGACATGGTTGACAGACAGCTTCAGAATATTGACCCAGAAGAGACTAAAATACGGCCAAGGTATTTATAAAATATTTTAAATTAATGTAAAAAAATTTACAGTTAATATACATTTTAAATTATAATTACGAAAATTTTGGAATGAAGAGGATTTCAATGGGTTTTCACCGTACCAAATAATCAAACGCTCGACAAAACAATTGTTTCAAAGCAAATAGCTTCAAAAATAAGCGATATTGAACATCGACGCGCGCTAACAATTATTTTTTCCGGTCAACGCGAGTGTAGAATAAATTTCCAGATTCAATAAGAGAAAAACGTATCACTCTCATGGGAAACGCTTCCTGATGTTTAATTTTTCCTGCGTTCAATTTATTTTTTGTTGACATTTTCCGAACATCCGATAGATGTTTACAAAGGTTTTGAAATTCTCACGTTAGTTCGAAAAGTAAATGTATTTTTTATAAACATTTCCCTTTTCAATTTCGAACGAACCAATGACAGATAAACAGAGTGAAAACCGTTGAAATCAAGCTCAAAAAAGATCAAAGATAGGCATTTGACACGCAGAGGCGGAAAAGCTCCGGTAAAAACATCGAATCGTTTTTAATGTGATTTTTATGTGTGAATTGCGTTGTTTGGGAAATCCACAATAAATGGTATTTTAAGTAAAAAAAACATAAATTACGAGCGAAAATTGTAGCAAGTTTTGTTGTTCTTGCAATGTAGATGGGGAAGTTTGGCTAATGAGCGAGACTTGCTAGATATACTTAGCAGGGATCATTCATCTCTACAACCCACTTCCTTAACTCTAGCTGCTGTGAATTCCAATATCTACGCTAGAAGACATTCAGCCACAGACGAGCATGTCAAATCTCCATCTACAGTGAGTACAAACATTTTAATGCACCAAACGAAATGTACTTTCCCTATGCAACTTCACCCATTTTCATCCGTTATGAATTATTATTTGAATCCATCGTCGCTTTTTGATTTGATCATTCATTGGTTTCATTACCCACTTTTACCTAAGTGAAGTTAACACGTTTCTGTTTTATTTAGATACCCCTACGTCCTCCACCGGTTCCAAAACGAACTTTACCAGTCATAATTAACACAAACACCAACTCAAACTCGAACCAGCCGAAAGCTAGCAAGCCAGTCGAACCCCCGCCATTACCACCGACTCCAAAATGCCGTGCACTACCCACAATATTTTCCGAAGCCAAGCCGAAACCGACCAACCGCCATGGCAGTAACGATACCGTTAACATCAACGACGCTCGTACGCTCGATTTGAACAGAAACTCCTGTCAGAAACCGAATTCCAAGTCGCCTAATTACGACAGCTCGATCAAACCCCCCTTGCAAAGCCAATACCAAGCGAGCAAATTACCCCCGGCACCAGTCGGACTGCCTCCCCCAGCGCCCAAAAGCCTCAACCACAAAAATAACAATATGTCGAACAAGGTTCAAGTGCAGCAGCAGCACCAAGGAAAGGTGTCCATCAGACAGGATTCGAGCGTGTCCAGCGACAGTTTCAGCCAAACGTCTTCGCCCAGTTACACCACGAAGACCATGGAAACGCCGCTTTTGCCGCCGAGGACGCCTATCAAGCAAAACGGCGGTTTGATTACGAAGGTGAAAACTCCCGAAGAGGATTCTAACGGCAATTCCATGATAACAAAGAGCGCATCCACTCCTGCTAGCCTGCAGACCGTTGTCCGGTTCCATAATGGTTCAAACATGTCGCTTCACCACAGGGTATGTTTTTGGTAATTAATTTTGGGCGCATAATTCAGGTTTTATTCATGGTATAAAAATATCCTTAACCGATACCAATCGAAGCTAATTAAACCCGATTGAATGCTCCGAATTGTCAACATAAACGCTCCTTTGAGTTATCTAGAAAATTCAAATTCATTTAGCAGAGGACGCCCTTTAGAAATAATCTGAATACTGAATGAGTAATATCCGCCATAAAAATTAAATGTTCGTGTAGCAATTAAAAATTAATTAAAAAGATCTCGAAACAAGCGTTCCGAAAGGACGTTTTGTATTCCATTGCTTCGCCCAGGACGCTCATTTTTGCGTATAAGAACCGTTCTTTTTAGATTATCAGAGACATTAGGCGACCCTCGTCTATGTACACAAATAGATTAAAATTCAGATTTGCTCAATTAGTTATCAACGCCATAGCACTTTTTGCTATTGGAGCCGGAATGGCGGCTTACTTTAAAGGTAAGTAAAACTATTTATACGCGCAATATATTGCAAGGTGCGTGTTTGCAGCTTATCCAACATCAGTGAAAGTAGTTAGCAAGTCTGTAAACGTAACTACCAACCCGATAATCGTTGAGAAGAAGAGCGACAACCCGGCGCCGGGCATCTGCCTGCCCGTCATAGTTCAGTTTTGCAAGATGCACAAGATCCCGTACAATTTCACCGTGTTTCCCAATTACATCGGCCACTTCGGCCAAAGGGACGCCCAGCAGGAGCTGGAAGTGTACGACGCCGTGGTCGATGTCAAGTGCTACGATTTGGCCGCTTTGTTCCTTTGCTCGCTGTTCGTGCCGAAATGCGGGCCCACCGGCGGCGTGGTACGACCTTGCAGGAGCCTGTGCATGGGTAAGTTACTAAGTTGCGAATTGGATCGTTTCCAGCGACGCGGCGGAATCGGAATCGCTTCGGCTGGACGCGAGCTCAGAAATCTGACGGGCTTCATTTCGGCGACAATCGGAATTTATGGTCGCCGAATTGAGTTATCGCTTGTGCTTCTCGAGAGCGCTCCGGCCGTTTTGTTAATTGATTAACTGAGCGCCGAAGGTGCTTCACTTGCGTAATGACAATTAAACTCATTAAACGTCAAAATTGCTCGCAGATTAGTTTAGTTGAAAATTGAATGCTAATTAACTGCACAATCGATGAACTTGTTAACGTTTCGACGGGAAAATTTCAGAGGATGAAAAGCAGAGTGTTATGTTAAGAACAAATCTGATGGAATATCGCATTGACCATAATACGCAAATATTTCCCTTGTCAAATTAATTCATCGCATTTATGCCCTTCATTTGAGTTAATACGTTTCTACAATCGATTCGATTATTGCAGAAACAAAGAGACGGTGCGGCTTCTTTCTGGATGTATTCGGATTAAATCTGCCCGATTATCTGGATTGCGAATTATTTCCAGAATCCACAAATCCGAGTCAGTGCGTTGGCCACCATGAAGTTAAACAAGCGAAACAACAAGCTGCTAAACCAGGTAGAATATTTTTTTTTTGTGTTATTGAAAATATATACAATATAATGTTACGTGATGAGTTTATGAATGCAGTTGCAACCAGTGTTCTTCGGACAGGTCTGAATCAAATTAAATGCGAAAAATGCAGAAAATTTGTATTCCCTTCACTGTACGTTAATTGAATTGTGAAAATTTTAGCTTCTAAATGGCGTGCATAGAGCAGAATATTCGAAATATTTTTATTTTTTGTTAACAAAAATACCGGCGTATGAATAAACTTTTCCGATGCCAAAATTTTCGGGATAATTCATTTATTTCATTGCGATTATTGGATGAATTCCATGCATAAACTTCTTCGGATTTCAAACCGGCTTAGAGCGAGTTTAAAACGGAAAATAATTCCCGGAGTCGAAAAATCGTAAATTCATCCGGGGCCCTTTGTCTTTTGACTGCAGCTTTATTCTAATTAAAAACTTTTTCTTGTAAACAAGCACCTGACCCTCGACAAACCGCGGGAAGTCCTCCACAGCATCCGCATGTTATAGGTCTGAACTTGATCGTTTTGTTTGCTCCTCAAATAAATCCAGGACCCTACTTAGCATCTAATTTGTAGAATATACGCGAACGCTATTTCATTAATTTCAGAACTTCCGCTCAAAGGTATTTCATTTTAGGAATACTGTACGGATAAATTATACCTACGTGAATTACCTAATAAAACATTATTCGAAATGATTCTCACCCGATTGTGTCGTGCAAATTTGTAATAATTATTGTTCCATTCTGAATCGCAAAATCTTATTAAAGTATCTTTTATGGCTGGAGGAATTCATTAAAAACGGGAGGGTGGAATTTAATTTCGGAATTATAAAGTTTTTTGTCGATTTTACACGAACAAGCGTTGCAGAATTTTCGCAGATTTTCCAGCTTTTAAACTGGATAATTCAAATAGTCCAACCGATTTCAGTACTATATCAGCGGTGCAACTTTTTTTGTATTACATAAATTAACTAAATTTCATACGTTATATACACGTAAATGTGTGTTTGTGAAATTTTCGTCGACCGTACACGAGATGAACTACTCGTTTTTGTAGTAACCTGAAGGGTTATAGGTTGAAAATATTTTCCAGTATGTGATTTTGGTTTCCAATGCGACGTCAAACGATGCATTCCGAAAGACTGGCAATGTGATGGGCATGTAGATTGTAAAGATCAATCTGATGAACTGAAGTGTCACAAATGTGGTCCAGGTATGATCAATTGCGGAGCCAATAAATGTATCACGCAGGAACATTTATGTGATGGGAAAGTCGACTGCCCCTGGGGACAGGATGAGAGAAATTGTCGTGAGTTAATAGACTTAGTATTTCATTTCAATTTCCCATTTATTTGCATTTTCGTCTTGGAACCGGAAATTGTGCGCAGTTATTTAATTAGAATCTTTCGCTTGTTTTTAGATATCGGCAAATATTTAATCAATAACGGTTTTAAACACACTTCGACATTAATTATAGCGTCTCCGAGGTGGCGAAATCGAATTTTAAATTTGATAAAAGCCTCGACGCTTAATTAGTTTTCAATTAAAACCTATCATGTTTTTGCGAAGGCTTCCTTCATTGTAATATAAAGTCTTTAGTCAAAGCTCAATCACCTTTTACTTTTATTGCTGTGATCGATGGCAATTTATTTTTTTCGGTGGTCTGCACGTTCCCAACTATTTGCTTTATCAAACTCTTCTATTTGCTAAGAGAACCACTTTTTTTCTAAATTATTTACCCTGTCCGGAAAGAAAAATATACCTCATATATTGACGAGAGATCATCAAGCTTTTTTTTTCTCACTAGGTATCGTATATCTCTGCTATTCGATATTTATAAATGACACTAATATATAAAAAATATATGCATTCGATAAAATACACGAATTAAAATTGACAAATCGATAAGTCCTACAAAATAAACGTTATAGCCTGGTAGAGCAATTTCGGGATTTGTAATATTTACAAAACCATCGAAAATATATAAAATTTATTTCCGAGCCATTCGGCATTATTTTTACGGATTTCAGTTAGACTAAGTGAACGGAATGGAGATGAAGGAAAGGGCCAATTAGAAGTATATCGACCGGAACAAGAAAAATGGGTACCGGCTTGCATGGCCACCGTCCATTGGGACGAGAAAATTTCAGCCAAAAACATATGCTCTCTGCTGGGATACTCGTAAGTTCCAATCAGTATTCATCCATAATCCCACGAAACATCTCTGCGCTTTCAGCACCGCTAATTACAGTCGCTTACTGCGCGGCGTCGACAGCCAATCGCCGCCGATCCACGAAAAAATCGACATATGGAAGCTGAACCAGAACAAGCGATCGAAAAATTTGATGAAGGAATTCTCCTCGTGCAGCCCGGAGAAGAACTATCCCACCGTGCAGCTCTCCTGCACCAATTACGGTACAACCTCCGCGGAACTCCGGCCGAACCTTTTCAAACTTTATTCACGTGCGTTTCAGTTTGCGGGAAAGTTCGCAAAACTTACGACGTCGCCGGTTCGGCCAATAAAGCCAAGAACTCCAAGAGGCAGAACAGCCGGCAGAAGAGAATCGTCGGCGGGGTTCGCTCGCAGCCGGGAGATTGGCCTTTTCTTGCGGCCATCCTCGGCGGGCCGGAGGAGGTGTTTTACTGCGCCGGGGTCCTCATCGCCGATCAGTGGGTCCTAACAGCATCGCACTGCGTCGGAAAGTAATTACTTGCGTTTTTCAACCAATGTTTCCATCTACACCCGCTATTTTTTCCAGCCATTCGGATGTCAACGGGTGGACTATACAGCTGGGTATAACAAGAAGGCATGCCCATTCGTTTTACGGGCAAAAAGTTAAAGTGAAGCGCGTCGTGCCACATCCATTGTACAACGTAGGGGTCGCTCACGACAATGATGTGGCGTTGTTTCAGGTAAATTTTCAACAGCTCGATTCTCGCTTTTTGTTATTCGAAAATTACGAATTCGTAGCTTTCAAATCGAGTAACTTTCCACGAACACCTTTCTCCGGTTTGTCTTCCGCCGCCGGATAAAGACCTGAAGCCTGGGACAAAGTGCACGGTAATCGGTTGGGGAAAGAAGGAAGATACAGGATGTAAAATTGCCTGGAAATATATCAGAATTTCGAGTTAAAATGAATTATTTTCAGTGTCCGATTACGAACCTGAAATTAACGAGGTCGTGGTCCCAGTGCTGAACAGAGACCTCTGTAACTCGTGGCTGGAAAACCGGGATCTGAATGTGACTGATGGTATGATTTGCGCTGGATACAAAGAAGGAGGAAAGGACGCTTGCCAGGTGAGTGAAAGTTCGTTAATTAATAGATCATCGAAGGGTTTTAAGTGAAATACAGCAACAATAAAAGAAACTGCGCGATTTTAGGGAGATTCTGGAGGACCTTTGTTGTGTCATGATGAAGAAGATGACGATGTTTGGTTTGTTGGCGGTATTGTAAGTTGGGGCATAAAATGCGCCCATCCTCATCTGCCAGGAGTTTATGCTTACGTACCGAAGTACATAAAATGGATAGAACAGCAGATAGGAAAATATTCGGGAGAGTAATTGACAAACAAAAAAAAATTCATGAGAAAATGACAATAAATGAAACCAGATTGAATGGTACAAATTATACAAGGTAACTTACATGATTTTCTATGTCAATTTACACATGAAAAGAAAACATAGCATTTGGTAATGTTTTGGTACAGCTGAATTTTTATCCAGTCTTACAAGTAACCAAAGCCAGAGCTACGCACAATATCTAGATTGATCCTTTATAGTGATATCTCGTGACAATTCACCTTGTGTTCGAGCGGACCGCCACATGTGATTTGAATTATATACAGCTCTTACATTTACACAAATTGCGACGTATTTTGTCATTTTTTTGCCGCTGCATACCTCTTCACGTTACCAAAAGGTTTACCCGCCAACAAAATCATTTCCCATATTTATAATTTAACAGCATTTAATGTTGTAATGATTTCGAAAATTTTACACTACATCACTAGAAACTTTCAAAATACTGCCAATCTATTTGTGGTACCTACTATTATTTAACTAAGCAGGAACCTAATGACAGTATATTGAAAAGACATATAAACTTAAAAAAGATATTGTACGTACATACGGATGTTTGGTTCGTATGGGAAAAAAAGTGTATTTTATCCGAAAATTTAGTTAAATGTTTAGAGTAAACGTAATGAAAAATATATGGTATTTATAAATGTTGTTGATGGGCTTAAATGTATCTAACGCTTGTAGGAAGACTGAACCACTATGCTTAACATTTTTTAACGCTTAGGAATAAATGGTTTACGAAACTTTGTGGTAATTGTATCTACAGTGCTGTTCAAAAAGTGTGAGTAAAATGGTATATATTTCCCTTCAAACTTCAACGTTTCTCCATTTGATCCGCTGTTTTGAATAGCAGTATATAAACGGTATGCTGCGGTGTAAAAATAATTTTTTACTCTGTGCTGGAGGTTTCTTATTTTTTCACTTATTCTGGAATACCTGCAACGCCACTTTCTGAATGATGATGAAATCACTTATTTTTATTACGAGTAAAACTCGCTAAAAACATCAATCAAAACGCGATATAAAAAATATTGGAACCTCCAGCGAAACATAAATATATTTTATACCCTTAGAAAGAGAAAATAATAGTTTTCTATAGATTTATAACTATAATATTATAGTGTCTATTATGCCATCGTCATGAATTTTTAAGATACATACTATGTGCAAGTCAAAACTATCGGACTGGTTTGATGAAAAAAATATTTACATCACCTTATAGAAAAATTAATGACTCGTTGAAAAATTGGCTCGTTAAAAATAATAAATTTAGCATACCTTATTTGAGTTCAAATTAAGCATTTTCCTATTGCTGAGGATTATTTTTTTATTACCAGAATTAATGCTTCTGAATAGAATTTTCTGATATTTTAAATAGTCAAATCTTTAAACTCGTGCAAGTAACCAGTCAAGAGATTTGATTCTCCAATAGTTTTACTTGCAAATAATAAAAAAATGGGATCGATTCTAGCTAATTAGAGAAACTCGATAAATGCGTATTTAGTGAATCATAAAAAAACCAATTGAAGGCTGATCCTGATTTTTGAAACTTAAAAATATTCTCATGATGTTGCAAGATTACCCAAAAAACGGTAAGTAGAAATTAAATTGAAATTGAATTAAGTGTAATCGAAATATTTTTGAAATCGCCCCAAAGAGTATAATTATTCAAATATTTTTAACAATAAACTAGTTTTAGTTAAAAAAAAATAAATAAAAAAAATTGAAATCAGTAGTATTCTCGAATATGAAATTATTATCCTAAAATATTTTTTACAATCACATAGCAAACATATCGAACCTACATACATAAACTTATCACATTAATTATCCCAAATAATTGATGATTAATCAATCACAGCGGATTTAAAATCAAAATCCATAAAATGTGATAGAAATTATTTTTGTTTGGACACAAATTAGCAAACCATATCTGAAAGCTAGTGTTGATCAATACAGGGTATTTCATCAAGAAAAGATTTAATTTACGTGTAGACAAAATAATTATCTTGGTAAATACAATCTCTAGATATACAAGTACAAGTATTTATTTGCAATTTGAAATGCGTTGGTTTAAGGTAAACTGATACATAGGTAATCAAAATAATACAGTAGGTACTATACTGTAGTATACAGTTTACGTAAAATTGTCTATTCTTAAATAAATTTTTTCATGGTGACATATGTAGTTATAAAAATCATGACTGTGCAAATTAAGTACTAAATCGTGTGGGCAATCATTGTTCAAGTATTTTACCTGTTTCTAAAATGAATTTATTTATTACCTATATATAAAAACTAGCCATTCTCTAGAACGAATTTCCACCAATATTGATGTAATTATCACTTCTTCGAAGGTAAAATGTGTTTATATACACAAAATTTTAGTAATTATATACAACTAAATAGTCATATAAATACCTACAGGCTACTGTTTTAGCGTGTTGATGGTGCTTTATTTTAGCCAGTAAATTAGTTTCGTTGATAGAATTTAAAACTTAGAAAAATATACTATATTTTGGAATTAAAGTAATGGCAAGTTAGTAGCTGGGTTTACCGCTTGAAAAGTAAATATAATATAGAGAATAGCGTAACCACGTAGAAGACTGAAATTACTATAGACAATAATGTATAAGTCAATACAATACTAGCAATTAGTGTAATCATTAAAGTAGTGTTTCAGTAATTAGATCTAAGTCGAACCACACTTAAGGCAGAAAGAATATCAAGAGGCAGAACTGTTTTAATGAGAATAATGCAAAATAAAAGCATGTCAACATTTCTTGAACACTGGAGAAATTCTAGTCCGATTTCAATAAGCTTAAAATAGCATTAAAATAAACAAAGCTTTAAGTGTAAAAAGCCTCATTTGCAGCACTTATTGGCCCGTTTTCAAAAATGGCCAATAAAGTTGCTACCGATTTCTTCAGCAGATACAATTAGATTAAATTCAGGGTAGAGTTTTATAAATAAAATAATGAAGTAATGGAAAAAGTAATTTGGTGAAAGTAGTACTTTGAAAAATGTGATAATTGACGAGATTTATTGGATGAGCTTGAACTCTCTGATCTGATAAATTGTATCTGCGTGTTTTAAGCTTTTGCATTTGAAGCTTTAAATAAAAAAATATTTTTACGATTAACGCGATATTGGTGGAAATATTCCGTGAGTTATAGGCAAATGTATTTGTTAAGCTCACATGGAAAATGGAGCTGAAAACAAAATTGCTTGTATGAAATTAGAAAAAAGTGATATTACATATCTGACAATATTTTAGACAATATATATATTTACTAACTATTTACTAAGATATATTAGGCAAATTTCTCATGTGAGCTGCAATTATAAAACAATTTGTACGACGATTTAAAAAAATACTATTTTGATAATAATTCCTGTTGTTAAGGGAATATATTATACATATAATAAATATACATACATATATATTATATAAATTTTCAGCATTGCGAGTTGATGCGAGTCTATTCATGATGAAATTAGGTAATTCTATTTACCTGTTTCCACGTTCTTCCAAACTTCCAATTTTCAAAACTAAAATATTTTTGAACTAACAAATGGGATATACTACTATAATTTCAACAGAAAAAAAAATGTGAAAAAATTGTGGGCATTGTTATCCTCCACAACTCCCAATGTTTAGGTAATTTAGAAACGCTACCTCTTTGTTAAATAATAAAAAAATGTTATTCATGTTTGCAAGAATTATGAAAATAAATGTGTTTGTGTAATATAAAGCATGAACTAGTTAATCGCTTGTGTAATATTATGGTCATATTAATAATACTAAATGTTGAAAATGTTTAAATGCCGTCATAAAGCTTTTTTATGAAAACCTGTCCTTAGATAAATCAAATATATCTGTAGACACTTGATATTTTTTCCAAGAGAATATCTTTACATCGTTTTTATCTTAATGAATTGTAGAGTTTGGTAGTAATAAGGTTTGCGGTACTATTATTTTTAAATGTTTATAAATGTTCAGATATAACAGTAAATAATTAATTGTCCTTAGTCCTTATGCACTACAAAGAGAGAGTACATAATCAAATGAAATAAAAACTGACAAATTACCACACTCCTTATTCTACGAAGGTAATTGCGATATTTAAATATTTTCAAAAATCGAACATAAACACTAAAATAATCCATTATGTCGATATTTTCAGCGTTTTTTAAACGTCGTCAGAGTAATATAAAATTCCACTCAAGATATTAACCACGTTTATTAAACACTGTATAAAAATTGTTGCGAGGAACATGGTGAATTAATTTAGTCATAGGATCTAATATGACCCTGTTCATAGAAAAAAAAAATGTCAACAAAAATACGTACAAATTGGCGAGTTCGATAAATTCGACTAGCAAAAGAATTATTTAGAATTAGTCGAAATGTTATGTTCCTTGGCTTTTGCTGCTATAATAGTCGATGCAATGGACAATAAATGTTTTTGAGATGTCAGGTAAAAAGCATGATATGTGCTTCCATGAACGCTACTCTGTATTCTACCTATTTTAAAATGATGTAGTAAACCACCATACAGTAAATTAAAGTTTGTGTTTCAATGGATGTTTTCTTTCCTTTTCAAATCCTTTCATCATCAAATTTAACTAGTGAAAAAAATGGCTTGAAAAAATAGCACAATTTTTTAGCCAAAGCTTATAAAATTGGTAATTTATTTGAATTTTTAAATTATATCACAAACTTTTGGGTAGCTAGTGATGTGTTTAGTAAAGGAGTAGAAAAAACGAAGAAGCATTGGGGCTAACTTCATGCGAATTCGTTGACAACTTTGACGTGTAAACGTCAGGTGTCAGATGTTTTCGTTTGTATTTGTCACCGAAGCATATTGTTATTACCTGTGTTATTACTAGTCCCTAATTAGAAGGGAAAGGTATAACCGATTAAATTTGTTAAAAGCTGAATAGTTCTTGATTTGTATGTATTGCGTTGATAGTTTTTTATAGAATGTTATATTTTCTACGCTAGGTACAGGTTTTTAGGAAATATCATAATTTTATTTAGGAGAAATGTCAGAAGCCATAGAAATTCGAACGATTATTGGCAATAGAAATATTAATACAGTGTCTGACACTCCTATAACTGATCCAGCATCTGTTAGCAAGGTAAAAATATTTAAAATATTATTACTTATGTAAGCCCTTACCTATTCACCATAATTGGATTAGTTAGAAACCCTCTTCTGAATTGCTGTAATTTTCATCTACACTTTGATATTTAAGAAGTTAAATTTAGAAGTTACTTACGTGAGCGATAAAAATCATTCACAAATTAATGCCCCAATTTACAAAGCAATTCTAACACAGTATTGTTAATCGAGTAAATTCCAAATTAACTAATTTTTTGATAGACTTGTTTTATTTTAAATATTACTTACCTATTGAATTCTGAATGCCATTTATACGATTCATTACAGTCATAAATAATATCGGTGTTGCTTTTTCAATTCGAAATAATTTTAACTGCATTTTGACTTGGGTCAGCTTATCTTTATGTAACCATTATTATTTATATATTTATTTCTAGGGTTTGGATGGAAGTAATGCCTTTGTCTGTCAAAGATCTAAGTTGGTAAGATATACATGTGTATGCTTTACCTTCTTTAGGTCTTTATTACTCTCCTTAGTTGTGTGCATGTGAGCGTCCAAATTTAGACACTAATACCTGCTTCTGCTGTTTTGCTAGCAGGGTCAGACTAAGGCCCTGAACAAATTTAAACGTGTGTTACTTAAATAGATAATTATGCACCAGAGTACATGTTATTAGGGAGTTGGCAAAAGTCGAAACCCTCGTGAAATTATTTATTGTGTAGAGATTTCATCGCCTTCATTGTTAATCACATTCTTTAGTTTTGCAATATTGTTTTTGCTGAATGGAAGATCATGCCCTGCTTATTGAACAATGCACAATTAGTTTTTATAACAATTTATTACTGTAAACTTGAGAATAGGCAAGTTATAGTAGAGGTACATTCATGTGATCGTTTGCATTATTTTCGAAGAGTACTTGTCAATTGAACCACTTTAGAACAACTTGCAATGATATAATTGCTATTTTATTACTTTTGATTTATCTGTGTTTTTATAAAACTATACAATTCCGAAGCCAATTGGATTAAATCCAATACTGTTTAATCGGTATAAATAACTCATGGCTTGCCATTAATAATGTATTAATTTTTTTAGTTTTTATGAGTACTAATAATAGTTAGAAATATGGAACAAGTCTTCTTAATAATAAATTTATACTGATTATCCTAAAAATCCTGAATTGTTCCATATTTTATCCATAGTTTGTTTTGTTAATTATTTTTGAATTTCCCAAAAAATCATAAAATTTTAAAGTAGTAAATACTAGTAAATGTGATTGTTTTGAAAAATATAAGAATTGTATTGGGTTTATGTGTTTTAAGTTAAGTTAATGCAATATGTTTACAAGAATTGTGATTTTTAGGACACGAAAACAAGCGCATTAAAGAAATCTAGTCGCTATAGAAGCCGTTCCTTATCTGCGTCATCTACAGACTCTTACAGTTCAGGTAATTTTCACCAAAATCTATTATTAATCCCTTTTTTAATAGCAAGAAATGTCACTAATTCGAGCGCACGAACTTACATCATTTTCCCATCATTTAACCTTTATAAAATAATTGTAAGTGTTTCTTTCAACTGTTAATAGCATTCCTCCTAGCAAACTAATTCATCCTTTCCACTTTACACCTAAAGAGTGATAATATTAGCTGTTATCCGAATTAGGCAACAACATCATGCAGCGAATATTAGCGCTTTTTATTAGAGCTTGGGGTTGAACTTGGCTTCTTACTGTAGATATTTATTTAGCTTCTTATACAGGCAGCAGTTCCGACGAAGAGGATGTCTCGCCCAGGGAAAAGATCCAAAAAAATTCGGCGGGCAGTTCCGACTTTTGCGTCCGCAACATCAACCAGCACGCCTTCGGCAGGCGCGAGATAGAAATCGCCGAGCAAGGTAAGACACTCGCGCTCGTTTAACTCGGAACGATTCACCTGGGATTTCAGAAATGCCCGGCATAATGGCCCTGAGGAAACGAGCGGCCGAAGACAAGCCGTTGAAGAACGCCAAAATCGTGGGATGCACCCACATCAACGCCCAGACGGCCGTGCTCATCGAAACGCTGGTCGCCTTGGGCGCCAGCTTCAGATGGGCCGCTTGCAACATATATTCAACTCAGGTAAATTTCGCGGAGTTTTTTAGTAACATAGCGGTTATTAAAGATGCGTTTAGAACGAAGTCGCGGCCGCTCTGGCCGAAGCCGGCTATCCCATATTCGCCTGGCGCGGGGAGACCGAAGAGGACTTCTGGTGGTGCATAGACAAGTGCGTGAACGCCGAAAACTGGCAGCCCAACATGATCCTAGACGACGGCGGCGACGCCACGCACCTCATGCTGAAGAAGTACCCGGCGATATTCAAGCTCATCAAAGGTTCGGTGTTCACTTGCGTAGAAGGAATCGTTTAATGACCTTCGAGCTTGCAGGGATAGTCGAGGAGAGCGTCACGGGCGTGCATCGTTTGTACCAGTTATCGAAAGGTGGTAAACTGACCGTCCCGGCGATGAACGTCAACGATTCTGTCACGAAAACCAAGTACGACAATTTGTATAGCTGCAGAGAATCGATTATTGATAGGTGAGTAGCACTTATACGCAAATTCCTCGTAATTGCTTAAATTTTTTTTTAGTTTGAAACGTTCTACAGACGTTATGTTTGGGGGTAAGCAAGTGGTTGTGTGTGGATACGGTGAAGTAGGTAAGGGTTGTTGTCAGGCACTCAAAGGTTTCGGCTGTGTTGTCTACATTACTGAGATTGACCCGATTTGTGCTCTACAAGCTAGGTAAAACTATCCCCCCCCGTATTCCCATCGAAATTTCTATTTATACATTCTTTATAGCATGGATGGTTTTCGTGTAATTAAACTGAACGAAGTGATACGTAACGTCGACATTGTTATAACCGCTACAGGGAACAAAAACGTGGTGACTAGGGAACATATGGATAAAATGAAAAATGGATGCATTGTTTGTAATATGGGACATTCAAACACTGAAATCGATATCGTACGTTAAAAATATACTCTAAAACATCGCGAAAAGTTTGTAATTTTTGACAGTAACGTCACTACTCGGCTCTTATTGGTTGATAAAAGAATTGTGTCTAAATCGAGTACTCTGATTGGCTAGATTCAATGACGTTACTGATATACTAAATTCTATTTGTCATATAAAGAAAAAAGGAAAGCAAACCCGCTGCAAACAAATTTGCACTTACTCATGGTATTATCGAAACATCTTCCAATTAACTTTCATTATTTTTAGAATAGTTTACGGACTCCCGACTTGACCTGGGAGAAAGTCAGGTCGCAAGTGGACCACGTTATTTGGCCGGACGGCAAGAGAATTATTTTGCTGGCGGAAGGGCGGCTGGTTAACTTAAGTTGTTCGAGTTTACCTTCGTTTGTAGTTTCCATTACATCCGCCACGCAGGCTTTGGCTCTGATAGAACTATTCAATGCGCCGCAGGGCCGGTACAAGTCCGATGTGTATTTACTCCCCAAGAAAATGGGTAGGATTCGTTAATTACGCGCTGGATATTCGAATATATTAGATTGTTTTGTAGATGAATACGTTGCTAGTTTGCATTTGCCTACGTTCGACGCCCATCTGACGGAATTAACGGACGAACAGGCGAAGTATATGGGGTTAAATAAAGCAGGTCCATTCAAGCCTAATTACTATAGGTAAGTCGCTTCACTGCGTGTGATTATTACTACTAAACCATCTTATTTTGAATTATCTCAGTCGCAATTTTCAGGTATTAAATAGGTTTATTAATTTTACGGGAAAGTAAAGTAGTAAGGCGAGTCAATGTTGTTGCTGAATAGTCCTATTAGAACCAACCGAAGATTCGAAATCACCGTTTTGTTCTGAACGAAAGTTGTAGTTTTCTAAATTTCACCTTTCACATCATCGTTGGAAATTGGAAAATACACCAAACAAGTACTTAGAGCCGATTAGCAGACTGCACATTCCCCGAACTTTAGTTTTTTTTTGCATTTGATAGAATAATCCGGAAGCTCTTACGAATCGTTACATTAGAAACTAACAAAATTTAGTTAATTGAGTGTCCTTATTTGAGCGGTTCGTAAGCGCTTTCCGAGAACAATAATTGTTACGTACTTAACACCATAAAAAAGAGAATCTCAGAAATTAACTTCGGCTTATTCACGAGCCGATTTGAATTCTTGGCGAAATTTTGTCCAAAAAGCCTTGTGGAAAAACGTGAATAGGATACAGAGTGTTGTTAAATATACAACTACATGCTCAATTACATTACGCTTTATAAATTTTAAGATCTCATGCCAGTGCCTATGTTAGTATCGTATGTTTTAGTATCTAATAATTAACAATGAAATTACTCGATTTGTTAGAGTCGTCGGCCGTAATTACTGAATTCGTTTTTTGCTGAAAATAATACGCAACACCCTGTATATACACAACAGTGTTTTTGTTTGAATTTATTATTCTTTTAACACGAAGACGAAATTTGTATGTACTTATAATGTATAGTATTTGTATGGATATTTCAATCTCTTGCTATAGGGTCTCGTTTGTATTACAATAAGCTGTTCTGGATTCTCCAGCACAGCAGGCTGTAATCTAGATACCTTTGTCTTTAATAGTAATTTAATATTACTGACAGCAAAATTTTAAAGGAGATTTCTTGATTAATTATATTCGTTTCATACCGAACAATGTGATTAAACACTAAAGCCTGATCGATTCGGTTGCAGTCCTCAAGGTGTTTTATAATTTCCTGCCATTTATCGTGAGATGTAATCTCAGTGGGGACAGTCTCCCTCCAGACGTGATATTCTATTTCGTTGTTCTTGCTCGTCTGCAGTTCTCGAGACAATCTAATGTGCATTGTTTTAAAGTCCCAGAAATTCGTTAGATACTTAAACTATCGCTGTGCTCTTAGGCCATTCGCGTGGCTCTACTGAAGTTTTCCGCATTTTTTCTACGATGTTCTACAATACTTTGTTTGAATTCAAGTGGAGAGACCGCCCGTTGTTCAATTTTCGTCGAAGCGAAAAGCGCCTTATTGCTAATATAGCTGTTTATTTAAGAGTTTTGATGTAATAGTTTAGAAGGAAAACTGACGTAACTTTTGCCTTTATGAATTCCTCCTTTCGACTTAGCCTTGCGAGCGGTGTTTAGGGACTAGTTCATCAGTATAATTCCTCCATTTCTAATGACTATTACCTGTGAATCTTTCTAATCTGTTCGATGTTAGACATAAATACAAACATGGTGACAAACAGTGGAAATAAGCTGCAGCTTAAGATGAAGATAAATCGACTTGATTTAACGTAATGAATTGGTTGCTTTATCTTGCGTTATTGTCACTATTGTTATCATTGTTAATCAGTGTGGGCAAATTTTTATCTACCTCTTTGATGTGGTAAATATTGTAACTTCAGCAGAAACGAAAAAGCATATTCTAAATAGGTATTTTAGATGTTACATTGTAGTTTTGGGAGCTTTCACTGCGCATGACTTCTTAATACATCTGTTAAAAAATACGTTGTGATGCTTTGTTAGTATTAAGAGACCTAACCAGCGATACCGTCAAAACTTTTCCTGTTTGCTGTTCAAATCTAGGTTACGTTAAAATTACTGCAGTATTAATTATTTCATTTTACGAACTCTTAATGAAATACCTAAGTGTTCTCTAATTAGTTATAAGCCCTAAATTTTATTTTTTATAGCGACTACTTGTTGGTGTATGTTTTTATTTTATTTGTTTTATGTGAATAGAAAATAGTTGACTTTCCTAAATGTAATTTTAGGGAAGAATATGTTTAAATAAACGCCGAGAAATTGGTAAATTTTGTGTTTTCTTCCTACCTCCTCGTGCGTCGTTTCCATTAAATTGAAATAGAGTAAATTGATTCCGATAATTATTTTTTGAAACAAGCATAATAAAATAATGAAAAAGCCGTTATTTTCGAGAGAAAGTTTTGCGGCAAATCAAAGATGCTGAAAATGGATAATTAATTACATAAAAAAATTCGGTGCTAATTTCGGACATAAAAGTAGAAAGTGGTTTAGTTCACGACCGTTTTTATAAATCAATTTTTATTTATATGTAAATATTTAGACAATATATGCGGAATAAAATATTTTTCGTTAAATTTCGCAATACATATTGCCGTTTAAAAACTCGCTAATGTTAAGATTAGAAACCTAACTAGGTCACAATTATTAGGTGTGTGTATGTGTACAGCTCTACCCACATATTTCTAATTTATACTAATATCTTGTTCGGGTATTAAAGTCCGTTACATGTTGAAAAAAAAAAATGATAGATTTGGGGTCGTTTAGCAATCACCATATCTGAAATTCAACTATAAAAATGTTTTACCTTTATGTGGTATAATAATTTATTGCGAATAAAATTAAAAAGTACAAGGAAAAATCGAATAGATCGTAGTTTGTAGAAAAGTAACAATCTTTGAGCACAATATAAAAAAAATTGAGGTATTTCATATATACGTTTATATTTTAAACCTATTCTTTAATGTATAGTACATGGCACGTGTAAATGTTAATGAATACATTTTATTTAAATATAACAAAATGGTAACTAGATGTATTAAATTAACTCATTAACATTTATATTACATACTTATTTAATAGGTGGAGCTGTAACTTGCCAATGTCCCTATTCGCGTCAATTTGAACATATAACATCGGGCTTTGCCCTTTAAGAATTTAACAATCAAACATGTAGACATATCAATTTTTAAAATATAAATTTAAACTAATAAGAAATTAATTAAACCGCACCACCTACGCGACCATCTTATTTTCTAGTTAAAGAGTAACATTAATGTTTACAAACCATCTAGCATCGAATTACTAATTTCATTAGACAAAAAAAAATTATAATCTTTATCAACAGCAACAGCGTGAGATGATACTACAAAATCTGCTTGAAGAGGTGTAAAATATATTTAAATATCACAGACTAACGTTAGTACTGTAGTCTCTGGCTATGCCAGACTACGAAATTACTCACAATGTAATCAGTTCTGAAAATATCTAACTTGATATGCTGACACTACCTCTTTCTAATTAGTTGCTTCGTATCATTTACTTTCAGTTTTACTGTCCAATTAAAAAGCACGCTAATTAGCCACGGGCACAACAAACAAGTCATATATTTTATTGCACAAACAATCGGTTCAGCTATGGAGCTGCTTACCTAAATGCGGATAAATGCAACAAGATTCAACTAAAACAAATTGTTATATAACTTAATAATTCCTGTATTAATAATTAACGTATAAATGTTTAAGGATCAACAATAAATCACGAGGATTGAGCCTCTCCTGCGTTCAGATTCGATTACATTGTAAGCTTTAAACCATGTTTGGAATATTGCAAAGTTCATGATTAAAGCGAAACTTTAACAATTTTATTTTTGACTAGCAAAACAATTTGATGGATTAACGAATTTAATAAAAATCGGAATTTCATATTCTTTTTCAGTGGAAAATTAAGTCCTTTGGTAAGTAGAACTTCAAGTACACTTTGGTATAAATGTTAGTTTTTAAGCACTCATCAGCTGCCATATACTTTTAAAATAACGTTAATAGAAACTGGTATAAGTAACAAATTTACGTTATCAAAATTCTAAAGTAGATTCACCTTTAAATATCTATATAACATGTAAAAATCTAAGTTTAACATAGGTAGCCTCTCTTAATTGACAATTTTTAGTTAAGTAAACAAGAAATTACATCTACCTAACTTATAAAAAGGATATTTTAGCGTCACATGGACTTGTTTATTCACATGAACTCTGCAATAATTAACGAAAATATTGTAAATATCTGTCCTTTAAAAATTATACATACATTTTATACATATAGCACGTAAATTTAAAAATTAATATAATATACTGGATAATAATTATAGCTACAAACCTACAAAGTTGTAATTTTATATATAATTTCTTAGCTTTTTCATAACACCGTATACACAACAATTAAAAATGAAATTGTTTGTTATAACGCTTTAAATAAAATTTATAATCAATTAATTTATAAATAAGAAACATTAGTTTTCAACTTTCAATTTCATTGTCAAAGTCAATTACATTGTACTTTATAAACAAATTGTTTTAATTCCAAACGAATCTCTTAAATTAATCTAAAAATAATTCATAGGAAATTCTCACAGTAATTTTTTTTTATCCAGAATCGGCTTTTCTCTTTTTACTAGAATTTCTTAAAAAACAAAAATTAATTAAAACAACTACGGACATAATATTCAAGTTATATCACATTAAAATTAACAGGAATAAAATTATTTAAATTTTTATAACATGAATTTTGTACAAATAAAAATTGTAGTCAACCAAAAATCTCCTAGCATTTAGCACTAAATGTATATTTACTTATTTTTTATGTATCTACATATTAGGATATTTTTTTTATTGAAAAATGACAAATGTATTCCGGTATTTACACCGAAATATTCAAATAGAATTGTTTTTTTAAGCAAAATTTTATTTTCCAAAGGAAACCAAAATAAATTCCTTTTAGCGCGCATTTTTTTTAATTTCGTAAATAAATCCGTAAATAAACTTGAAATGAATGAAAATTTAGGTAGGTATTTTCGGGCAATATTCAAACAACTTACGGAATATTTATTTATGGAACATTAAAAATATTCGGCCGGCCGAAAACATTCGAGCAAAAATGTATACTTGTATTTAAATTTTTAATGGAAATATTTTAACGCCAATTATTTTTTTAAACGAATACTTCAGTCGGTAATATGAAAAAATGATCTTTAAATTAATAATTGATGAATAGTTTTCCAACGCACATTCTCTATCAATTAAAATATTTGCTAACATACATATTTGGAAGGGATTAAGAGTCGTTAACTTCTATTAAATGATTAAATAGGATACGTAATGTGTTTATTCAAATACAAATGTGTGCTACAAATCCCTCATAAACTGCTATACTTAAAATAAAAGGTGATATTTATGTTTAAAAATCTACGAAACGAAAGTTCATTTAAACGAATAATATTGGTATAAGTATTAAGTAATATATTTTAGATAAGACGTAACACACATTTATATAAAAACTATCGAATTTGAAAGAGCAACGACCCTATTCAGTATTTTTAGATAAAACCGTTGAATCTTATCTGCGTTAGTTGGATTTTGTGACCTATTTACTATGAACTTTTTTTTCGCAATTTATTGATAACAATACACAGCGTTCTTGCCTAACTGGTTACGTAGTCGCTGTGAATTACGAATTAAGATTCGAATAAATTTTTGTTCGTAATTTTCTATTTAATACATACATACATAGGTAGCAAAACTAATGGTTGGATTTTGCGCTCGTAGCACACATTAATATTATTAGTAGTTGTTGTACAGTCAAGGTTATCAAAAATAAATTAATTCCTTAACCGTCCAGTGGAATGAATATTTAATTAGAACACCTGATCTACATAAAAATAGACGGTCGAAAAGGTAAAAATTTCCGTTAGCGATAAAACTAACTTTTCGGTGGGTACGCATAATTCAATGACGGTTCGTTTTTTTTTTCCTTTATTATATTCAAAATTACTTAGCGAATTGCGAATTTTTAAGTATCAAGGAAGTTGTTACTACATTCTCCAAATCCATCTGTTAAAACATTTTAATTCCATTAAGGTTACATGATGGAATAGTTTTATTTACTTTTCTGTGGGTATTAATATCGTTTTAGCGCACTTTTATATACGCATTCCTCGAAAGTGCGGAAAATGATAACTTTCTTATTAAGAAATATAAAAATAATCTCGATTAAGCTGGAATTTACTTCATTAAAAAATTCCTCAGAACCATGATCTATTAATAATACAAACAATTGTCAATTGGAGATTGATGTAAATACATATCTAGTTGAATAATACAGAATTCACTGTGGAATTTACTCTAATTAATATAACTCTGTGAAGATTGATGAATGACGCAAACGAAGTGAAGACATGGGGATGATTTATCAAATAATTACTTCGAGCTTACTTCGAGTACTTAGCTAGTTTTATTAACAATTCGTTCACCAATAAACCTTAATAATCGCGCACTGATCTTTATTCGGTGTAAAAAGATCTGAAGGTTATAACAGAAAATGACTCAATTATTAAATTTAAATCGAAATACGAATATTTACATCTAATTGTCGATTTAAATAGTTGCAAATAGATTTGAATATATTAGATAGAGACAAGCGCAGAAATTTATCAGCAGCATTGAAGCATTCGTTTTGTTATAGGGAGTTTTAAAAGAAACATACATATGCTATTAGGGAGCTATTTTTGGTTTAAAATTAGGTTAAATAAATAGAAAAAAATATATTTGTACGTTAAAATGTGTTAGTAAATTTCTCGAGCCCTCCTCGAGAAAATTTTTCTATACCGCATCCGAAAAATTATTTGAACATCCTGTAAGTTGTTTGCAATTTAAATTTCTCTATCTGCAGACAGTTTATGGTTTTTGCGCTTTAAAAGAACTTGAGGCACTGCCAAATTGTTGTTTATGAAAATAAATATCCACCTACCTTGTTTCCAATCGAATTGAAAGTATTCATTATGATCATTAATTTTTTCTAATAGGTAATAAACAATAAAATAAATATATATAATTTCGTTTAAAAAATTCGTTATATAATATTAATTCTTGTTAATCAAATTATTGTTGTTATTGTGTTCACCGAAAGTAGTGATTATCAATTTATTTGATTATTTCGTTATCGTGTTTTTCAAAAGTTTTGAACACATTTTACCTACGATAATTGTCTTTTATGAGTTAGCTTTTAGTCTTAAAAAATTGCATCACCCTGTATAAGTATTTATTTTTCTTGAAAAATATGTCGAAAATGTTTATTCTCACCGATAAAAAGTAATTCATCAGACTTTTTGATTGCTAATTGAAAAGTCGAAATTTCATCGGTCACTTTTAAAAGCCGATACTGCACTTACAAAGTATACAAAATCCTGTAAATATTCATAATATTAAAAATAATTTATAGTGTAGGTAATTCCTAAAGTTGCTTACAGCAATTTGTTCAGAATAAAATACTTTAGGCCACACTTACAGATATTTCTGTATCACCGGATTTTGTTTGCGAGATTCGAAATTACTCATTTTGCTTACTGTTTTGTTAAAAACAAATCTTGCGCTCCGCTAAATTAACTAGTAGATAACTTGTTACTGTTAAATCTGATCTTCCGGCAAGGCCCTCGTCTAAATTGTAACAAAATAAAAATATTTCTGGAATTGCCACGTCAATTTCGCTTATTCCGGCTCGGCCTTGATTTTCCCCGTTATCGTGTGGAGCTCCTCTTCGTAGGGCACCGGCTCGTCGACGAAGTTTATTTTACCTGCTTTGTACCAGACTATTACGTCAACTACAAAGGCGCACAATAAAATTGCGCCCGTGGTACCTATAAGAGAATTTTCGAAAATAAGCAGGCTATTTTCATTTTGAATGTTTTGAGTAGGCAAGTGGAGCAGAAATTAATTAATTTGAGGTGTAATCTTACGATGAATAATAAAAATTCTATTGTAAGCATTTAAAAATATATGTAATTGCCAAGGTCAAAAATAATCAAAATTTGATAAGAGGTAACACATTTGTATATACGCCCGTATCAAACAAGTAAAAAATATTTGGTTTGGAATGAAATAACATCGCTTTAGATTCGTGTTTTCCAAAATTCGATCGGTTCTGTCGAAATAATTAACGAAAATTATTCAAAAATTGCTTCGTGAGTTCAACATCATGTTTTATTCATTATTGCTCTCGAAAAAAAAACTAACTTTTTCCCCAGTTCCTCACGAATCCACCGAATTTACATTACAATTATACTAATTTAAACTTCAGCAATCTTTCGTTGTGCGCTTGAATAAATCTAGGTCGTTATTTGATAAGCAATATCTACTACAGTTTTCACGAAAATTACGCACCTACTCAAAACTTCAGCGTCTTCCTCCTAACCGTTTACAACCAAACAAAAAGACAAACTCACCGTGATAGAACATCCTGAAGACATCGGAATCGTACAAACCGCAGGCCCCCTTCTCTCCGCAGGACATTTTCCAAACCAGGCAAGCCGAATCAACCACCGCCCCGTACACGATGGGACAGGGAACGTTCCCGAACAAACCGATAGCAAACTGGATCAACCCCAGAGCCATGGCCTTGTCCCTGGGATCCACGCATCTCAAAATCAAAAGCATAGAACCGACTTCTCCAGTCGAGTGGATAAAAACGAATATAGAGAAGAGAGTGATGTAGAAGACGAAAGTATCACAGTCCTGTTCGCAGTACCCGATCGTCGCGTTCCCGTACAGCTGGTTGTCGTCCAGGGTTGTATTCATGGAATTGGTCATGTTGAGGCACATGCACTCCGAGTACGCTGCCAATTTCCCGTCCTTTTCCGTGTAATTCAAGCACCCGGCGTGGCACGGCGACAGATAAGTCCGACCATCTTGGCCGCATATCGGCGTGAATTTGTCTTTGTTGCAATCGCAGTAGGACGGGTTGCAGTTCAGTTGCACCGTGTCGAATCTGCAATGGTTTATTCCCGTTAGGGGAATACGTTTTTTTATTTATTTCACTCACTTGTTATCCATGAGTCCGGCTAGGTCGTTGGTTGGGCAGCCGATGAACATCAAAATACCCATGCCTGAAATGCACGAAACGAATTCATGAAATCCCGAGCGCATTGTGAAAACAGGTTTCAAGTGGAGCCAACAAAAGAATACGCCGCTAATTATTAATGATTAATGATCGTTAATTAACTGCGAAAATATGTATAAATTATACATTACAAGAGTTACGACTACTTTTTCGACCTAAATTCTATCGCAATTGATTAATTCTGGAACTTGTACGGATTTATATAACAACAGTAAATTGGTAGAATTAAAGCAAACATTTTTTAATTTACCTATTGCGTATAAAACGGCTGTCATTGCGATCCATCCGGCGACGAATCTCGCGTTTGGTTTGACTTTTAGAATGAACACTCCGCTTATTATGATCCCTATTCCCATCACAAGTATTCCACCGACGCCTGAAAATGTTTCAATTAGCGGGTACGATAAAATCGAAAAATATCGTTACTGACCTGATATCATATTCGCCGAAGGTGTCGGTAATCTAAACTGCGTTTCGAGGTACTTCGGTAAGAAAGTGTACAAGCCTGCGATAGGCAAAATGTGCAAAACACTACTAGCAGTCCTGTACATAAGAATATCGTTGTTCAACAGCCTTTTAAGTGTTTTTGGAAAATCTGAAATAATGCGTTCGCAATCAGGAGATAATTTCAGGTCTCCAAAATCATACCTCTTATACTGGGGTGTTTCTTATCGGATTGATATGGTATTTTTTGGGCTTTTTTTGACCCGGCGAGTCTCTTTGGAAATGCAAACATGGCGAATGATGCTATCATAAGTAGGGCAGATATAAGTACCAAACCTAGTAATAAACAATAAAAACTATATAAGATAAAGTGGAACAGTAGTGGATGAAATTAATGTACCTAACCACCAGGCTCCGACCCATCTTGGATCCGATGAATCAATTTTAGGATCGATAGACAAATCAGCGTAGATACTCGTACATAGAGCTCCCACTATGAATCCCAACGCAGGCCCCAAAATTCTAACCCCGATTGTTATGGCTGGAAAGAAACGTTAATTTAATACAAAACTTCTACACCAGATTATCACAATTTTCTAACAGCTCAGTACAATAGTATCGTAAGAAAATTGTTGTGGTTAATACGAATGAAGTTAGGAAGTTACTTACCAAAATATAGAGCCGATTCCTTACTGGCAACATTGTCATCGATATAAGGAATACCTAATGTGTAAACAGCCGTTTGACCCATACCGACCCCGAGTAAACTTATAAAAAATATGGCTAAAACTATGTTAGTCACAGATGGTGATAGCTGGTAACCAGAAGTAACGATTTCTTCTTGGCAATTTTCCGCGTTTAGCGGTATACCCGTACTAAAATTATCAGACACAGAATAATTGGCGTAACTTAGCAAAAACGACGTGATGTTACCGTCCTTGGATTTACAGACGTTGGGGTCCTTAACGATACCGCTTAGTTCGTTCGCGTTCATCAATTGCCTACCGTAGATAAAGTGTGGCAAGGAACAGGTGAAAGAGGAAACGGCGAAAAGCACCATTCCCCAAGCGATCCACTTGGGCCTGTGGCCCTGACCCCCGTAATACGTTAAGAGCAGGGACGATCCGATTTGCCCGATTTCCGTTGCACTCATTATAATGCCCGTTATTTTCGATTTGATGTTAAAGAGTTTTTCGATCGTGGTGACGCTACTAACGAAGTAAGTGTGGTACATCCCTTGGAGCACCCACGTCAGGCAGAAAACGATCAGAAACGATTGCTTCGAGGCGAACTTCTGCAGCCATTCGGGAGATAAGGGGCCCAAGCCGCACTTCATCGGCTCCTCGGCGTCCTTGTGGGTCCCATTGCAATCCTGCGTTAGGCTGGTTTGTTCTTCGAGCAGCTCGTTCGTCGGCCCGTTGTTGTTGCTGGATTTCTCCAACATTCTGTGGTTTTCTAGGAGATCGTCTTCAGCTGTCATCGTGCTTATTGTAAAATCAGACTATTGTTTTTTTTTTGTTTGTGATGCGTTGGTTGCGAAGAAAATATCACTTTGGTCTAAATTTTGGTTAGTTAGTTAGCTTGGGCAGTGTAAATTTTCAACCATCTGAAAACAATAAAAAAAATAACGGATAGATAAAAACTTATTTCGCAAGGATGACGAGAGCGCGAGATAAGAGAAAACCAAACAATGATGTGACCTCTGTCTCTATATTTACGACAGTGTCAGTTATTGAACCTAAATTTTGAAATATCGCTCGCCCCTTGTAGAGCATCCGCAAATAGACGTTCCACATTGTGGGGCCGGTAAAATTTCCAGAAACTCCTTTACCGAACCGGCGCGTGCCAAAATATCCCTGCCGGTTTTTTCGTATTGATCCGTTCCAAAAACGTCTGATACGTCTGTCTGTGACGTCACAAGAAAATCGATAGACATAGATACATATTATTTACTAGTAGCTGAAGGCGTCACTAGCACACAAAGTTCACTGAACTGAGTAAAGGCAACGTTTCGAGTTATTTTTCAAGAAAATCAGGAGCGGCACTACAATAGGGATGAACAACGATTTTTTGCTTCGTAAAAATATGAATTACCAATGTAATAAAACTCATTTTAATGACCCAAACAAAAGGTCTTTATACCAGCTTTAGTAGACCACAGGCGTGAGTAAAATTCGTGACACGCCGCTGGTTTAACATATAAAAATAGTCTCCTCAATTCAATGATAATTCCACTCCACGCGTATAAACAAAAAAATTAAAACGGCAATTTAACTGACCTACAAACACACGTTCACGAACACCCTGTACGAAAATGTGATGTAAGAATCAAAGAGTGCACATGCGTTTGCGTCCCAATTTCCAATTGACAACAAACAATCAGATAATGTCCCAAATAAACTGCTAAAAAGTATCAAAGAAGATATTACTAAATTCAATAAAATTACTGATTTCGGAGTGTTCTATTGGTGATTTCTGTTGCAAGACCTTGATTGAAAATGCGCTCGCATCGATGTAAAAAAAAACCGAAGGCATTACATTTATTAGTACCATACATTGCATTACTTTAACCAAATGAATTATGGCTTCGGTGCATAAGCAGCCTATACAATATAAGGTCAATGTCGTGATTATAAATCCAACGAAATGTATGTAAATAGGTTAACAGAAGTGAGAATGCTCTGTGTAGAAAAGAAACATCACCTCTTAGGTGTTACATGTACTCGATGCTGAGCGTTTTATAGAAAGGGAAAATAAATTGTAGATATTGCTTAGACAAGGTCGGATTTTTTATGGAAAATTAATTCGATTGAGATGAAACTTATTACACAAGAATCGCTCGTGTAATCGCGAACAAATAAAATTTTCCTCTACTAAATGAGTTTTTAATAATCTATAATTCTTGGTGTACTTGTTACACCCTGTAAATTCATCTTATTATGCCTACACGAAATTCAAGGTGATACTTTGCTCGATCCTCTTATTATTCGTGACTTACATTAACTTTGCCATTATCATTATTGGGCATACCAAATAAATAAACGCTGGGTTAAAAATACAGAATTTAAAAAAATAAAAAACCTTAAGTAATTAATTCGAACTGATTTCGTCGAAAGTTTTGTCTTACAATAACAGAAAACTGGAATTAAATTTACTCTGAGCAATTCATGAAAAACTCCTACACGATTCTTTGAACTTTTACGAATTTATTAGGTTTTATTAGAAAATAGCCCGTTGTTTTCTCTCATCATAATTCCCAACACCTCATTCAAAATTACTAGGATATTACCCAAATATACGAGTGTTTCAAAACTGACCATTTTATTTTCATGATGAACTATGAACTTATTCATTCCTATTGTAATTACTTGAAATTGTAATAGATTACTAGGCAATATAAACGATCAATTACCAGTCCAGACTAGGTATAAAACACATTGCTCATGTAGTCTAATGGATTTATTTTTCTCTTTAATTGTTTCATAAATCGACCATCAGATGTAACGCGCGTACACTTTTACTTTTTATTCGTTACAGCCTGTCCCAGAACCACTAGATTATCGATAGAAATTTGCTTAAAAATATAGTTATTTCACTGATCAATTCATCGATACAAATTTATTTATTCGCCGCTTATTTATTTATTTATTTTTAACTTACATTGTTATCTCTATTCCAGAGATGTCTGTGTTTTGTAAATAATATTTATGCAGTTAATGTCATGTTTGCGCGGATAAATATAATATAAAAAATTACACATCAATGTTTTTTAATCTATCACGAGATAATATTGTCTTTTATTGAGTAAATATTTAAGTTCTTCTGTATAACATAATGGAATAAAAATTGCTAACATACATTTCATTGTCTTTCACTCTTTTATGAAATACATGTTTAAAAAAAATAATTGATTTATGTATGTTAAATTATTTCAGGAATTAAGAGCTTTCTCGCTTTTATTACCTTAATCTTAAAAAATTCGACCGGTTAAATACGAAAAAGAAAGTTGAATTTTATTGTCGAGACATATAACTGTACGCCTTCGAAATATAAAGCTTTGTTACGTAAATTTAAAAATCTATACTTACAAAAAGCCATTGCGGAATGAAAAATCGGAATACGCACTGAATTTAAGATTGAAATAATGCAGTAAGCGCAACGAAATCACCGCGATTGAATTCAAAAAACAATTTTTAAAAACAATATAATCTCGGTAAAAAAAATATTTGAACCAGAAGGCTAACCGAAAATGATAATGATGATATGTTTGTTTTGAAAGAGCCATGTTTAGTCTGTTATTTATAATAAGTGCACCTAACTGCATCAGCTATCAAATTTGGCAATGTTTGTGTCGCTCTTTCCAGCGAGATTAAACGAAAATCGCAAGATGCCTAAAACACGAAGAAAACAATGCACAGACCAACAATCGTTCATCCGCGGTCATTTACAGTCATCTTAAAAGTTTTGAACTTAAGAGTACAAACGTGCGCATAGCTTCCTGCTAATTTGAATTTCAGGAAGATATAAAACTCTCCTCCGTACAAGTACTTCCTTATTTCTGATTGACACAGGCTGAATTTACGGTAGCCACAAAACGGTACAGATATATTTATTACACTTAAAAGTCAGCATTGTTACATACCTCAATAGCTCACAGTGTAAGGCAAGGTGCATGCTCATCTTTATTCAAATGACTTAATGTTTTTCCATTCGGATTTTTGTTCTAAGCAGAGGCGTACACAAATCATCAACATAAGAAATATGGATTCAAATTCGCTATATTGTAATGTATTGTGCAAATAATGAAATTATGATAACCCCCAAAAAAATGTATAATTTTTAATTGGTAAGTAAATGAGATAAGTAATTTTAACGATTGACAATTGACAGTTGACAATTTAGTGACAGTTTATTGACGAGTTGTAGAAATTCAATAATTACTGCTTATGTATGTACCTACCAGCAGAATAAATAAAGTAGAAACATAACTTGTACTTTCAAGTATTTTTTTACTTTTAACAAGTTTTTTTTAAGTCGCTTGTACGCCTCTCTAGCAAAGCGTCTACATTTTTTATTCAGTTGGCGGTGGTATAGAGTTTACTGACCACAAGTAGCCAATTGTTTCCGTATTACTTACTATTCTGGATAACGTAGGCTGGTGTTGCAAATACAATTTTGTCTATTATTCCATATGCAAATGACTAAATGACCAATAAAATATATCTAACTTTGGTTGATTAAAATGTGCCGCACAAATGAAAATTATTGATTATTGTCAGTGCCATATTTATGTACGTTCGTGTGACATATGAATAAATTAAGTTGTAATATACATACTTAAACATTTACATAACTTAATAATGGCATTTGCATACATCCACTTATAGGGTGTGCCGTCAATGTTAAAAATATCCTTACGAATGAAACAAAAAATCGCCATTAATAAAGAGTTTGAATTTTTCTGAAAAACAATCTTCGAGTAGTACGCTAACCTTAGAGCCGTGCGCAAGGTTATGCAAATAAAGTTCACTGCTGAGATCGTAAACGGTAAAATATTAAAGTAGGCAATTATTTTTGCTTTTAAAAATTGTTTGAGTTCTTGTTTCAGCCTCTTGCATTCGTACAGCGTTCGTCCTATAAGCTCATAACAAATCGCTTAATTCGTACAAGTGCCCAACTAGGTAATCCACTCTAAATTCCGCAAAAACTCCAACCTTCCTCGGGACTTTCTCTCAAATCACCACAATCGCACATCAAACAATTTCTAATTAAAATAACCGGCATAATGAAGGTGAAAATATTTTTATTAAACTTTTTAATAACGCTTAATTAAAGCCTCCTTTATGATAATCGAGAGCTGAATAAAATTTTGATTGACGCGACGCTCAAATTCACAAAGGTGAAACTAGTTTATAAAAAGTGAATGTCAAAATTAGAAGAAAAAAATTAGAACGAAATATCACGCGGAAAAGTTCAAAATCGATATCGTCCTCTTAACACATATCTCGCGAACAATACGAGAAAGTAAAAATTCGCCAAACTGCCAAACCGCTATTAGGTACATTTGATGATGACCTCGTCGGAACATCTTGATTTCTAAAAATGAACATGAAAAGTGAAACCAGTATAAAAAAAAACCTGAACAAATTCGCTCTAACTAGATCCATAGTTTCTGCAAGTCGTACGTACGAGGGTAGGCGGAATAATTCGCGGTCGGTAGATTTTAGCGCTAGCATGAGACGATTCTAGCTGCTTTCTCTCTCGTATGTAATTTCCTCAATTAGAATCAATTAGAGTCGCTTTACTTTTTAGCACATTTCATTGAATATAATGGATAAATCGTACAAGACAGATGAAACGAGTAAATGAAAAATTATCTACTAGAACATAATTTATTCATTCAGTTATTTTGTGCCTTTTGCTGGTTTGAATAAAGGCTTTTATCAAGCATTTGAAAATAAATAGAATCGTATGCACGTGTAGGAAAAACCGTATAGAAAATAGGGTCAGAGTAACATCAAGTTTGTCTAGCATGGAAATAAATCTAATTAAAAATCCAGAGGTGCGATTAGATTCGAACGATTAGGAAAAACCCAATAGATAATTGTGAAACCGACATAAATTCATGTACCTTATTAGCGCCACATTTGACTACAAATGAGGTGAAAAAATCGCTAAAATGTCAGCGAAAGCTTGCAAAACGTTTTAATTTTCCCTAAGCAGTAGCCAATAGATTAGTACTTATATAATTTGTGTAATTTTATTCGAATGCAAGCAGCACGTTCAACTTTTTTAAGATCCAATATTATTTTCATGGAATAAAGTAATTTGTTGAAATCCTTCCCACTTAATAAATTTCTTCAACCTACACTTATCAAATAAATTACTAATTATATATTTCTATAATTGGATGATGTAAGAAAATAACTAGATAATTTCTAAAAAAAATTGTCGACTGACTTTGCTGCAATTTACTCGAAACTACCTCATCATTAATCAATTTTAACATAATTTTTTCGTAATTCGCGTTTTCTAACGATCTTCCCATAAGTTCCAATTTAGTTAGTCCATTAAGTCTGTTTAAAAATAGTTTCAGTAACCAGTTCGCAGAACTAAAACTCCAGCACGACCTAAATATCCTTTCCCACAAAATACACACAAATTTTACAAAACTAATGAGATAATTTTTCAATCAACTATTAATATTTAATTTATACTTTATTACGAAAACAACATTAATATTGCCTGTGTGTTTTAATAATACGAAAGAGTGAATGAACGCACTCATAATTCATTTTATTGGATTTAAAAAGTAAACTTTAATTACGAATTTCACAGATTTGTGCAATTTTATTATACTTAAATACTCGTTCCCTCTCTTACAACTGATTATTAAATAAGCAACATATCTGAATTAATTGCATATTATGGGTACTCTTATGGGCTCAAATTTGCAGTTACCGGTACGCATACAAACGCAAAGTTTATGTTTAGATTTCATTTACTGAAATCAACGCACTAACAGCATATTGCAAATAATACGCGTATAATTTTGAAATAAATGCCAATGTCATTGTCGCAAATTCACGGTTACGTTCAATTTAATTCGCGGTGAATTTCTTACCGGGCATTCGGTTAAAAAAAAATGAACAAAATCGAGTGGCTAATGCGAAGAGCAGTGTATGTAGTAAAATTAATATGCGAAAAATGCAGGTAGAAAAACGATCGCAAGTAACGTGGAATTTCTGGGAATTTTTGGGAATAAATTCGGCAACATTAAACTTGCCGATTATCTTTCTCAGCCTTGGAACGTCTTTTCAACATAAACCCCGCAGTGGCGGACTTATCTCAAAGTACGCCATCATTTAAGTAAGTATGAAGATGCAGTAAGATGAAATTGGTGAATTTATTTTAATCCATACAATCACTAAGTGGTGGCATATGGATTATTTAAGTGGTAAGTATTTTTAGAAGTGATTGATCAAAAATAAATAATGCATTTTTTTTAATTTGGCTATTTTTTTATTGTCTAGGACTAGGGAATTATATTTTTTATTTCCCTGAAACATTTTTGTTTAGAAAAATATAATGTAATAATAATTGACCTATAAAGTAATAAATATTATATAGTTAGCGAATCTGATAATCATATTAAACGATAACGTATCAGTTTTTGCTAAAATTGATGCTCAATACATTTTTCCTTATGCTTGTTTTTCGTTTACTATAAGATTGTGAAATTTCAATATTTAGTAAGCTTGTATATTGAGATTTTTGTAAAAATGCTAAATTTACGATCTTTTTGATAAGCAAATCGGTGTTTTGTAAAAGAAAGCAATTTTTTTGGTAAAATTTTATAAATATTTCGATCGGACGGACGTAAAATAATTTTGTGAAATAGGTAAATATAATATAATTTTGGTATATGGGGGGTAGAGAGCGGTTTCGAGTGAGCGCCGCTGAGGGTCAGTGGCTGAATTGCAAAAACTTGAGACGTCTGCAAACGGAGAGATACCAAAAAAAAAAATAAAATAAAAACCGGCGCGAGCCTCAGTCAGATATAAAATTCAGATCACGGTGTCAAAGCCGAAAATCGCAAATGCACCGAAAGTAAAAGGAATAGGTTTTGGTACAGTCGAAAGTCTCACCTGAACGTGCAAAAGCTGCACCGTACCACAGACTCCGGCAGATATCAGTACCAAAATGCGACGAATATGCCGAGACATTAGTATCACAGCAGCTGTGAAGGATACATCTGTAAACAATGACAGCAGCGGCGATTCCCGAGTCACGAGCACGGCTCACGGCACAGACTGAGAAGAGTGCGAACGAAAGTGTCTAGAGAACCAACACAGTGTTCGCACAGACACAGAATCACTTTCTCCCGTGCGCGGCACGATAACGCCAAGCCGCAAACGCACGAAATACTCGAAACGTCGAATGAAATTCGTGAATATACGCACACACGTACGCACCGCTACGCACCCTCCCTAAGCGCCGCTTCCCAAATTACTGTGAATATGCCCCGCGTCTTCGCTTGCCTTCGCCGATTCGCACTCAATCCTCAGTTTGCTGAGGATCGCCCGTTTGTTTTTGTATTAGCTCCACACAACACGGTGCCGCCGAATCCGCCGATGTCGCGCTGATTACTATATCCTTTACTTTACTATACATGCCATGCCATGCCATGCCATGGGCTGGCCATAAACACTAGACCAGTTCTCCAAAATTTACTTGCAACAAACCCCACCTTCGTGTACCGGTGTCTACGAATTTACGATTATGTTGTACGAAAATTTGCAAGTGCTTGCTAATGGACTTGACTTTCTGCCACCAGCGCCAGTCTTATTGATCCTTTCATTAAAAAAATTTAACGATTGTTTTATTTATTTTCAACCACCACCTACTCTATTACATACAATGCACCTTTAATACACATAATCTAAAAGTTCTTCTCTTCATACATTTATTATTAACCTCACATCAGGCTTCCCTGAGATCCTTAAATCATCCTTAAAATACATCCAACAATATTTATCAACATATAAAGTTATATACTGGGAAGAAAATCAGAATACTTACAGAAAAAATGTTGCATTAAACCCTATAATCATAAAATATGTAACATTTTGATCGAAAACAAAATGATCGCCCACGTTTGGAATAATTTGGTTGTCTGATATCAAGATCGGGCTATCAAACATGTTTTGCTCTTGCCGATGATAGTGTTCAGATGTTATAAATTTACATTTATTGTTTATAGAGAGGTACCGCAGAGGTGAAACAAACTAGTGGAAATAATTACATCAGATGTCCTTTAATTCCAAATTCGCATTTATTTGTTAAATTAATTTGACTATTAAAATGAATTACTCGACAATGAGAGTTAAATTATATTCTTCAAAGTGTATCAAAGCGAACATTACTTCACCAACATTGAAATAATAATATAGGAAGATTAATTATAAGAATAAGTTTAATAACTCTAATTACTAGCGTATATATTTTTATAACACTTTCATTTTTAGAAAGAGACGAATTAATTAATACATTTTAAAATTCAATTAAATTTCTCTCCGATATTAGAAAAATATGTATACTTAAAGGCGTAACAAGCGGTGTAACTATTAATAAAATATAATGGAAGATAAGATAATCCTGAATAATATCTTCATTATGTATTGCTATTTATCCTCAATTAGATGTAAGTACTTCTTATGCTTACATCGATGATATAGAAAACGCTCATTTACAATATAAGGTATGTTAATAGAATGTTGATGTAAGTATTATGTAAAATAATGTAAAGACAACTCAAACACGGCAATCTTTCCATGAGATCTTGATAGCGCGTTTTTTAGATGTAAGATATAGGTACTCAAATTGAGTTAAAAAAAAATGTAACAAAATATGTTAGTAAAAGGATCTCAGAATAGGTGAAAATAATACTATAATATTATATTAACAAATATTAGTACTTTTTCTAGTTGCAAAACATTTTTAAACACACAAAAAAAATCCATTATTGATCCGCGAATTCTAATAATTTTAATTCGTTTAGTTAGAAAGTAAAATTTGTTCGAAACTAATAAAATTAGAGAACTAGAAAGTAAGGCGGTAAGAATTTTAAATTTTCACCACTACTGCCATCTATAGCTACCTGAAAGCACAATCTACTGTATAGGCAACCATTACTACAATTATGTATAATCTGGTTGTCTATAAAAAATTAGTCGCAGTTGTAATGATAAGCAATAATTATCCACTTGCAAGATATTTTTTTACTGAATTTTTTTTTATTTAATTTAATTTGATATAATTATCAAATGATTTAGCAAGTATCATCCGAATTGACCTAAATCTTCCGGTGAAATCCTTTGAAACGTCACTGTCATTGTCAATATCGACCAATCAAAATAGTTTTATAATGACAGGCAGAATGATTTTAATTTTAAGTTTCTAGTGATAGGTGAGAAGTGTATTTATTTTTGTGGTCAATTTTTATGGTTTTCCATCAAAATACTCATCAGGAAATATATTAAAATAGTGAACATTAAATCCATGGTTTCCATAATTGTGGTATTACGTGTTTAAGCGTTCTGTTTTGAAACAATATTGAGAATATACGATGCAACCATTTGGAGAAAACATGTCGAATATTCCTGCCTTTTTAGGCAAATTATGGAAAATGGTAAATGATCCCAACACTGACCATTTGATTTGCTGGAGCCAGGTAAGCGTATTTTGCGTTTTCGCCTATAATTTTTCCATTGGATCTATTTACACCTGTTAGTCACCTCAAGGCTATACAGGGTGCCTAAAAATAATATTCTTCCTCTAATCAATCAATGCATTTATACAGGAATGCAATATGTACTATTATAACATAAATTTACTCATTAATATACTTTTACTTGTACTAAAGAATTATAATTACTGCGAGTTACGAATGTATTTTTACGATAAGTTGTAAATTTTTAGGCTGGTAACAGTTTCATTATACAAAATCAGGCACAGTTTTGGTATGAATTGTTGCCGTTGTATTACAAACATAACAACATGAGCAGCTTTGTTAGGCAGCTCAATATGTGTAAGTAAATTACACGATTTTAATCCTTTGTTAGTAAAATTGGTTTTTTAGATGGGTTTCATAAGATATCTACGATTGAAAACGGTACAATGGATGCGGACAAAGACGAGATACAATTTTTCCACAAATACTTTCAGAAAGATCAGCCGGAACTCCTGAGGAATATTAAACGAAAAGTAACGAATGCGCTTAATGTTTTTATCGATTTTTGATTCGTTGAATTTTTTTAAGGTTACTGTAGCTAAATCGGAAAGTAATATACAAAATGTGCTAAAATTCGACGATTTATCCAAAGTTTTCACCGATGTTAAGCAGCTATACGGCAGGCAATCTAACGTCGATTCGCAATTAAGCGCTATGAAGCAGGAAAACGCTGTATTATGGAGAGAGCTGGCGATGCTTCGGCAGAAACACTTGAAGCAACAGCAAATAGTCAACAAAGTACGTCAAATTAATTAACTCAAATTAGGAAGCCGACAATGTTTATCGAATTCCCAGCATTCTTCGATTACAGAATGCTTATTTCCAATGCGCCGCAGAGTTATAAAAACAAATTCAAATACTTTGCAGCTGATTCAATTTTTGGTGACGTTAGTGCAACCTTCTCCCTCGTCGAGGATGGGAGTCAGCGTGAAGAGGAGGATGCCTCTCATGCTGCACGAAAGCCCAATGAAAAAACCGAAAAACAAAAAACCCAATTGCCATGACAATGACAACGGGCCGACTATACACGAGCTGGACAGCGAGATTGAGATTATGCCTGACGAGCTCTTCAATCAGGACATCGAAGCCGAGGGATCGGTATGTTAAAATGTTATGAGAATTTTGCGCGAATTAGTTACCTTGGAATGCGATGGTATTTGACCAAAACAGATACGCTAATCAAAAAGCGATAAGATAAAAGTTTGTATTCTTGAAAACCAAGACTGAATGAAATTTAATGAATTAAATAACGATGCATTTTTTGTAGATTAATTATTTATACCATTTTTGTTATTTTAATCAATAGGTAACGAGTCCTCAAACATCCGTTACATCACCACTGACCCCCCAAGCCGACTCTACAAAACCCTCTACTACAGTCTCAACAAGCAAAAGTAACCCCCAAGAAGGGTTATCTACTGAAAACTTATTCATAGTAAGTCTCCAAAAAAAATCTACTTCTTTCCGTAAACCCATCCATTTTTGCAGGAGCTCGATCCCGATGATTTGCTGATGGAAAACCCAGCCGGGGGTAATCAATCGACGAACGAAAGCGACGAGAAAGTATTTCTAAACCCGATGGGAGGCAACACGCTGCTCAGCAACATAGCCAATGGAAGTTACAACGCCAATGTGATAAACGCGAAGAACGGAAAGAAAATTAACAACAACAAACTATCCGACAGTGTGCTCAACAGCTTTCTGGAATTCAAGGATAATAAGGATGATCTGACGGTCGCTACGAGGATAAATAACGGGTGAGTGCTGCTGTAGGTGAAATAAATTTATTAAGTATTATATTTTGATGTTTTCGTTTACCTATAGGCGTTTAACCTAAAGTGTAAATGTAGTATAAAATGATCTTTCCTTAATCAAAATTGATGACGTTAGTACGCTTGGTACTAATGATTGTTCCAGGGACGATTTAGATACGCACTTGGAGGCCACCCAGTCGGAGCTGGACCAATTGAAGGACATTTTGAGGAGTTGCAACGGGGTGGACGCTAACGCCTTACTCGGAGTAAGTATCCCAAGAGTAAGTACTCAAAAAATCATTAACAAACGATTAATTGGGATGCATTTTAGTTGTTTGCCGACGAAACGCCGTCGTTTGGGCTGCCCTACAATCCCGGTGGCGACAACGAGAAGAATAATCCTTTGGATACTGGACCGAGTAAGTGATTTGTTTGGAATATGATGGTGGTATTTTAAATGTATTAATCCATAGATGATCCTATGGTTTCTGGAAGCGAGTTGGCTACGTACGGGACAAATCTGATAGATTTTAATGAGTTATTCGACGATTCACTGGATGGACAAGAAACGGTTCCTTCCAAAGATTTGCAAACACAAATTAGTAATAGCACGATAAATACGCCGATGGTTGTTAAGGAACAACCAGTTTTTCCCTCTCTGGGCAAGGATATGTAATTTTTTTTATATCGTGATTTTTGCTTAAATTGACAGTATTGATTCAACGGGTTTTGCGAAAGTTTAAAAGTTCCCTCAATATTCAAACTAATTAATGGTTAATTGTACTGCATTTTCTACTGTCAATCGTGCTTAAATTACTAAAATATCATCAATTCATTTGTTGTGCACCAAATTTATCGAATTACAGTGTCGCTGATTTTGAATAAATCCGAATTTCCAGAATAAGTTTAAAAATAACGTAGGTAGCGTTGGAAATCATTGTTACATTTTCATTGCTTATTTAAAATGTCGAACATGTAGGTAGTAATGACACACAAATATTTTGAATCTTAACAAACGCATTTGAAACTTGTATAAAGTTTATATTTAACGTAAAGTTTAAATTATTTTGCGGAGTAGTTAGATAGATGACTTGTAAGTATGGAGACTGTGGCCTTTGAAAATGACGAATATATTTTTACACTCGGAAATTGTTCTGAAAACATCAATTATTCAATTAGATAATTACACTTAGAGTATAATGAATATGAAAATATAAATTTAATCTCGTTTTTGATAGATGTTTGGAAATGTAGATAATATTTATTATTTCTAGTTACTCGATTCTCATAGATTAAATAGAAAGTTAAATTTTTATGTTCCCTTCGATTTTTGTATTTTACCAATTTTTAAAAAGTTGAATTGTAAATTTATATTAAATCGCCGTTTCCATATTATATTTATTTTTCGATCTTAGTCGTACAGGTACCTCTATTAGTTAAATGTAACAGTTTTTTTGTTATTTGTTAATAAATTGGTAAGACATTTGGCTTTTTTATTATTTTTAAAAATAAATTAAACGTTCGTTTGGTTTAAACGGAACTACACCAAAGTGAGAGACTTTTTCGTTACTTAGACAAAATCGCTGCTTTCAATGGATGTGAATAAAAAAAGTTACAATAATCTACAAAAATATATGTTCTTTGGTCATTTTTATTTACTATAAATCGGGAAGTTATCAAATTAACTTTAAAAAAGCTACACTGATGACAGCAGCGAAGAACACACTTCAAAATGTCAAAATTGTCATTGCGTATTGAACTATCTTTGCGTAGAAGGCCTTGGAGCTGCGAGTCTAAACGACAGAAGCCGTTATTATAATTACCAATTAATTTAGCTCACGCAGCAAGCGAGAAGCCGGCTATGGAACTGTTCAAGGGTCCAGAGGAGTACAATAAATACACAAGTTTTACTATTTATAATATTATTTAATGTTTGTCCAATGAACACATTGTCATTAATAATTAACAGATTACGCCATTTACAGAGATTCTGAAAAGTCAAAAAATACCGATGTAAATTAAAAGGTATATAAAAATACTATTTTTGGCACACAATGCTATGGCACAAATCCATAAACAGAAATCTGCCGGTGTGAAAAATTATAAATTTTACCTAAAAATGCAAACTATAGGTAATTCAATTGGTTTACAGCGAATATTTCCAAAACAGAAAAATTATTAAATGGACAATACATTATATTAAAGAATATTTAATTAACAAGTACAATTCATAATTAAGTTATTCATACCCTAACATATACTTTCCGTAGGGAAGATATTGACAAAGTTAAAAGAATTCTATTTGAAATAAACGATAAATTCAATACTGTTTAATGGCGCGACCTGGGCACTAGCTACTTTAGTGACACATCAATATAAATAAATAGATTTTAATATTTTAAGGTACCTTTAAGGCTAGTCAAGATCACTAGTGCACTATTTATCCCTACACTTGCGCAGCTGCACGAAACATAGTATAGTTGGCCGTCCATTTTTAAAGGAGTGGCAAAATCTTATATCTGATTTAGAAAATCATTGCATATAATACAAAACTTGAGAATGGTTTTCATTAATCTAAATATATCTAGTGAATAAATGCCGTACTCAAAAATAATCGAGTATTTTTGAGATTTGAAATATTAGAACAAGTATACATATCATTTTGTTCTAAGTTGACATTCATCAAATTTTACATTATATTAGCATAAACTGAATTTCTGTTTAAACTTTGATTTCTTATGTCCCATAAAATTTCTATATGAAAAAAATATACATTTTTTTAGGTAATTCCTTTGGATAACAAACTTATTAACAATAATATACATTTAACAAATTTTCGAAATTAGGATATAGTATATGTTATTTCAATTAATTTTTGATATCGTAAGATAAATCTATAGTATGTTAATAACAATTAATAATTGTTAATTTCAAAATGCAATAATCGTAATTCATTAATATAGTTAAAACATTTGATAATAGTATATTTTTACTTATAAGATCTTCAATCAAAAATATATTAATTATATTTTCACTCAACATGAAGATAAAATATTTAAAACACAGTAAAATATCAGTGAATTTTTTTAGTGATCATATTTTATAATATCATCCTTTAATTTACTCCCATATAAGATTATCTAAATTTATCGACTAAAACGATGAAATACTGAATTATGTAACAATTTGTAATACACAGCGAATTCACAAAATCAATATGCCACCAACATGAGTTTACAAATTCGCAACATAAATTGACAATAGTATATTATGTCCTGAGATATTACTAAATTAGCTCGACCATTTCTTGATATCGGAAATAGAAGGCTGATTGTTTTTCCAATTTTTACTCACTCAGTATGAATTTGTTAAAAGAAATTTGTGATATAATGTTAAGCCGCCCCTTGGCATTCAATGATTTGGCAAATACGTCTCTAATTATGTAGAAATATGACGTTGCCACATGACATTTCATAAACAGAATCATATCAACTCAATCAGAATGTCAGGCGCAAAAATTAACAGGAACCTACGGGCAAGAAATTTCAAGAGAAAAAAATCTTTCCTTTTCCTTCTCTTTGCACTGATTCAAAAAAAATAAGATCACTTACTATCCCATTATTATTTACTGATTTTCTTTAATCACGAGAATTACTGAATCTGTAACATTTTTAATCGAAATACTAAATAGGATATGTTGTAATAATTTCTCGCTGACAAGCTGATTGAGATTAAATGAGTGCTCTTATAAGAAGGACGGAGACAATTTTGTACCCCGTCTTGTTTTATATATAAAGATTGTACAGTATAAGATAAAAACCTATGTGACATGCCTGAACTTCCGCAACATTTGCAAGTACATCGAAAAAAAGAACCGCTTTTATCGAATGTTAGGTATAGTAAAAAAGTTTTTCGGAAGTATTTGCAAATTGTATGTAGAATAACACGTCAATAGTACTTACTAAATATAGTTCTATCACTCATAATTTGACATTTAATACAGTAATATTCATTAAGTTAATATTGCTCAAAATTCTTATATTTATGTTTAGCGAAAACGCTATTTTAAATTACCACCTAAAAGAAAAGAATCGAAACAAGTAACCTAATGTATGTACTATTCAGCTAGAGATTTACAAAAAATGATGTATGTAAACCAACCTAAAAACACAATATGTGGAAGAACAAATATCTAAAATTAATAGTTGTATAGAATCCAATTCCAAATGGTATCGACCTCGATTTATTGCTATATATTTGGTGTATTCGATTAAATGCAATTATAATATGAAATGAGGCTCATGTTTTTTTTTTGCTGTACTCTCATTTATCTCCGCTTTTATAGTAGTTTGTAACTATTAACCTAGCACATTTAGTCAAATTTTCCTCCATTACCTTATCTTCAATTAACATCAATAACACGAAAGTAAATCAGATAAAGTATGTACGTTCGAAGTAATAGTTAGAGAAATTTTTTCGTAATCATTATTTGTGCATGTTATACCTACTATGCAACAGAGTGATTATAATTTACTCTATTATAATTTCATTTGAAGTAAGGCTCGCTCTAAATAGAAATCAGAAATATTTTTTGTTGCTACCATATTTAGGAGACTTCTTGTAAATCAATGACTTAATAGCTGATGAAATTAACAGTTGTTTAAATCAAAAATAAGTTCTCCAAAAATTAATAAAGAAAACGACCAATCGGTAGGTAATTTTCCAAAAGATTGCGAAATAATTTAATAAGAACGTCGTGTTTGTCCAGTCTCTAAAGTTTCATTCATTTTATCGGGATTTATATTACAAAATTTTCGATTAAAATTTCATTGCAAATTAGGTAAATATTAGAGGAATAAAATAATAAAAATAGGTTATCTGAGGTTCATTTAAAAAACGATTAGCAAAAATAGTTATCGAGGGAGAAGTTGTAACTAATGGGTAAAATAAATTTTTGTAATATAATTGGGAAAATGTATCACGAGATTGGACAAATTTCAAAATTTACACGATAGTGTAATGAATCTACTACATTTTTATATTATTCTTATAATATATCTACCGAACATTGCTCTCTCGCTATTTTTGACGTAGGAAAATGAGCATTTATTTTGTTGCATTTTGATTTGAGAAAACGTTACATTAGTTTTTAAGAATCACAAAACCCGAGCGGTTTCATTATAATCTATGACATTAAGAAGAATAAATAATTGGTGTATTTTGTTATATCATTTTAAACTTTAAATACTGTTATACGTCATCGTTACTTATAATTTCATTCAAATTAGGTAGTTAACGTTCTTTGATTACTTTGAATTCAGAGAAAGAATTTTACTTTGAAGGAAAATTACGAATAAATGGTAATGACTTCTCTTCCTCCACCGCGAACCATCAAGACTCGCTCCAATCCTTCTGTTAATACCTCTAAAAACTCCATGTCTGCAAAAAGTTCGCACAAAATTCAAACGTGAACGAACACTTAAAAGGTTTAAATGTACTTACAATTTGACTCTCGTTCCATTTTGGTTTCTTTGGGCGGTCCAGGCAAATTCAAAATAACTAGTTGAGCATCATGGGAACGATTCACTATCACCTCGTTTAGTCTTACGGCTGTATGCATGCGACGGACGTTTCCTTCATCGCTGAAATGAAAAATATCGTCGAGGGAATGCCTGTAACATCTATCAGGAGGATTACTTACGGGGTTTGAGGTGCTTTGCTATCTTCTTCTACGGCTGAATTTGAGTGATTGTGTTCTTTGGAGCATTCTTTCTCCTTCTCGGAGGAATCGTCTTTTTCTTTCACGTTATCACAATCTTCCTTTTGATCGGCTTTAGGCTGAAAAGGAGTTTTGTTTTATATTTCGTGCGCGGTAGGTAATAATTTTAAATGAAGTGGAAAGTATCGAGAAATGTATAGGGAGTGATAATGACTGACCTCATTAGTAGGCTCTACTGAGTTTTTGTTATCTTCTTCGGATCCGGGCTCTTGGAATCGAACTTTAGAGGCTATTTTAGTGTCTACATTAGGATGATGTTGATCTACGATGGACTGGACCTAAAAATATTATTTCTGTGAGTTGACAAGATACTAATCAATAGGAAACCATGATCGATGATTTTGAAACACATTTAATTTTGAGTGGAAGGTTAGATGTTAATATGTTTCGAATGTCGTACACCGAGGATGCATGAAAACTGAAGATAAGCGTGCAAAAATTAAAAAACCATGAGTCTAGCAAAATAATGCATTTTGCTTTACCAAGGGTAGCTTCTCCTCCGTCGATAAATGATTAAAATCCGCCAGATCCATCTTGTATGCCAAAGACACAATTCTCATTAATAACAAAATGTCAGGAGATTTCGCTTAATAAATAACACTTACCACGCCTAAGCTTTCTCGTTTGTTCAAACGCAACTCGCGCAACATCTGATTTCGTTGTTCCATCATCAGGGTCCTCTCGTACGTGTAAGCAGATATATCGTGATCCATCTATAAAACAAAATTAATCATTAAAAATTTCAAATTGAATTAATAAATATTTCATTGAAATTACCATCTCCACAACTTCAACTTCGGCTTCTATTCTGAGATGATACAAGAAAGTTTTAAGGTCCTTCTTCATTTGAATAGAATTGTCTTCCATTTGAGCAACGGTGAAGATGCGCATCTTGCAATTCTTCCAGGTCCTGTGTTGCTTGAGTAGGAACGGCAGAAGCATGAGCAAACCACCGTCATGAACGATCCACCAAATATCAATGTTACCAAACACCTTGTCCGTGGAGTCCGGGAAAAAGTTGATTCCTTTAGGAACCAGCAAAGCCATGCGAGCAGCCGTCACGTTTCGGACCGTTTCTAAAAATACCTGCCAAGTACGATCGTCTTCTGATTGTCTCCATCCATAAGGCCAGCCTAATATGACTGTGTTAGGTTTCAAACCGCCTAACCCAGCAGTTTGGACTCTGCAACGTTTATTTCCGTCAGACAACGTCAGATAAATTAGCGTAATTACGTACAAGTTTGATAAGCCATCAGCGACGTCTCTTGCTACAAGGATTTCAGCAAAACCTTTCACTTTCTCCTCTTCCATAGTCTTGCCAAGGCTCTGCTTGGCAGCCATCGCTTCGCCGTAGGATCGAGTGAAGTCCCCGCCGATGACCGAAGCGCAAATGGTGAGACCTTTGCCGGCTTTCAGTTGGGCAGCAAAGGAGAACAATTTCTTGTACTTAGGCAGAAGGTCCGATGTCAATTTCACTAAAATAAGGATCTGGGGTCTCCAATTCTTCGTATGCGGCGGACCTTCTTCTAAGCGCAAGAGAGAAAATCGGGCGGCCGACAAAGCCAAACCTCTGATACCGTCACCCCATTCTTTCTCAGCTCTGAAAGCAACAGATCCTATAGCGCTGAAAAGCGAATTTATTTAAGTTCCACTCACCCTCTGTATTCGATGTATTTGTAAATAATTCCTGCCATAGCCATGGCGATTAGGGCGAGGTACCAGGATGTCATGAACATAATAGCGATACACAAAGAGAGACCAATAAATGATAAAGACCAATGGTAATATTTGAATCTTGGTCTCCAATTGGGAGTTCTCAGCAACGTTTGCAAAGCACAGGCGAGGTTAACGAATCCGTAGCACATCAAAAAGAACATGGATAGCAATGGGGCCAAAATATCCACGTTTCCGAGCAGTATGCCGCCTTCGCAGATGAGTAATGTTAACAGCAGAGCTCTAGTTGGTTCACCCTTGCTCGATGATACGGCAAAAGGGGATAAGAACGGAATGATTCCGTCTTTAGCTATAGCTTGAAGCAGACGCGGCGCTCCAGTTAAAGATTGCAAACCAGCTCCCATTGTCGATAGAACGGAACCGATGAGTATCACCCATTGATTCGGCCAAGCCATATTAGCCACGACCAGTTTACCGCCTATTGATTCACCGAACCTTTAATTTTATTAGGGATTAACAATTGCACTGAATATGCGAAAACGAGCCTTACTTGTCTCTAAGGAGTAGGTTATCAACAGTTCCTGCGAATAGCAATACAGACGAAAGGTAAACAGTGGATGTGGTTAGAATCGCGCAAATTGTTCCGATGGGAATGGATCTCTGGGCATCAGCAAGATCTCCTGATCGATTAGATCCTGCCATAATACCGGTTACCGATGGGAAGAAAATGCCTATCAATATTGTGAAAGTTGTCGTAATGTCAGCGTACACTTGATTGTAATGTTTGCTTCCAAAGACTTTCAAATCTTCTTCCAACTTTCCCTTTGAAATGAATTGACCTTGTTCCAGAAATCCATTGTATATATTTTCTGGAATATAAATAAAATATGTGGACACGGTAAGTAGATAAATGATAATAGTTACCGAAGAATACTCCAGACGACAATCCCTTGATACCGTTATCACGTGTTAAATTATGCTGTTTATAATACGGATCGCATTTGTAATTAACTGTTTCGTTGGTACAGAACAATTTGTGCAAAGGACCGCTCACGTTTTTGGTACACTGCGAAATATCATCGATTTTTAATAGCCTGTTTCCTAATCGACACATCCTGCAAAAATATGGATATTTCAATTTCTGAAGCAGATAATTCGCAATCTCTTTAGCACACGTATGAATAATTACAGGACCAATTTTAGCAAAGTGAACGATTTCTACTACCGAAAACCCTTCTAGTTTACAAATCGATCCGCTATCTCGATTTGTTATTCCATTTCCGTCGAATTGATCTTCCGGGACATTGCTCTCAATCGTATTGGTTAGTTAATTTTAAATTCTCTAAACCGGGGACCTGGATTATTAGGTACGTTCTGCAAGGTCAGCTCTTGCAAAATAAAAATAGGGCATGTAGGAACATCGACGATATTTTAATTCAATTCTTTGACGAAATTCTTTCAAAATGTTTTCCGTTTTCCTTCACTTCTTTGTTCTAACGTTCCTCCATTATGGGGCACGCGTTGTTTTGGAGTAAAAGTGCTTTCGTTTTCAATTAACATCTAATGGGCGTTATTAAGAAACCCCGTAGAAAATACATTAAGATTAATGTGTATTTTTGGCTTCTATTTTTGTTTAATCCTCCGTGAAAACACTTATTTGCTTAATTTAACGCTGCTAACACAATATTTTCTGAGACGGAAAAATATTGCTTTACGTGGGAATTATTGAATAGACTATAGGATCAATATTACTTTAGTGTAAAAAGGTGTTTTCAGTAGTATTCTTTAAATATATTATGTGTATACGTACGGTAAATTAGTGTTTCCATTGATATTTACAAAAATTCCAACGTAAACGGCCAAAATGGAGAGAAGGACGCAAGCAAGAGCTACTGTTGCAAATTTATTGACGAATTTTACTCCCACATAGACGATCATACCCATAATAACCAACAGGATTGTTCCGTAAATTCTGAAATTGTTAAATTTCACGTCATCGTCAGTTATTTCGCCAAACAATGTTAGCTGGTCTGTAATGTACAACTGCAAAAAAAGTCAACATTAACATTAATTTTCATCTTGGGAAACATTCGAGTTTTAAATAGAATTAGGGCCTTTCGTGCTGCCTCGAAACTCAGAGATAATTATTTACATTGCTGGAAAGTTTTTCGCTATATATAAACCATGTAAATATTCTCATCGTTCTTTTATTTTATTGGATTTTTGTTTATTTTTCCAAGTTTCCTCCCGAAAAACTTTCGTATCGATTTCATTTTGTTTAAAGAAATCTCAAAAAGTTGATACAAAACAAATTACGAGAAACAAAGCTCCGGGAAAATGAAAAACTGCCATTCCATCAGTGAACTAAGTGAATAAACAGACTAATAAAAAAAGCAAAAAGCTCCCTTTTTGTGACATGCACATGTTGATTTATCTGTTCGAACATCCATGTGCTCTATCACCTCTATTCTATTAATTAAAATTACAAATAAAAATCACTCGGATTATTTCGAGCACGTATTATCTTTTGTCGAGAGCTGAAAGGTGATTTTAATGAATATTCATGCGGATGGGGATTTATGCATCGGATGCGAATCATTTTTGTATTTATCACATTTGAGGATGCATGTGTGCATGACAAACAGCTCCGGTACTTACCAGGATGATCTCCACGCCTCCGACAATGTACATGGCAGCCGCTAAAGTAGTACCCGTATAGAAAAGCATCCCGACTGCTCCTCCAAACTCAGGCCCTATGGATCTGGATATCATGAAGTAGCTCCCTCCGCCGGGCACGACCCCGTTGGTGGCGATAGCGGACATCGAAATGGCAGTCAACATAGTAACACAACAACAACAAAGTACGATTAGGAATCCTTCGATGGCTCCTGCTGTGCCGACAACCCAAGTCAGACGGATAAACAAAATGACACCAAAAATGTTCTGGATGCAGGGCAGGTAAACGCCTATGAGGGTGCCCATGCGGGCGCCGCCGCCCGACGGCCGGGCGTCCGGGTCGCTCGAGGCTGGCGGGATGGTGTTCGAGTAGTTAGCCAGCGAACTAATAAGGGTGGATACCCGAGGTCGGTCCTCCATTTCCTCCGAATATAAATACAAGTTTGTCTCGTAACCCGACACCTTGCCTGAGGTAAATTGTTGGTCGTCCGCGCCATCTCCTGCAATTGCAAAAAAAAACGCTCTGCTTACACAAAACCCTGGCGACTTTTCAATTGCGTAATGCAATTACGAGTTGCATTGAACTAATAGGTTTCTTAATTATCGGTTCCAAGGTTTCGTTAAAATCGATCTATAATATATATATATAATAATTCGTAATCGTAATCACCGTTGCGCTGCTTCATTCTCTAACGATTTTTAACCGGGATTAATTACTGCCTGATTGAAATTGGTACAACGAGTGGAGAAATCCTAGTTCGTTTTCTCGACGGAATTTTATCGACGTTATAAAACAAAGCCCTTTTCTTTACTTCATTAAGGATTTTCTGGTAATTACGGAGCGCTTTGAACCATTTTTGAACCAGGCCTTGTTTCATACCTAATTTACCATAAATAATGTACACAAATTTATTACGAGAATAAAACTAACCCTAACAAGCTCGTTTGCATCAACGAAGTGCTGGCTATTACGGAGAGAAATAAAATAATTTAACGCAGCGTAACGGTAAAAAATCTAATTCCGGCGAATTGAAATGGTGTAATAATTCTCCATCGGCAGTGTCACAGAGAGAAAACGTTGAGCGACTTTTAAATTACTCGTAGTTTGGTTTTTATTTGCGCGGAGTTCAGCAGGATTATTTCAAAGAGCTAAAAATTTGCTAGTTGTTCAGCAATTTTATCGAATCCGATATTTTTTCTATGAATTCTAATACAGTTTCTAATTGAGAAATATGTCAGTTTCTTGTCGATATACATTTATTCTGATGAGAAAATGTAATAGCAAAATAAAAATACGCTGCCGTGCATTGCAGAAATTTCTTTAGTGACATTTTCAAAATTGGAATTTTATCAGAGCGGATATAATTTTTATGGCATCTTCGACATTTTCAATCTATTTATTTGCATATACTTGAAGCATCTTCGGGTAAACAAGGCAGCTCATGCATAATTACATCCAACGTAAACATTTTGATATCGATAAAAGACATACCAGCTAGATCAACGTGAAGTTAGATGCAATATTTCCTTTGATATTACTGAAATTGTTTCGAACGTACGAGAAGCTATCTTAGGAAAAATAAGACCTTTGCAAGTTCAGAAACAACGGAAAGTTCGGAGTAACTTTAAAACCTTAACTTTTCGAGCCGAACAGCAGAGACGAAATTTTTGTTGTAACGTATTTTGATTAAAAACTTTTTGCGTAGGAAAAACATTTTGAGGAGTGGCTGATCGAATTTTCGAAATGACCTCAAAAAATACTCATCCAAAACACGCTTAACGCCGGAAAGTCTTTCACGGTTTATTCCAGAAACCAGCTACTTAAAATTATTAGAAAAATTTATGCCCCGAGTCGAGAACTACTGTAAACTTTTTAAAGTGTTCGGATCGATAAATTACAAAGTTTTAAAACCTCCGAAGTTTCCTCGAACCACTGAATAATGCCTGATTTCAGCGCTTCACATTAAGGATTAGGGCATTAAACATGAGACACGAATGTTACCCTTTGAGGTTGCAGTTAAAATCGGCTACTCGACTTAATGAAAATTTCCCCGAACAAAAAACCGAAAGTTTTTAAAAGTAGATTAGCATGTTAAAAATAGAATGAAACAAGCTCGGCATTTACATCTCTTTTAGCCGCTTTTCAAATGATATTTGCGAGTGACATTTCGCAGCGGCACAAATATTTCATATCGAGACAATTTGTCGTTTGTGCTCCGTTAAAGACAATGAGATTTCGCATTCCAAGAGATTCGTTAAAACGTACTTATACTTTTTTTTTGTAAACTTGCCCTCTCGGGCAATTCTCAGCGAACATTCCTCGCTTTATACGAGTGCGTCTTGATGGCAGGAAAAGTCTAGCGACTCGAAATTCATAATTGATGTAGCAAATTTTCCGGATGGGGATAAATGGATTTCGTTGGGAAATTGACAATGGGAGGCGACGAAGAAATATTATTACAAGACGTAATCAAAACATCTAATGCGATAATAATCAATATTTGAGCCTTTTGACGAGGAGATCGTGACGAAAATTCGTCGAAAATGAAAAACCGTAAATAATTAATAGCTGGGATGATGTTCCAATATAATCCCTAATTTATTCAGAACACTTCATGGAGATCTCTCGCGAAGCGCCCGAGAAGCGCTTCACAGTTTCGATCTGGAAGCAACTTCAATTTGCAGGAATATACAAGTCGCTTTGAATTCAGCTGTTATTAATTTGTGATGAGAAATGTTTATGGGTCCGTGCATATCCCCCTTTAGCCCGTTGGTAATTGGGAGAATGATTCTCTTTCGTTTATATTTTACGTTTCTGCTTCATACCAGTGTTCATAATTGAATTATTTGGAATGCCGGGTGACGTGTTGGATGTTTTCATTTCGGCCTTTGAATAATAAAAGTGCCTGCTACACCAAGAGAGACAAGTATTTGCGGATACTGCAGCATATTCCTCATATTAGTACATTTCCAATTTTTTTACTGCATATGGTAAAATTCCTGGAAAGTGCTTTTATATTTATTCTATTAGGATAAGTGGATATCTTTCTAAATGGATAATGCCTATAAAATAGATCGCGGTATAATATTACGACAACAAACCAGTGGGTAACTTTAATCGGATTAAAGGCTTAATCAATTTAATGCCACTGACCAAAATTGGAAAAAGTCAATTCCGATTGTCGGATCCTTTGGCAGGTATCGAAGTTATATAAATTAAAAACCACTTTAGATGTGAAGGTGGCGATTAGGAAAAAGTCCGGCGAGTTTCTGGAACAATTGATAGAGTTAAAGTTTCGGCGTTCTAAATTAATTTCAACTTTTATTTGACTACTTGAAAAGTTGGAAACGCCGAGGAAAGCTGCGATATATGAAACTTTTTCGAACGGCGCATTTTTATTTTACCATTTTTTTTTAATTAGGGCCAGCGGTGTGTAATTTTCGTCTCGTCGGGAAATTTTCGAAGAATAAATATCTTTATTGCTGGACGTGACAGAAGTTTTTAATGGGGGTTTTCGAATTCATTCTTTTACGTTTACTTTGAAAAAAGTTCGCAGCGAAATCCAATAAAGCCTAGACTTAAACTTTTGTAGATTGTTGCTCGCATTTTACTCCTAAAACGAGCGAAAATTGTTTTCCCAGATGAATTGTTCAAACATCGCATTCGATATGAAATAATGGGATTAAATACGAGATCGAAATAATCCCTCAAAAATTCACGATATATCCAGCAAGCGCACCTTTTGACGCCAGTTATTGGATTAGTGACAGCTCTGTGATTTTAACTTATTTTCCACGAGCACACACGCTCGCCTTGGTATCCTTTTAGTTATTTTAGAGGTTATCGTTCCATCTCCTGCGAGACCTTCCAGCGTTCCGGCATCCCAGGGGTGATTTATCTCCAGTTAGTCTGACTTTTTAATGTTACGGTCTTAATAATAGAGATAAAGTTGTGAAAATTTCGTTATTTAGAGAGCTTTCAGCGATCTCTTTAATGCCGCTATGTTTTGCCTCTATACGTACATATTGGATAATTTCTAGCTGCTCCATAAATATGATTATCCTCTAATGCGGATGGAGTTTTTGCTGCAGTATTTCAATTATACCTCGCAAATTCCTAATATTATTAAACTACATGACTGGAAATACGAAAGCTCGCCTACGAATTTACCGTAGAAAATAAATCCTGTGCACCTTTTTAAAATCTCTGAGGAACAAATGTCGCATCTCCGGTTTAATCTAGTGCACCTATAATTTAAAGTCGCGACGCTCTTCGTCTACTTTCATTCCGATTTCAGCAGGAAACAATAGCAATAAATCAAGAAAAGGGTAAGTCGAACGTTTGAACCTTTTAGTCAATTTGTCTGACTGGTCACAATATCGATTCAGATAGCAAACAACAGGGACACGGGTCACGCTGAAACGCTGAATAGCTTCCTGTTGCCGTTGCCAGGCCGCCTATAGCTTCATTCTATTCACACCATATCATAAAGCTATAAAATAATCGCCGTAACATGGGAAAAATTTCAGGCCGCGCTATTGAGCGCGATAAAATTGCATTATGCCGAGCGGCTAATGTACGTGTACATGAAATCCGGGCTGTAGAAATGCCCGATTACGTCTCTAATCTCACACTCGCGTATTTCTATAAATGCGGTTATAGATTTTTTTAATATAGAACGGCTTACGATAAAAATAAGCATGAAATATGAAATAATTGAGAATTATCTGAATAACGCGTTACGTTCAGGCCAAATAATCCTGAATTTTGACATTTCCCTTCATCTATCACTTGTCAATTGTAAATTATAATTTTGTAGCTATCAAAAATGATTGTCAATTAATTCGGCAATAATTACAACGTTTGTATCAAAAACGATAAAATAATTGACTTTTTAATTAAAAAGTACGACGAAAGTGTGTGAAAAACATTTTTTTTCCCATTCGTATCAACTTTAATGATTTTTGATTACAGGAGTTTCAACAACTGCAATATACACGTACAGAATTTTTTCATGTCAAAAAAATTTAAATTAAAATCTCCCGGAGTTTAATATGGTATTATATCTTTGAAACAAAACGTTGTTCGCACGTTGTTTGATGTTGGCAATAATATGAAAATGTGAAAATCGGAAAAACTGTTTGTTTGTTCGCAGTCGTTCATGAGAGGAACACAATTTAACTTTTTATTATTTCATTTAAATGCAAATTTGAAGCGCTAACCTTTCCTCGACTTTGTAAAATTAATTATAACTATCACATGCTAACTTTTCGCACCCTTTACAGACGATTATCTTTTACAATTAGCGAATAAACCCCAATAAATTGAATTAATAATAGATTGACATAGGACCTCTTTAACATAAATTCGATACTAATTGAAATCTCACGGGTAAGGGGATTTTTGAATGCTTTACGGAAGTGTTTTGGGATAAATCAATAACCAATTAAGTTATTTAATTAAAGCAGAGAAAATTTGCAACGGTATGATAATTAAAAAAACGGATTATCAGTGTAGCGGATGAAACGTTTGGATAATTTAAATGAAAATTCACCGTGCATTTTCCCAATAAAATTTTTCAATGGAGGTAAATCCAATTTTTTAGTGTATCGTGTTCATTAATTTTTAAAATCGCATCGCTTCTATTTTTACTGCCAATATAACAATAATTGGTTAACTATGATTTATTGATGAAAAAATAACCCTGTTATCTATTATGAATTGAAACTTTTTTATTATTACTTTAAAATTAAATATTTCCTTACATTTTTAACTTCACTATAAATTATGCATGTAATAACTTTGGAATGAAGAATAACTTTGGATTGAGAATATTGTAAAAGAGGTAATTGCTGGAAATTTGAAACTTTTGCTTCGAAGCTGAGACGTTTTATTATTGGAATAATTTTATTCATCTACCTAATATTGGAAGGTTTTTTTTTAATTTTCGAATATTCGCTTTGTGAAATATTTATACCAGTAATAATAATTGTGTACTTACTTATGAATTTGAAAGATTCTTTACCTACAAAAAAAACAAATATTAGATATGCTATTTAATAAACATTTTTATAGAATGTAACTAAATGAAAAAGGAAAAAAATTCACCGCAGTCATAACACTTGGTCATCAAAGTTTTACGAACAAATTGTGCTTGAATTAATAAAATTACTTTTTCGTTTGCAAGCTTTTATTTATTTTATTGATCAGATAATTGTGCATGCTGTAGGTATACGTAAATTGAATATTTAATTTGATTCAATTAATCGCGTTCGTAAAATCAACCAGCAAGCCCAATCACATTTTCGTAATTTACGAAAATTGTAAATTTCATGTAATTACTCTAATACAATCGAGAGATATAACAGTTAATAAATTTACAAAAAGGCACTGGTCGAATGAATACTGAATGAATTGTTAATTTAATTTAACGTTCTCCTAATATCAATATTGCGTACACCTAATATCAATATTGAGTACAATAACAATGTAATAATGCGTTAATTTGCTCATAATATACTATTCAAATATACTCACAATAGAGAATTAGTCTATTAAATTTAGGGCAAACTAATGTAGAGGAAATAGAGCTGTTAGGTTAATCATTGTCACTAAAAAAGGAATATCAGATAGGAGAATATTCTATTAGGCAGTAAATTCATTTTTGATAGTAAAAGTAGCTATATTATTAGATCAAATGAGGGATAAATTAAAAATAGGTCCTACTATTTTATTTAATATGCCTTTAAATATAAATAGGGCAACTGAAGTTTTGAATAAAAGCACATTTATTATGTACTAAAAAATTATTATTACTACGTTAATAAATACGTGAAATGAATATGAATGAATAAATAAATAAAATAATTGGCGCAATTTTAATAGAACTTCGTTACCAAATAATATATATAAGAAGTTCAATTGTAATATTCTAAAAGTCTACTAAATAAATAAGTAAAAAAGAAATGATGGACAACGATCTATTGATATTAGACCAATAATAATTATTTTCACGCGTTATCGATTAATTTAAGTACTTTCAACGTTCATTATTTTTTGTAATTTTTATTAAATGGATTAATCACAGAATTAGAAACAAATATGTGAAATTTTAACACATTTTTTCTTACCTAAACCGTTAGTTTTAACGCAACCGTTGTTATTCAACATAATATTGGTTCGGTGAATCGATTAAATGGACTGAAGAAAATAAATAGTAATCCATTTATTTTGGGAAAATATCTCAAATTTAAATAGGAAATCAGTAATTTATTTGTTTATACGTTAAACTAGCTATTACATAACAAATTTATAAGTGCATTAATAAAGGGAATCACACTTCAACACACACGCAATGGAATTAAGTATTCGAAAATGTTTAGAAAATGTTTAGCATTGTGAAAAAATTAAAAAAATAAAACGATAACAATTTCGTTAAAGCGTATTTTTGGGTAACAATAATAATTTAATGTGTGAATTTTAGAAAAAAATATTTTTTTTCATCAAAACTTTGGATAAACGATTTAATTTAGAGCCAAGTTTTTTTTTTGTGTAGGGAAGCGCATCTATAGAGTTGCGGTAGATAAAGTTTTTGCATACTCAGGCATTTAATTGTAACGCAGGAATAGAGCGGGTAGAGAGAGAATGAGAGATAGAGAGATAGAGAAAGAACGAGAATTATCGGTAAAGTGTGTCAGTAGTAAAGATGCGAGTAACGTTACGATTGGTCGTTCCCGTAAACCGTGAGCGAGAGCACGTAGAGAACGAGCAGAAACTGCACGTTGATTGGACAAATTGAAAAACCCGGATTGCATTTGCATCGCGCGAACGCTCAGCTACTCTCGCTCTCTACTCCTCGAAGATGTTTCTCCAGGTTCTCAGCATCCGAAGAGCCGGGATCGATAGGACGGCAGAGTAAAGTAAAATGTAGGTTAGCGAAAGCATTGTGCTTATGGCAGGGCGGTGGCGAATCAATACGGCGCCGCTATATCTGGTGTCTCGCCACTTTTGCCGCTGCCGTTGCCGCCAACAATGCGGCGACGATGGCAGAGCGGTGGTCGCGATCAGCATCACTCGACGGCACAAGCGCCCGAGCTCATTGGCGGGAAAATGCTATTTCATAATTTTCACATGATAAAGTACCTGTTTTGGCCGGTGTACAGTGTCCATCGGCTATGGGCTTCCCCGGAGACGGCGGAGGCTTCTTGTCTTCGCCTTCCGCTGGATTGGACATTTTAATTTAATTTAATTTTTTTTTTTCGTACCAATCTCGTCACCGAGTTTTTATGTGACGATGATGATACGGGATACGGACACGGCCGCCTCTCTGGACCGAATCACACAAACTACCGCTTGCTACTGCCGTCGCTGAGTTACTGAAATCGGAGGTTCAGTGTGATCCCGAGCGCAGCATCCACCACCGTCGGTCCCAGATTCGCCCGCCCCCTGTACCAACCCTTCACAGCCAACACTTCCCTCTTCCCTGCCAATGCCGCCACTTGGACCTATTCAGGACCGTTTCCAAACTTTCCTTCGCTTTTGGTCAATGTTTACTAATATCCCTGGGACGAGCCGAGCTACTTTTACGAATGGCTTTTTCTAAACTTTAACTCGTCGCGGTTAACCGCCGGATATCCTACGGGAAACTTGAATTACTTGACGCTACTATTGATAACGAACGAACCTCTCATTTACGTCTGTTTATTTAAACGCCGCATTATTATTCCCTTTCCGAACATCAAAGGAGTTTAATGCCAAACTGCTTCATTTAATGTTTCTCTTCACTTTATTACAGACATCGTAAGTTTTAATCACAAAAATTAAACAAAATAAATGTCTAGTTCAAAACGTATTTTCGAGCAATGCGCGCCTGATACAATTAAATGCAATAAAAACAATTTTTTACCCGAAAGCTCTCTTGCCGAAGGTCTTTGTAATCGATTACAGTCCAATTGGCAGTTTTTAGCGATAAGCGATTATTGACTCAATTTATTTCCATTGCGTAAATAGCTGGAGTGTCTGGAAAACAGCACTTCAGAATAAATTTCGTCAAAACATTTTATAAAATTTCATCTCGTTTTATGTTGTTTGCGTTGGGAAAGTCGGCTGTGTACGCTACTTACTCACATGAGTTAATACGAAAATAAAAAGACCTGAGAAGTCCGTGACCGTGAAAATAAAATAATTTCACTCAGACAAGACCTTACTATTTCTCTCAATTCTTTATTTTTCTGTATTTATAGAATAATACTCACAAGTGCTCTTTATTTTTTATCAAAGAGACTTCGAAAAGCGAGTTTTACGAAAAAAAATATAACGTACCTATTGTCTTGACATAACTAAAAATTCATACTAACTTACTTTGTTCGAGGAATAAATTATCTATCCGTATACGATAAACTTAAAAATTCGAAACTTCAGGACTTGTCTAAATCAAATTAACAAACCAGAAGGTGTTTAATTTAAATATTTACCACAAAATTGTAATATCACACTATCACAGTAAGATTATGAATGATAATCACTTTACAAAATGCTAGTCTATTGTTTTAATATACTTATATAGACTCGAAAAATTGTCTAATTCATTATCTGGGAGTTATTAATGAAAAAACCAAACGTCTCGCCGGTTTCATTTAGGGGGAGTAATATTAAATAGCGAAGGACTGACAATATGCCAACATCTATTGTTTTAATCTTTATTATTCAATGGAAAAACAACAGTGCACAATTCATTATAACACTAACCTTAATAAATTGAACAAATTTACAAATGTCGCAAAAGACTAGTAACTAATAAATATTTGGTAAACAATCTGATGGAAAAAACTTACATCAACTGTTACATTATAAAAAAGCTACTAACTTAAGCGAATTATTTAACAGGAACGTAAATCTCTGCAGGTATACGGGCGCAATTTTAAATTCCTGTATCTCAGAAACTGATAAATGATAATTTAAGTCTGGAATTTACCGGGTACACAGAATCTTGCCGTAATAAATCTGAACGACTCTTTAAAAAACAAACAAGTGCACTTAATTTAATTAAATAATTAATTAGCTAAAAATAATATGATCCCGCGATAAAAAAACATGGTTGTATAGGAAATTTTACGTGGCAATAAGATTTACAGTAATTTCCATCACTCTGTTTTGTGCGAGGGCTGCTAAATTAAAAAAATACGTTGTAACTAGAGATCAAAGGACGAAAATTGGAAGGTACAAGTCGTATCATTAAACGAAATGCTACACGTATTCAAAGGAAACTCCCGATATTCCTGATGTAGGAGAAATTCAATAAAAAAAGGGAGCTCAAAAGTATCCTCTATTTCTGGTTGGCGTACATTTTGCACCTACGTTTCGTTTCCCTTGCAGGGTATGTTAAGAAAATTACTTTCACTTGAACAAACCCAATTCTTCATTTATTACGTTACAAAATTTTATAAAAACCAACTACAGTACTGTACATATAATGTAAGGATATAATTCTTCCATTTCCTCCTTCATATATGAAACATGCGGGTCGTATTTTACGACTTTATTTGGGCCAAACTAGATTTACAGCTGTTTAATATCCTTGCAAAATTTCATTTTAGAATTCGACTATTGCAGGACCCGGAAATTATTAATTCGGAAAATCGGTCGATCCTTTAAAATTACGTTTTACGTGTGTTACATGCCCGAGCAACGACAATTAGGATCGCGTAAATATCGATTCGTGTGAAATTTTTAACAACGACGAAGGAATATGAGATAATCGAAAATCCATATCTCCTCAATGTCTACTTATTCGAACCTCTAACACACACCTCAACAATCCGGAACTCGAAACCTAAAAAGACGAGCACTTTGCGCAGCAGCTTTGTAATTTTATACTAACTTGTATGTGTGTATGTATATTTAAAAAGCACAATTATTTCTCACTCTACATATGGTGTACTTTCTATCGATTTTTTGTTGTATTTTGGAGCCCTCTGTCAGCAATTTACACATTCCCGAATTAAATTTCTTTCATTGTAATCGCTA